TTAGTATTCAAAACTTTTTTATTAGGCTGCTGCCATTTTTCTGGAAACCATAATCCAGAAAACAGCGATTACTGAAATTATTAATCAGTCGGGTCTAAAACGAAAAGTAAATTTTGCAGTAACTGATAATTCCTAAAATATGGTCAAAGCTATTAAATATGTTTTGTTTTATGATGATTGTGATTTATGATGATGATTAAATTTATTGGTGGGGGACGCACTTAAATGCTGTCGTGTACAAATAGATAAAATAAAAAGTCCTTTTTTCGACAATTCTGCAAAAAAACACATTTCAAAAAAGTACCTTATCTTCAGAAAGGCTTTTAAAGTATTAATTACAACAGAACACAGTTCCCAAACGGCCAATCCAAGACGTGGAAACTAGGTAGAACTTCACCTATTACATGTTAAAAAGAATGACCGAGTTAGAAGAGGCAACCCGTTCCACATTGGTATTAAATAATACAGACTTAGACTTAAACCTAATCTAAATAAAGAACACTGGATTATTTGTTCTCAACTTTCCCAAATTTTACGGCCGTTTAAAGAAATAACAAGTACAATGAGTGACCAAAAATACTTGAATGCTAGTTCAGTGATTGTTATGGTACGTTGCCTGCAAGAATCTTGCAATAAAATTTTAGCAAACGGCATACTTACATCCATAGTATATGACATAGTACAATTACTAATATCGGGTTTAGCAAAAAGATTTAGAGGGATAGAACAGAGTTGCACATTGTCATTATGTACATTTATGGATTCACGATTTAAAGTGCAGAACAAAACAAAAAGTTAAGAAGCTGGTTACTTCTATAATTAACGAACAAGAAGATTGTACTATTGAAAATCAACCAGTACAAGAAAAAGAAACCAATAAATATGACTTAAGTCCATGGTGTATTTTTGATCAATTAATTGGAGATGACTCATCTACACGTACACCTGCATCGAGAGTCCATTACAACGGTGGAAAAACCATCGCCATGTATATCCTAACTTAACAACTATATTCATAAAGTATTGTAAATGTGAACACATGTTCAAAATCTGGTTTAATTTTAAATAAAAAAGAATACGGTTAACAAGAAGTAAAGTAGAAAAACTTATGTTTTTATGTCAATTTAGACTATTCGCGATTTAATAATAACGTGTAATGTAAATGTAAGTCCGATTTACTATTTGTATTGTTTAGTTTAGAACAGAATATTTAAAACAGAATATTTAAAAATTGGAGGAAATACCACAGATCTGAGGCTTGAAAACGCAGTCATAAAAGGCTGCAACCAGTATAAATATCTAGGAAGCATCATATCAGCAGATGGCAGAGTTAAGATAGATGTACAAAACCGAATAACCCAAGGGAAAAAATGCATCCGAATACTGAATTCATTACTGTGGTCTAATAAAATAAAGATGCATACTTCGTGTATACAGAGCAATTGTAGAACCAATTACCACATATGGTGCCGAATGTTGGACGATGACAAAGAATGAACGAGATAAAGTAGACGTTGTGGAAATGGATTATCTTAGAAGGTCATGTCGAGTATCGAGAATGGAAAGAATCAGGAATGAGGAAATACGAAACCGTACAGGAATTAGATACTCTTTCAGATAGAATACAAGGAAGGCAATTACAATGGTATGGTCACGTGATGAGAATGGAGGAGGAGCGGTGGCCAAAGAAAGCCTTAATGTATGTTCCGCCAGAAAGAAGGAAAAGGGGAAGACCACCAAATTCCTGGAGAAGAGAAATTACAAAAACAATGCAATCTAGAGGCTTAGAAGAGGGAGATTGGGGAGATAGGAAAAGATGGAGGCTGAAATGCGGGAAGCGGCAATCGCCGTAGGACCCCCGTTATATGATGATGATGATTGTTTAGTTTATTTTTCAAGTTATAATAAATATATCATTAGGTAGTTTCTTTCACTTCAAAAGATATACACATAAACGATAATAGCCGTTATGTTTGTTTATGTAGGTACTATCTTACTTGAAACTACTTTTAAACAATCATAGTTACTTGTTTATGAAAATTAAAATTTTTAAATGCTTTTTAGCATTCAAAAAAATTTAAATCTTTTTGGAATCCTGAGAAAACGAACAAATATTTTTGAAAAATTTAAATGCAGAATGAAAGATTACATTATTACCGAGGGCCGAAGGTCCCTTAGAATAAACAAAAAGTTTTTTTAATGAGATATTTGAAATTAAAAATCACACTAAATTTTGTTTTTTTTTCATCCATATAACTTATTAAAATAAACATTATAGAAGTTTTCAGGGACTTTCAGCTCTCGGTAATAATGTATTGTTTCATTCTGCGTTTAATTTTTTCTAAAATATTTATTAGTTTTCTCAGGATTCAAAAAAAATGAATGCATTTAAAAAACATTGGCCCGAAATTTTGCTCCTACTCTCTTAACGATAAACTAGCACGACCCACCTCTACTTCTCGTTACTCGATCTTTTGACCAGACGACTATCTAGACTAGACGTTGCCAAATAAATTAGTGTATGAATATTTTTTAATTTGGCGTTATTGTATGCATGTTTAATTGTTTATTATTTCATATTGGGAAATTATTTTGATGTTTAGATTTTTAGTTCGGAAATCGTACTTAAAATACGAAACATTAATAAATTTTATTTATATAAAACGATTTCCGAAATGGAAATCAAAATGTTATATTACAATTATTGTAAAGAAAACTTGTGGCATATTCCCAATAAAAAAAACAGTAACCTGCCATTTAAATCAATTTCGCCCGAATTTGATTATCTTGAGCATTTTATCTTCTTGATAGAACATTGTTCAAATGCAAAAAAAGACAACAGGTCAAATAAAACCAATAAGTTTGGCAACGTTGAATTTCCCCTTTTTTAATATTTCCATTCGGCGATATAAAGGGCGTACCTAATATACCTAGTTTCTTTCACTTCAAAAGATATACACATAAACGATAATAGCCGTTATGTTTGTTTATGTAGGTACTATCTTACTTGAAACTACTTTTAAACAATCATAGTTACTTGTTTATGAAAATTAAAATTTTTAAATGCTTTTTAGCATTCAAAAAAATTTAAATCTTTTTGGAATCCTGAGAAAACGAACAAATATTTTTGAAAAATTTAAATGCAGAATGAAAGATTACATTATTACCGAGGGCCGAAGGTCCCTTAGAATAAACAAAAAGTTTTTTTAATGAGATATTTGAAATTAAAAATCACACTAAATTTTGTTTTTTTTTTCATCCATATAACTTATTAAAATAAACATTATAGAAGTTTTCAGGGACTTTCAGCTCTCGGTAATAATGTATTGTTTCATTCTGCGTTTAATTTTTTCTAAAATATTTATTAGTTTTCTCAGGATTCAAAAAAAATGAATGCATTTAAAAAACATTGGCCCGAAATTTTGCTCCTACTCTCTTAACGATAAACTAGCACGACCCACCTCTACTTCTCGTTACTCGATCTTTTGACCAGACGACTATCTAGACTAGACGTTGCCAAATAAATTAGTGTATGAATATTTTTTAATTTGGCGTTATTGTATGCATGTTTAATTGTTTATTATTTCATATTGGGAAATTATTTTGATGTTTAGATTTTTAGTTCGGAAATCGTACTTAAAATACGAAACATTAATAAATTTTATTTATATAAAACGATTTCCGAAATGGAAATCAAAATGTTATATTACAATTATTGTAAAGAAAACTTGTGGCATATTCCCAATAAAAAAAACAGTAACCTGCCATTTAAATCAATTTCGCCCGAATTTGATTATCTTGAGCATTTTATCTTCTTGATAGAACATTGTTCAAATGCAAAAAAAGACAACAGGTCAAATAAAACCAATAAGTTTGGCAACGTTGAATTTCCCCTTTTTTAATATTTCCATTCGGCGATATAAAGGGCGTACCTAATATACCTCTCTCTTTTTAAACAGCTGTTTCTCACTCCATCTCACGTAAAGTCCATACCGACCATAAAATTGTTCCTACACTGTATATATATATATATATATATATATATATATATATATATATATATATATATATATGTGTGTGTGTGTGTGTGTGTGTGTGTGTGTGTGTATGCTTAAGTTGGTCTGAGTGAAAATGAAAGGAATGCTTTTTATGATCAATTAGGAGACGAGAGTATTAAAAAACTCCCTCTGCATATGTGGATCAGTCCAAGACCTATGAAGCAATACATGGAGGAGTAGGCTTTGGAACTAGAAATGATTCTGAAGAAGATATGTTGAAATTAGCATTAGATATGGTGATTGTTAACACATTCTTCCTAGAAAAAGGGAGTCACATTATTACATACAATAGTATGCTAATTAAGAGTGAGTACTATTTCACTAAAGTCTCATTTAAAATTAGGTACTCAATTTTAAAGCATCTTATACACTTATCATTTAAAAAAATAATAATAAAAAAACTTGACATCTACTATTTTATTATAATAAAAGAAACGCAAAACGCGTCAGTGGTGTTTATTTCTACAGTCCTAGAATATTCTTGACCTAAGTTGAAAATAATATTCCAGTACTGTTTTGTTAAAGTCAAAAATTTTATACTACTGTCAATATTTTGAAATAGACATTGCTTAATTTCGAATTCACAATAATTAAACTACACAGATAAACTAAATGTTTTATTAAACTTGATTTTCTTGTATTGTTATGAAGTTAAAATATAATTATAGATCTTTAAAATCCGAAAAGCTTTTCTTGAGAAAACGCTTAATTAAGATATTGCTTTAGTTTATTTTCCCAAACAGTCCCAGAATATTCTTGACCTAAGTTAAAAATAATATTCAAATAATGTTTTATTAAAGTCAAAAATTTTATACTACTGTCAATATTCTGAAATAGACTTTGCTTAATTTCGAATTCACAATAATTAAACTAACAGATAAACTAAATGTTTTATCAAACTTGATGTTCTTGTATTGTTATGAAGTTAAAATATAATTTTAGATCTTCAAAATCCGAAAAGCTTTTCTTGAGAAAACGCTTAATCAAGATATTGCTTGGTTTGACCAGAATCGCACTGGAGACTTTGCAAGTACATTTACGCAGTAAGTATACTTATATTAATGCGCCTTTTCACTTACCAATTTGATCACATTTTAGGATTTCTCACTAACCAAGTTAATCACATTTGTTTGCATACATTTTGGGTCTACTTAATTATTATATTATTAATTTGTACATGCTTTAAAAAGATTATCTATTTTTCGATCCATTTTGTCTGATCCATTTGCGTAACTATATTTTGTTTAACGTAGTCATTTTTTTACTTTTTATTGTCTACCTAGATCAGGGCCGAAGAAGATTAATGCGAAAAATTCAAATAAGGTAAAGTCACCTATTACCGCACCAGTTAAGGAAAGTTCAATATTTCGTTGGATTATTTTTATATTTTTATGGTTACAAAAATCTCGTAGAATTTATGTGAAGATAACTATATTACGTTTCCAAATAATTAAATTATTTTTCCAAATTTCAATTTTTATTGCTAAGAAAAAATACTAAATCAAAAAAGAGCAAATTTTCCTAATACCGACCTAATAGTAATATTTTTTCCTATTACCGATTTTTTATAACCTATTACCGATTGTGGGATAACAGATGTTATCAACATTGCCTATATTTAGTAAAACACCCCTGACTATAAAAAAGTGTTTATTATATTAAGTAAAACAAATAAAATATATGAAATTAAACTAAAAAAAAAATGTCTGTGGAGTTTGCAATAATTTTGTTGTTCTGGTTGTTGTTGGTTTTCCGTGTACTGTAGAGGAGATACGTGTGTATTTGAAGGTAATTGTTCAGTATCTCTTTTGCTTAGTTGTTCAAAAATATCATTTTGTGTTATCTGGGGACTTTCTAGCACCAGTTTTAAATCTGTCGTTTCAAAGTTAGTCTCAGAGCGTGTAAAAAGCTTTTGAGGCGTTTTTGCTATACTATCGTAATCTTTGCATTCATTCACATCAAAATTATCACCATGTTCTAAATTATTAGTGTTAACAACAGGGTGAATTTCCAAGAACAATCTTATTCGTTTTGTCTGAGACTAGTTTCTATGAATCATCACTAGTGGAGGAATTGAACCTACACATAGCGAGATTCCCATTTTCCTGGACTTCGAAGTCAAGAACATCCCAGTTATCTTCATTAAAGTCCGCAATACTGGAAATATTATTAATGAATGTTGTGTCATTTATAGTAATTTGTAAGTGTTCATTTCTGTTATCCAGGTCTGCATCTAAATTTATATCATCTAGAGATTTCCAATACACAAATTATTTTTCGAAAGTAGAGTCTCCTTGCCAAGAGCTGCCAGATGATTTGAAAGAACAAAGTGTGTCAGGGCCCAAACGATTTTCGAATTGCTGTTTGAATTGTTTATATTCTTGAGTTTCTTGATTATTTTGATCTTTGTTAGAAATTTCGAAAGTCCCTGTTAAATGTTCTGCTATTTTGGTTTTGGTCTTGAAGAGTTTGTTGTATTGAACCTTTGATGAATTTACATTTAGAACATTTAAATCCATTTTTTATTGTATCTTTTTTTAAACATTTGTCGAAACAAATCTTGACTAAATCTGAGAAGTCTGTTCGTTTAATTTTGGCTATTTCGTGATTTAGCCTGAAATCATGTACCACGTTTCGCCATGTTACTTTCACCGGTCTAAATACAGCTACGTCTAGAGGCTGCAGAACGTGGGTCGAATTTGGCAATAATGCAACCAATATTATACCTTTCTCCTTGCAAAATTCACTTAGCGCTAGAGATAGAATTTTTGAAACCAGTGATTTCCCGGAATACCGTCTTTAAATGGATTTTGTCGGTCCAAGTTTTTAATTAAATTAGCTACTGTGTGTATTAATTTGGATTTTGTGTCAGGGAACCCTTGTTACGCCAAATAAAGAATCCAATCCACAACACACTTTTCTTCATTGTCAGTAAGCACAGGTTGCACTCCACACTTGGGATTTTTAAATCTTCCTGAACGTTTATCCCGTAAAGTGGTCTTTGGCAATCCGAATCTGTTAGATGTCTCGTAAACTGACATCCCATTTTTTATAGCTTCCAAGGCGCTCGACAATTTTTCTTTTGAATATTGTACACGTATTTTTGGTGCCATAATGCCTGAAAAGAAATATATAATTAATTAAAAAAAGCAGACAGTTTTAATGAGTGCAATGTCGACTTAATAACGAACACCTTTTTTAATGCGTCGGTATTAGGCTAATGGCATTTGCTATTATCGACCTAATAGGTCGGTAAATTGATTTCAATATGGTCGCACTTAACCTAATACCGACTATGTAAAACTTGAGACAAATGACTAAAACGCCTTTTTCTTGTTAATTAAAGATTTTAACAATTACCATAATTAAATATACCAAAAGTAATATCTATATTAACTGCATTATCCAGGGGTTTGGACTTATTAAAATATTAACATGTTTGTCGCTCCAGACAAAGAAATTTTTAGAATATTAGGTTACTCATAACATAAATCATGGGGCGAAAATTGAAAAAAACGTCGACTTAATAGTATATGTACTTAAGGCCGTTCCTTGCGTTTCTGGGCATACCTAAGTTCCAATGTAAAAGTTTATATCAAATAACGCAAAAACTATGGCAGATATTGAGATGATTCTTTTTTTATATGAAAGGTCTTAAAAAGTTCTAGTGCACTATTTAGTTGTAAATTAATAAATTGTTTAAACAATATTTTTTTTCAAATATTTTTGGTTAAAATAAACGTAAAAATTTTTTTTTGAAATAGGGCACTACAGAATTTGACCCACTTTCCGAATCTGTTTTTATTTTTAACATAAAGTGTAACACAAAGCAGCTATTTGGTATAAACTTTTTTTAAAATCTCAAATTTTGCTAAATGTAACTTTCTCTCTCGGCCAGTACAGGCTGTCCTTGTCGATAGTTTCTGGATTCTCGTCGACACGGTTAGGTTGGTTAGGTAAGAAGTATAATACCCTCTCGAAGGTGGGTCATAAATAATGTTGAATAACATTATTAGGGTTTATTTCGACTTTTGACAAACCAGTGTGTTAATTGTTTTTAAAATGGGTAGTTCACGAAGAAGTTTATGTTCCGATTGAGGAAATTTTATATAAATAAGCAGTACCTATAATAAGTACCTATAATTTGATTAAATTTTTATATGAATAGAAATATTTTCTGTTAATTTGTAACATTTTCCTTCTAAATGTTTATACTGTTTTTATAATAATACTATTGTTTCAGTATTTGCTTATATAATAATAATTTATTATGTAGAAACAGCGTAGAATTTTGGTCAATCAGCCAGTACATTTTTTTGTATTTCAATCAGAATTATTATTTTCTTTTCTTCTTTACATAAAAGCTTAGAGTAATACTCAAATATTTTGCAGTATTTGAATACGGAATTTGATTATTTATATTTATTGGACAATACCCAAATATTTTGCTGTATTTGAATATGGAATTTGATTATTTATATTTATAGGAATATTTATTTTCAACGTTTTTGTTAGTAAAGTTTACATAATATATGAAGTTTGTTTCTTCACTCGCTTGTCCAGCCATATTAGTCCAGGCTAATAAGGATTTTCTCGTGACACTCAATAATCCAGGTAGCTGACAACTTTTTTAGTTATTGTAGACCTATAAGAAGAAAACCTACCTGTTTCCTGCGTAAAGTTCGGAGCCGTTTTTTAATGATTAACAATTAATGCAAAAAACGCGATTCTTTCGATTTTTGCACTCTATTATTTATTTATTTATTTTTACGCACAACAGGCCGTTAAGGCCAAGAGCATTTTTTTTACAACATAATTCTAATATTAACTAATTACAATTATTTTAAACAAAACTTTAACGTAAATATGTATATATAACATTCTTAACTACTCTGAAGGACCTGGTGTACAATATTTTTCCATTCGCTTCTATTTTGTGCTTTTTTTTCCATTCCCTCACCTTCACGTGTTTAAGGTCATCCTCCGATTTACTAATCCACCTCGTTCTGGGTCTACCTCTTCTTTTGGGGTCGATTAATTTTCTGGTTATTACTAGTTTAGGAATTCTGTTTGCTGCCATTCTTTCCACATGTCCCAACCATCTGATTCTTTGTGCCTTGACGAACTTGGTAATAGTAGGTTCTTTGTATAAAGCCATTAATTCATTGTTGGTTCTTCTCTCCCAACCATCTTCTGCCTTTCGTCCTCTGAATATGCATCTCAATATTTTCCTTTCCCATCTTTCCAGAGTATCCTCTTCCTTCTTATTTAATGTCCAGGCTCACCGGCATATGTTACTGTGGGTCAAATTACTGTTTTATATATTCTGAGTTTACCTTGTCTAGAAACGTATTTTGAGTTCAGTAGGGCTCTTAAACCACCTAATTTTTTATTCCCTTTTGCTATTCTGGCTACGAGCTCCCATTTCTCTTTTCCATTTTCATCGAAAACTACACCTAGGTATTCAAATTTGTCCACCCTTTTAAAACTATAGCTTTTACCACTTACTGACCTCATACTAAAGTCTTATTTTTCCCTTCTGTTCCTTCTATGATCATATATTTAGTTTTGTCTTCATTTAGTTCCAATCCAAATTTCTGTGCTTCTTCGATGATTTTCTTCACAACTCTTCTTAATTCTTACTCGGTTTTTGCTAGGATCGTTAGATCATCTGATATGTGACCCTGCCAAGCAGGGTGCTAACAGGTGAAGATGCTAACAGAGTAATGCCTCTATAGTTCTTACAATCCAGTTAATCGTCCTTTTTATGCAACGTATATTATTTCATTTAGCCACTCTTCTGGAACAAATTCATTTTGCCATATAAGTACATCAAAGCATTCTTATCCGGAGCGATATATTCATATCTCGATTACAAAAAAGTTTTCTCGTTCTATTAAAAGTTGACCGTGCAATTCCAATGCGGCATCTTATTTCTTTTGTCTAATCAGTATCTTCTGTGATCCATGCTCCAAGGTATTTGTACAAAGATATTTGTTCAATTTCTGTATTATCTAGTACTAGCTTAACTTTGATGCTTTGTGCTTTTGTAAATACCATGAACTTGGTTTTCTTCAAATTTATTTTTAGTCCAAAAAATGTACCTATAATATGATATAATCCTTATAAAATGTCTTCCGACGTTCATTTTTCATTCAATTCGGTTGTTCCATTGTCCTTTAAGTTCTTTCGAGCTCATTAAGTTTCTTATTCCTTCCATCCGTGTTTTCTAAGGTAATCCTCTCTTCTGAATTACGGTAGGTGTTCATACAGGTACTTGTTTTAGGAGTCTACTGTCTTTCATTTATTGAACCTGTACCCATTTGAGCTGCTTTCGTTGTATGCCATCCATGACTGTACCTTCTATTCTCATACTTTATTGCATTAAGTTCGACGAGATATCTTTCTTCGATATTAATCTGTCTCTGTTAATCGTCGTGTTTCACAACCGTATAAATAAAGCATGCTTTTTACCACAGTTTCATGGGTTGTAGTGTTAGAGAGAGCATGTCAGCTGTGCCAAAACGAAAAATAATCCTCCTTGTTGCTTCCACTGGAATAAGCTTGACCATTTAACTGGGCCCGGGCTACCTTTTCTAATTCTTTAAACTCCTGTTTTGAAATTAATAATTATTTTGTCTAATTACCTATTTAGTTGTCAAAACAGATACATTGTTAACTAAAGAAGTGAAAGTGGTTCAATTTAGAAATTATATAGTAAATAATAAATATTTGAAAACTGATGCACATATTCCTCCCGCGATTTATGCTTCAAGTACTAATTTTATAAATCGCACTTCTACTAATAGACGTAAATTCTTTCATTTTAATTTCATGAATGTTTTTATTCAACATTATTTCAAAACCGCACTGAATAGAAGGCCGCCCACTTGTTTATTGTATAGACCCAAGACTTTACACAATAGGGGGTTGTATAAGGTAGGTATAAAGCTTACCTCTAGTACAAGATGACGTTTAGAATATTCTTCGTGAATGGATTTTGTTTTTGTAAAGAAAGATATTTTTGAAATAGACATCTCTCTGAATTTTACCGTTACAATATTCGAGGATAAGCCTTAAGAAATGAACAATCATGGTGCAACTACATGACAAAGCAAAATAATAGATTAATAAAATAAAGGTTTACAAACCTAATACCGACCTTGGGTCGGTATTAGAAATATCTATACCTATTACCGACTCAATATATTTTTTACGATTTTTTCATTAAATACTGCAAATCTTCAAAAAATTACTACATTATAGTATAGACAACATTTATGGAAATGTCTTTAAAAATATATAAAAATATCTACTTAAATTTTATGCTTAATTTCTTTATTTGTGTACTTACCCCTTTAATGAATCACAAGCGCACGTAACCTACACTCTACGAAATCTGACCATAAAACTAATTCGAATGGCATCAATTCGGGTTCTTTCGTTCTAGACACTAATAAATTATTCACGTGATTTTTGCGAGTAAACTGAAATTGTGACAATACAACGTTCCTTTCATCCACAAAGCTTAATATTTCGTATTAATCATTTGGATCGGTAATAGGTGTTATTTTTGTATGGGTCGGTATTAGGTGACTTTACCTTAACCACCCTTAACCGAGTTTTTATTTTTATCTCAAAATTTTTTCTCGAAATTTGATAAAAACCTATCTTCCAAAGATACTGCAATTTTTTTATTTAAATTATTTATTTTTTTCCCTTATTTTGTTTTAATATCTAAAAAATACCCAAATTTTCAATCGAAAATTCTCACAATAAAATATCTCATTTTAAAAAAAAATTAGTGTGCCGTTTTTTCATTGAAATATCTACTTTTTGCTTGTGTAAATAAATAAATAAATCTTTGGCGAATCTTCTTAGAAGGTGCGAAAAAAAAACGAAAAAACTTAAATTCGAATTTTTTTAATCATTATGTAAAATTTTGAAATTAAATTACTCGAAAAAAGTAAGATTCTATGTTACATCGATAAACTAAAAAATTACAAATTAAAATATACCTACTACTATAGCTATCAACAAAATATCCTTATAAAGTTAATACTTTATAAGGCATCTTTAATAGTTTAAGAAAGTTTTAGGATATTTTTTAAATTATATGCTATATGACATATATTTTAAGAAAAAAGTAGATGTCGACATTATGTAGCAGTGTCTCGCGTCTTATATAAAATACTGTTATCATCAAGTGGGAGGGAAGAGCCTGGAAAACTACGGCCACTTATCCAATCCCACGATGCCTTACAAAACTTCGACCAGTCCATGCGAAGTGCCCTCTGTTTATGTTCCATTTTCGGTGGAATATTGGTATTTCCCACATGATTGATACAATAAAACACATTTTTAAAAGGTGGAAAATGTCCAGCCACCAGTCTCGGTTCGCAGGGTACAGGAAAACCTATATGAGAGCCGAAGCAAGACTAGCCGTGAATTCGATCCAATGTTTTAACCTTGTTTAGGCTTTTGCCTTTCAAAATGAGTACTCCTTTTTTTCCGGAGCAAAGGGGTGTGGCAAACGTGATGACGAATGCTTGTGATGATGTAGAGGTGGATTGCTAAAAAAGCTGGGGTTCAGAAGGTGGCATGTGTGATATGAAGCGCATAAGAGGAATTGTTGGCGAAGACGGTCTGAACAAGTCGAAGGGAGGTACTTCAAGGGGTACCAGCCATACTGGGAACGGTCCTAAATAGCGTTTTTGGCTTGCAGTTGTTAGCAATAAGAAATGATTCTAATATATCCAAATACTCACCAGGAAGTTCATTTCCAGTGTTGTGTAGAAGTTTTGCCAGAGGTAACGGAACTTGTCTTTTAGGAACTCTGATGAGTATTTGCCCTCGGCGATTGCATGGCGTCTTTAATGTTTGTTTGGCTCGGTTTTTCGAGCCTACAATAGTTCGAAGGACATACCTCCTGCTGAGAGACACAATACTGCGCTTAATCGGTGTTAGATTGGCTACCTGATGTATGTATGCTGATGGATAGTATCTGCACTTCCTCATACAGAATCTAAAGATTTACCTTTTAGTGGCCATGATGGTGTTAATTTGGCGGCTGTTGAGTGATGCGTAGACGCATGCCTTCTCCTAACAAGATTATCCTGCCATGAACATCACGATAATTGGAAGATTTAAATAATATAAGTTGTAAAATGCGTTAGGCTTTCACGGCCATCGTCTAACTTGTTAGGCTATTTGTTCGGGCTGTTAGGCCGTTGTCTTCTGAGATTAGTTCTCGACGTTTCGCCAACACTAGGGGTTGGCATCTTCTGGAGATGTTACTGCTTCGCTTGTAAGCTGAAACTGACGCTACGTTGTACTACGGAGGCCATATTTATATTTTCTACTCGCCTTCCCGCCACTGGTTTGGGCGTGAGGGGGCGTGTCGTCGTTTGTAGCTCTTCTTTTTTCGTGATTTGCTGTAAAGGTTTTGTGAGAGATAAAAATAAAAAACTAAAAACTTGGTTATTTCAATTGTTTGCATAAATTTTGAGGTAAAACGTTTTAATACAAAAATTGTAGATCTTTTTATTACCTTAAATTTTACTATTTTCGCATTGGTCTTGTAGTTTAGTCGGGAATCTTAATAAAGGGTTTTTTACACTTAAAAACTCATCCCATTCGACTTTCCGACCTCAGATCGCCCGTAAATTATTTTTCTTGTCATTTTTGATATAATTTCTTTCTTTTGCATTGGGTTTCATCCTGTTACTATTTTTTTGTCTCAAAAATTATTAGCACTTGCTAATACACAACGTATATGTCTGGCTACATAATATATATGTCTTGGAACTTTCTCGTTTGATTATCATAAGCCATTAATGACTTCAAAATATGTACCAGTTTCCTTTGTTATTGCTTTATATGGTGGAGCTAATTACCAGGTTTGATATATTGCATATTGACTCGAAAAAAATGATATTGGCTGCAAAATAAAATTAAATTTCTTTCTTTTTTTAGAAACATTTCAAAATTAGAAGAGGGAATTGGTGAAAAAATTGGAACTTTTATATTTTTTGAGTCAACCTTTGTAGCAGGATGTGTTTTGGGTCTAGTTAAAGGATGGAAATTAGCATTGGTGTGTATGGTATCACTTCCTTTATCGACTACAATTATGACAGTAATATCATGGGTAAGTATTATACGTAGTATTTAATGCAGTTATTCTTGGGTCGATGTATTATTTAAGAAAAATATGGCATAACCATATGGTTAATGGAAATATGAAAATCGAAATCAATTTAGATATGAAAAAACTACGAAATGCTACCATTTAAAGTGGTGCGTTTTTGAGAAAATAGTGAATTAGACCCTATGCACTATGGTGCATTGCGGGTAAATTATATCCACTCTCCCTACATATACATCTATTAAAAAGATGTTTAAAATTACATTTCCTATCAAAATATCACTTTTTAAATTCAAAAATAAGTTTTTTGACAAAAATGTATTCAAAAACAAAGCAAAAATAGGAATAAACGTGATTTCTCTTTTCAAAGAAACAAGTTTTTTCCACGGAGGTATTTATATGTATGAGCATTACTTAACAGAAACAAAAATTGTATCCTTCCTCTTTATACTGACGTTTAGTAGAAGTCTGCTTCTATAAACCAAGAATTATTCGAGAAGCAACAGAAATTAAAAAAGGTCAAATTGTCTCAATAAAAAAGATGACGTCATGCGGTTACCTTCGACATGGAAACCTCTCATAAAGAAAATATCGTCCGCTTCACCCGCCAATCAAAATCCTGCTATCAAAAATATTCGCACCAACCCCCGCGCCGATCCGCGAGCCAATCCTTTCGCTAAACCCTTAGGCCAACGTCCACCCAAACCAAGTTATCATCGACGGTATAAATGAACCGTCCTGTTCCCGGTAGCAATAATAATAAGACCTCGGAAGCCCTGAAGTCTCGAATTGTCTACTTATCTCTTAAATGAATGGTCTGAATTAAACAAAAACTTAGTTTTACCATTTTTCTGATATCATTATTCACTTTGATTTTTTTATATCATAATCATCACTCTGTATATTAATGGATATCCTCACTTCAATATGAGTTCAACCATATGTAACAACAATATGTAGGTATTTTATCTAGTCAGGAAGGTCCTAAATAAACTTCTCAGTGTTAAATAGTTTTGAAGTAATTCAGTTAATATAGAATTATAACATGAATTCATAAAACCAAGCTTGACGTTTATTAAAGTTTTTTAAAATAAAAAGTATAAATAACTAAAACTGACAGTTGTTTTATGTGTTTTTATAAACTCCACAATAAAGATGGTTTTTAAAGGAAAAAAACACGATTTGCTATTTTAACGATGGGAGGCTACGGCGATAGAAAAAGATCTTATAGTGAAGTAGCCAACTTGTTCAACCATGCTTTCCCGAACAATCTCCTATCCATAAAGCGACGTCGGCGGTACAAAAAATTGTTATAAATTACAATAAAACAAGATTTATTGGTAGGTTTCGTTGAAGATTCATACATCCTGACGCAGATCTGCACAAATATACGATGTGGTTCTTTAGTCTTGCATGTACTACATAAGCATTCATTAAAACGTGTGGGAATATAAATCGCCAAAATTTAAGATATTGGAGTGAGGTACATCCACACCAGATACGTGAAAATTATACTCTAAGATCACAAAACCTAAATGTATGATCGGGTATAATGGAAAGTCAGTTAATTAGGCCATTTTTTATAGATGAAAATTTAACAAGCTGTAATATTATGAAATGCTACTTAGAAATGAAAGTGTACCTGTTTTGAAAAACAAGTTTGTAGCCAATTTTAATGAGATGATATGATTGCTAAACAGCTAACGACAGGAACACCCATAGGAAGGAGAAGCAGAGGCCAACTACGGCTTAGGTGGTAAGAGTTTAGACCGACTTAGGGATACTAGATATCAGAACATGGCAAAATGTTGCCAGAAACCGAACAGAATGGAGACGAATCTTAGAACAGGCCAGGATCAACAAAAGATTGTCGAGCCAAAGATGATGATGATGATTTCCTGGTTTCCTGGATTGGTAGATTAGATAATAGTAATGAATGGCCTCCTTGAAACCGTAGGCTTCCACGGCCAGAGTCAGAATTATAGTTTATGCGTCTTCCGGGTTTAGACCGTGTCATTTGTGGGTGACCCAAAAGTGGGTTCATCTCGACGTTTCGCTACAATTGTATGTAGCTTCTTCAGGAGAACAAAGAAAAAGAAATCAAAAGACAGGAAGATGGGTAGTTAGCAACGGTAACTCAGTTACAGAATCCTCCCCGGGGATTCACTCCCCGCCTCTCGACGCGTTAGTGTTCTGAGCTGTTGGACGTGAATCCCTGTCCTGGCATTTGGTTTTTACCTCTGGCTGCGTTAAGTAGTTGAGTTACTGTGACCAAATGCCCATCTTGGTAGTTAGTATTCGCCTCTGGTTGCGTTGAGTAACTGACTTACCGTTGCTAACTACCCATCTTCCTGTCTTCTGATTTCTTTTTCTTTGTTCTCCTGAAGAAGCTACATACAATTGTAGCAAAACGTCGAGATGAACCCACTTTTGGGTCACTCACAAATGACACGGTCCAAACCCGAAAGACGAATAAACTATAATGGCCTCCTTGTTCACCCGATTTAAATCCTAAAGATTATTTTTATTAGGGTTACTTGAAAAGCAGCATTATTTAGGATACTGTCAAATTAACAACGGAATACATTTTGAACACTTCATTAGTTAGACGTTAATTTAGCTATGTAGTAAACTTTTAATTATTATGTATAAATTTAGTTGAACATAGTTTGAATCAAATTGATCAAATTTATTGATACAATTGGGCGTTTCTGCGCTTTTGTTTTATTTTTTAAGATGTTCCTGACTATATTCTAACTATAAAATCAAAAGATGGTATACGGTTTAAATAACTGGTATTGAAGAGATTTCAATAAAGGTACAATATACAGGGTATTTAAAAACCCAAAATGACTAATAATATCAGAAACATAGTAAATCTGGTACATTTTTTTTTGCCTTAGGTTCAAGACCTATTTAGCCAGACAAAAATCTGGAACATATACAGTGTATTTTAAACATTATAAATATTAAAAATATCATAAATATTTTCAGATATCTACAAAATTTTCAGCGCAAGAAATGGAATCATACGGCGAAGCTGGTACGATCGCTGAAGAAGTTTTCACCGCAATCAAAACTGTTGTGGCTTTCGATGGACAAGACAAAGAAATTGACAGATATAATAAACACCTCGTTGATGCCAAAAAGAATAACTTAAAACGAAGCTTTTTTACTGCTATAAGTAATGGATGCTTATGGTTTTTCGTATACGCGTGCTACGCTTTGTCGTTTTGGTATGGAGTAACATTAATATTGAATGATAGGCATCTGCCAGAAGACCAACAAGTTTATACACCAGCAAATATGGTATCTGTAAGTACTGATTTATTATAAAATTTAATTTATATTATTTAAGATTATTATCATTATTATTAATGTAACTGAGAAGAACATTAAGAAATGTAATAAAATTAGATTAGAGATAAGTGTCAAATAATAATATTTGAGAAATTGCACCTCTTTAAACCTTCCAACACAAAGATCATTAGAGAATAAGTATACATATATACAGGTTCATAAGGAATTGTTACAACAACTACTACTGAACACATATGTACAAGAATTTTCTCTAAACAACTAAAAGTTTAAATATGTCGGTTTGCGTTTGGATTCTATTTTAGGTCTCTTATCATTCTCTAACAACTGTTTCTGGGTCTACTCGTCATCAGAGATACTTGTAAGAAGACTCAAACCAAATCAAAACGCACCGACTAGTATGGCAATTATAGAAAAAATAATTACCAGAGTATGCTTTTAGCGACCTCTAATGAGCGAAGATGAAGTAAAATGTCGATAGCAATTAAAGTAAACTGTATACCCAAGCTTAATCAAACCATTCATAGCGATGCTGGGAATATTTATATGCATCAACAGTTTACCGATACAACTAAAAGTTTGTTAAAATTTGCAGCATAAACTAAGTGTTACCGATCCTTCTGTTGCTAGCCATTTATTCGACATATCTTTCTTGGTCCCATCACAATCTTCTATTTCTTTATTTCACTATTCCTTTTTATTCTTCAATGGCAGCTTCGTCAAGAGCTTTAATGATTTCGTTGTAAGTATTAATTGGTGAGGAGTAACAAACATTGTTTAATTTTAAATCAACCTCATTCGACACAGAAAGAAGTTAGACGAATTTTCAATACCTTGGAAATTATATATTTGTCGTGAAAAGACTTTTTTATTGAATTTTTATCTTTATTTCGTCGTTGGCTTTCTTTAAATGCATATATATTTATTATACAGGCCGTCTAAAAAGTAAAAACAGTTTGGCATAAAAAAATTAAAAACAAAAGTTATCAACACAAAATTGTATTTAAAAAGTCACAGTACCTTAGGCTATTTTGCAATGTATTTGCCTTGGTTGTCAAGACATGTTCGTGGTATCAGTTTTTCAATGACGGTGTTATAGTCCTCTACCGCTAAAAGTCTGAGCCTTCTTCTTTGAGCTCTTTATCGTTTTCAAACTCATTTTATCCATATTGTGCATTTGATATCATCTCTTCTTCTTCTTCTTTCTTCTTTTATGTAGGCTTTAAAGCCCGAATCTTCTTCAATAGCCTAATAACTTGTTCAAAATATCGCCCATCTTTTTCTTGGTCTGCCAGTACTTCTTCGTCCATTTGGTGACTTATCTCGTGCTATTCGTACTATCCTATCCTCTGCATTCTACTATTGTGTTCGTTCCACTCCTGTTTTCGTTTTGTCACCCATCCATTTATGTCTTCTAGATTGCATGCTCTTCATATGTTTTTGCTTCTCTCCCTATCCAACAGACTTTTCCCTGATATTCGTCGAAATATATTCATCTCTGTTGTTTCTAGTCTCTCTTGTATCGTTTTAGATGTGTCAGGTCTTGTCTCCGTCATGTATGTTAATATAAGTCTAATTGCTGCTTCATAGATTCTTGTTTTTGTGTCTTGTCTTAGGTGTTTATTCTTCCAGATTATGTCATTAAGAGATCTCGCCGCTGTACTTGCTTTTAAGCTTTGAGGTCATACTTCTTCTTCAACATCTCCGTAACTAGTTATATCTATTCCCAGATATCTAAACCTTTCTTCCTGTTTAATTATTTACCCATTCAATTTCGATTGTACATCGTAGTGGGTATTTAGATGTCATACATTTGGTTTTTTTTTCTGCTGATACTATTATATTGTATTTCTTTGCTGTTGTATTGAAGATATGTGTTAATCTTTGGAGCTCATCTTTTGTCTCGACGATTAATGCGGCGTCGTCTGCATAATATAATATTTGGATTTCCTTGTTTCCCATTCTGTAACAGTGACCTTTACGTACTGCTTGTATTATGGCGTCAATTATTATATTAAAGAGAAGTAGGCTTAACGAGTCACCCTGTCTAACCCCGCTTTGGACTAGTATACACTGTGTTAGTTTTCCATTTATCTTTTCCTGTATTCGATTATGTAAGTAGATGTTTTCGATGGTTTGTATAATATTGATTGGTATGTTTTTTTTATACAGTAGGTGTAAGACGTTTTCGACTTGGATACGATCGAAAGCCTTTGTATGGTCTATAAAACATATATATGCTGGTTTATTGTACTCGATGGCCTTTTCTGTGATTTGTCGTACTACAAATACGGCGTCTACGCAGGATCTTCCGGATCTGAATCCTTGTTGTTCATCTGATAAAGTTGTTAGTTTATTGATTTTGTTGGTTAGGACTTTTGTGGTAAGCTTAAGTGCTTAAAGTATGCTGTTTAGTAGATTTATACATCTATAATTGTTTTGCTCTTCTTTATCTCCTTTCTTGAACATTGTTATCATTATGCTGTTTCTTCATGCATCTGGTATCTTGCATTATTAGTTATTGTATAAGTTTTGTCATCTCTAGAGTTATACGTTATCCTCCGTGTTTTAGAAGCTCGTTGGTTATTCCATCTGGTCCTGGTGACTTTCTATTTTGTGTGAATTTGTGGCTATCTCTACTTCCTGAAGACTGATTTTTATTTCGTGTCTTAATTCAGGTACATTATTGTGTTGATTATTATTTTCCTTTCTTTTAAACAGTTTCGTCAGCTATCTTTCCCATTCGTTTACTGTTATGTATACTTTACTGTATGTTATTGTATTCCTTCAATTCTACCATTTCTTTCCGTTGGTTTCTTATGAATCTCTATATTTGTTTTTGTGTACCGTAGAAGTCGCTTTCCATCCTTTTTGTAAACTATTCCCAGTATTCTTTTTTTGTTCTTCTTACGAACTGCTTTGTTTCATTTCCTATTCTTCTATAGGTGTCTTGAGATTCTGGAGTATTTGATGTTTTGTACTTCGTGTAATACCATCTCAAGACGCAATTATTGACAACCTTTCTCAATGTAACCTCACTGCCAACATAAAGGGTTTCCGTCAATAACTTCTTTTTCTCCACACATCCAACATGATGGAGTTTTTAAGGTTCAGTTTTAAGCAAATTCTTATTCATTTTTGCGATTAGCAAGTCAAATGGTAAATTTAACTCAACTACTAGTAAAATTCTACAATTCTACAAAAACAATATTGCTTACCTAGAACTTAATTTTTTAAATTCAAATATTAAATTCAATTCAAATATTAAATATAGCGAAAGAATTCCCTGAAATCATTGTCAATAACTTTAAATTACTGGATATTGATAAATGCAAAATATTAGGGCTGATATTGGATTCAAGCTTAACCTGGAAACAACACATTTAGGAAACTAAAGGAGTTTGCCTAAAAAGTTAAATATTTTCGTCTTCTTCCTCGTCTTTATAAGGAATTCTGCTTTTTCATTGTCGGATTAATACCCCTATGGAAGGTTGTCGCTCCATCTTCTGCGCGGTCGTCCGATATTTCTTCCCCGCCTGCATTTTTATTGAGTGGATCGAGTAACTCAACAGAACTGTTGGCAGTTCCAAGCCCAGATAGAGGAGGAGGGGGTCTACAGTGAGGTTAGCACCCTACTGATATAATTACATAAAGCTCATAGAATCAGGATTATGCCTCGAAACAGGAAGAAGTTTAATGTAATTAAAACTATTGGAACGTAGAAGAAACTACGTTACTGAAAGTTTACAGATAACTTATCCACTCCAATCTCGGGTATGGATGTTTTTTTTATATGTCTGCAACTACATCAACCCTAAATTCAATAAATACAGTACAGAACACGATTCTTTACTGTGAAGCTAATAAACCACCTCTTTAGCTGAGATGAGAATACCTTCTCCTCTCCTATGCTATTGCAATTTATTTTAAATCCCTCCAATTCAGTATATCATTTAATAACATCATCAAACCAACACCATAAAACCTTTCGCGTAACTTAATTATACATATTTTTTCTGGTGTTCTACAGCCGTTATTAAAAGATATAAATTTGTCTGAAACCAAAACTCTACCATTAATCCATCGATATATCGAATAATCTCTATAAGATCAACATACTCAAAACAAACAAAATTTGTTTAATTTACTAATGTTTGTATTTTGAAAACGATTACCGAAGTGGAAATTGAAACGTCAATAAACGTACTTTAACCTTTACTTGTGGCTTATTCCCATTTAAATAGTAATCACTCACACAGTATGATATTTTTGTCACCAAATTTAATAAATTTAAGGACGATACCAGTCTTAACACATTAATAATTCTCTTTCTAGAACTGATAAACAAAAATAAATATATGGTTATTTACACTGACGCATCAAAAACAGTCACTACGCCCTGACAAGGGCTAAAGGATTGAGGAGGATCAAAAACAGAAAGTGAAGTTGGATATTCTGTAATTACTGTACAACAGCCTACCGAACTCTCTAAAATTTCTCCTTGGTGTAGTATATACACTGGTAAACAACTATCTATCACACATGCTTTCAAATATGCTCAATAATACCCGAACACACATAGCCACATGCACTGATTCACTTTCCTCTGTATCCATGAATACTGTATCCACCAACCATTCTCTCTTCCAAGATATTAATGGAATATATCCGCTTAATCAGTTTATAGACTAAAGAAGCTTAATCTATCCACCTGACAAATTTACTGAAATAAAGTTACTTCAGCGCTGCATTAAATTAAACCCTCAGTGAACTTATTTAACTGTCCTAGTAGTTTACTTCGGAAAATATGGCAATCATACGGAGTTTACTTATAGGACATATCCGTTTATTTTAGCTATATGATGACATTATCTCCACAACCAAAATGTCAGCATTGTAATATGACTCTCCCGATAGGACATTTACTTATCGAATTTCCTTTTTATGCTAAAATAAAAAGGTATCAGGTATCGGTATCATTTCTATCTATATAGAGGTCCTAAACGCAGACAGAATCAACAAGATGATCAAATTCCTCGAGAAAAATCAACTGTTAAACAAAATATAAATATTAAATGTTTTTTTGTGTTAAATGTTACAAATACTACTATACACCATGTAAACTGTAAGTTATACTAATGGCCATCACATGCAGGTTAATTTAAATTTTAAAAAACAGACAGTAGCTAGCAGTAAAAATTTAAAATATTAATAACTGCGTACTTGTAGTTAATAACTTTGGATATTATTTAACTGTGTCCTAAGTATCTTCATGAATTTTAGGTATTCTTTTCAACGTTAATAGCTACTTGGAATTTTGGATTAGGAGCTCCACTACTGGAGACTTTTGGAACAGCCAAAGGAGCGGCACAAAAAATATTTTCAGTATTAGATAGCAAACCCATTATAAGAAAATTTGCAAACAGTGGACTTATAATAAATGACGCCTCTTTGGAAGTAACATTTGAAGGTGTGCATTTTAGTTATCCTTCAAGATCAGACGTAAAGGTAGGTTTAAAACTCAAATATTAACTAACTCTAAAATTTAAGTTTTATAGACCATAGTTTCGATTTACTAGATTTCCATAATTTAATTTTTTTATAAACTTCCATCTTGGATCATTCATACTTATCCATTTTTATTTTTTTTTTGTTACTCTACACATTCTTCTAAAAATTTTCATTTCTGCAAAATGGATTCGTTGTTCTTTTTGTTTAGTTAATTCTTCTTCTTTAAGTTCCATCTTCTATCGAAGGTTGGAAATCATCATGGCTACGTGGACTCCGTTGACTGTCTAAAAAGTTCTGCACTACTGCATTCAAACCATTCCCTTAAGTTCTTAAGCCAGGATATTCTTCGTCTTCCCACATTTCGCTCTCCTCGGATTTTCCCTTGCATAATAAGTTGTAATAATGCGTAATTTTGCCCTCTCATCACATGTCCTAACTACTCAAGTTTTCGTTTTTTGATAGTTAATATTCTTACCGCCTCATTTCCTATCCTTCTAGTTACTTTCACGTTTGACATTCTTTGAATCCATTATATTCGTAGGATGCTTCTGTAAAGGCCGTATGACACTATGCATTTTCTTGTATCATTTCTTATATCGTTTCTGATATAACAAAAAAATGGATAGTGTCATATAAGCCTATAGTTTCTTATATCAGAAACGATACAAGAATTTATGTCCGCTGCATTTTCTTGTACAAGAAATGCGCCAATTTGTGTGCAAAGCCTCAAAAACGTAAAACTGAAATATTGGCGGCTGAAGGAGAACTTTGATTGATATGCAATTAGACCAAGCCACCACCAAGCAGACATCAAAGAAAAGTGCCCACTAACAATAACCAAGATTAGAAGATCAGTAGCCAAATCCAAAAACAATAAATCACAGGGATTGGATCAAATGGCATCGGAAGTACTGAAAGTCGGAGGAGATGTTTTACTAAAAACAATACATAACAGCTCTAAAAATTCGTGATGAGTTTAAAGATTATTTTATATCTCCAAATAAGAGAGTAGAATTTTAAGACCATGCCATTCAAACACATAATTAAAAAAAAACAAATAAATTATTACAACCAAATTATTTAGTATTTCTGTCTTCCATTACATCCTGTTGAATATCTTCAAAAATTGTGGTTTCCAATTTAGTTTTGTCTCAATATTGGGACATTTTATTTCTTTCATTTTTGCACCACAGTATTCTAAAAAACAATCAGTAGCATAATATGGCTTAGTAAAACTGCAGTACCTGAGGACCCCATGGGTCCTCCAGATACTGCAGTTCTATTTTTATAGGTGTCAAAATTTCGACCAATCATGTGCCAAATCACATATAATTTTCGGTAAAAGAACTTGCATAGTGTCATACAGGGCAAAAATGTACGTGCAAGAAACGATACAAGAAAACATAAATAACTTTCTATATCAGAAACGATATAAGAAATGATACAAGCAAATGCATAGTGTTATACGGCCTTAACACCAAAATTCAAAGGCAGCCAACTTATGCAGATGTACTTGTTTTAGTGTCCACACTTCCAAGCCATAAAGAAGAGTAGAGAGCACGTAACATCGAAGCATTCTCAGGCGTAGTTTTAACCTTATATCTCGATGACAAAGAAACTTTTTAAGTTTAATGAATGATGCAAGTGCTATTTCAATATGCAATGATTGGCATAATATCAATATAATTGATATTATGCCAATCCTATGAAATTTACCTTTATTTTGCGTTTTAATCTTTCTGTTATAACATACTAATCGTCTCCTTACATTCATCTATTCCGATCTAAGTATACTGTATAAATAAAAATATATTTCCCAATTTCTCTGATACCGATCTAAGATACTAAAAACCTTACTTATACTTTTCACTATCTTAAGCAACCATCTTATTTGAGTACTAACTCCATTTTCAAAACATTCTAGATCCACTGTATATTTCCTATTTTAACCTATATCCCGTTGTTCTGTTCAAACTTTCCACAGTTCCTGTGTTTTTGTTATAGTTTCTTTAGATTAGTGTAAATACTCACAATGTTTAAGCAAATTGAGATAAACCCAACAAAATGAAAGCTTTAAAAATTGGAAACTCCAAATTTAAACAAAAAACTCCAACTTTCTGTCAAAAATAATGTTATTAATAAAGTTCTCTAAAGTCAATAAAATATTTACTTTTAACTTAGGCTATGAGAGCAAGAGTGGGCTAACCAACATTTTGTTGATAATTGAGTTATAGATTGCAATCACTTCTAACGACCTAAAGTTTTAAAGCAAAACCGGTCTAACCAACATTTCCGTATATTATAACATAAATCTCTCCAGTAAGGTGATTTTGCATTATAGAAAATAACAAAAATTTTAAAACACGAATGGGCTAACCCACGAAGTTGTGGAATAGACCAAAATTGTTCAATACATAAATACGTAAAAGAATGCAAGAGAGCTAACCATCCTCTTTGTAGGATAGACCGGTTTTAACTGCTAATCAAGGGTACGTATCACACAATCTAACCTTCCAGTGAATAGATGTTTGTGTAAGGTGGAAAATTATACTGTGTAGTAGTGCAGTCCCTTTCTTTTTAATCGTATCCTGTCTTTGCGCTTGGAGATGCGCTATGGTACACGGTACATACCTACGGATTCGTGCAAAAAATGTGATTTGTATAACAATAAACTAAACTTCTCAACAGTTCAAGCAGAAAAACGTGAATTTGAAGTAACACTAGAGGTTCACTAACGAAAAGCAGACCGTGCTAGATGTAGTATAAAACAAGATGCAGAGTATACAAAACAAAATCCTAAAGAAATTACAGTGATTGCATTTGACTTGATGCGAACGTTGCTCATACCAGTTATCAGCACTGGAATTTCTTACTATAAATGCCAGTTGTGGACTTACGTCTTAGGATTCCATAATTTGACTAATAATGCTCATATGTATGTTTGGAACGAGACACAAGCATCATGAGGACCTCAAGAAATAGGATCCTGTTTACTGCATTATTTTAAAAATATTGTTACAACAAAAAAAGTAATACTATATTCCGATCATTGCGGAGTGCAGAACCGTAACATTAAAATGGCTGTCCTTTGCGATTTTATTGTGTCACATCCTGATATTGTGGTGCAAAATATTGATCATAAGTTTTTAGTCAGCGGACATTCTTACCTTTCCTGTGACGTAAACAAAAAAAATTTTTAAAAGATATCTACGTACCTGACGACTGGATAAAGTCAGGTACGCACATGTCAAGTAATAGCACATGCACAAAAGAAAGCACCTTTTACGGTAATAAAGATGACAGAAAACCATTTTTATTCTACTTAGAAGTTAGAAAGAAATATAACAAATCGCAAACTTGATAAACAAAAATCAAAAGTCCAATGGCTACTGATTCAGTGGTTGCAATACAAGAAAACAAATTCATTTGCAATTTACTACAAATGCAATAATGCAGATGTTCTATTTTACTGACTAGATGTTAAAAAGAGGACATCTAGGGAAATACTTCAGCTAGATTATCTTTATCCCGATGGACGTACAATAACCAAAGCAAAAAAAAAGATCTTGTTGGATTACTTTCATTTATACCTCCAATACATCATGGACTACTGCTTTACACAAGCACTAGAACAATCAGATCCACTATTCAGCAAGAAGAAGAGTTTACTAACGATGAAGATTAAGTATTTTTGTTACTTTGTTTTTTAGTAAAGCATATTTTCAACATTGATATTGTTTAATTGTATTGTACTCTTGGTCTAATCCACATTCCTATTAAAATTTTTAAGGGCACACTGATGCAAAAGCGGTCTAATCCACAAAAAAGCTTAAATTTTTATATTTTTGTTAAATATACTGCAAGATCTTCGAGTTTTTTGTTATTAGTTAATGATTTGTAAACAATGACTACCTTTTGGCATCATATTTGAATTTTATAAAATTTCAAAAAAACGCATATATTCTTGGTTCATGTAAATTCTTTATTCAATATTTGGGGTTAGCCCCCTCTTAGCCAAGAATATTAGTTTTGAAACCACAAAAAAGATGCAAAAAAGTTTACCACTTTTATCCCGGGTTTCCCCTAAAACCCGGGGATAAAAGTGGTAAACTAAAATCCCCCTAAAATTTTTTGTATAGAATGAACCGTTTTTTAGAAACAACGCTTAAAGCAACCATCTATTTTGCATGTCAGTTAAGCGCGAAATCAATGTTCAATGAAATTTATATCAACTCAACGGTAAAAATTCGATATCTTTTGATTCAAGTGACCTATTGACAAAAATCAAGATGCGTTTTGGACAAAACGGATTTTTTGAGCATCTTTTACATTATTTTTCGAAATTTAGTGCTGTTTTCTAAAATTAATAAATTAAAAATTAAAATGAAAATTCCTCCGTTCTCCTTTTTCGCCTAGATATATTGTAATATTTTGATATGTACGTAATATTTTTCTAATTGTGTTTTTATGTTTTAATTGTTTTAAACTAACAACATTTATAACACACCTCATTTTTTAGATTCTTAGAGGTATAAATCTTACAATAAGTAAAGGTGAGACAGTTGCACTGGTTGGAAAATCTGGATGTGGTAAATCCACCTGTATTCAATTACTTCAGAGATTCTACGATCCAGATATGGGTCAAGTAAGTAGACTAATAGGAGTATAATGGACCATATTTTTAAATTGTAATTTTGATTTTAAATGTAGTATATCTACGACTTTAAATTGGTAGTCACGAGTACATAAAACCTGTATATATCTTCATCTTTATGTGCCGTATCCGTATTCAGACGTTGGTCGTCATCTATTTACATTTTTCTGAAACCTTTCTCTATCAGCTGCTGCGCAAAATAATTCTTTTACTGTGTCACCACACCATTATCTAATATTACGCAACCATAAAAGTTCATTTTGACCAATTCATCTCTTTCCCTCTAGTTTTCCTTGTATTATAACGCCGGTTCCACACATGGGGGCCAACGTTGGCCCCAACAGCGTTCGTCCAATGTGTGTACCGACAAAACTGTGTTGGGTCCAATGTTGGCGTCAATAATTTTATGACTTGCTCCAACGTTGGAAGTTTTCCGTCGGCTGTCGGGTTCTGCGTACACATCAAAGAGATTGGCGCCAATACTGGTGTTGCCGTTGATGCCAACCACACATTGGTGCTACAGCAGTGTTCCAATCGGCATATAATAAGTTTTGTTATTTGGGCATAATTTAGTTGTTAGAGCGTAATATACGCATCCTGCATAAAATTAGGTATCTAAGTTTGCACAATCTAGAAAAGCAAAGGAAAATAAACCAATGACAAGACCCAGTTTATAAAAAGAATCCTTGTGTTACTATTTTACACAGCATTTTTTTTTTTTAAATAAAAATTACTTTGTTGACGAAAATTTCCATTCCATGACGACATTAAAAACAAATTTACAAAATAAACAAATTAAATCGATTTTCGGCCGCCTGAACCATCTCCGTTGAGTTGTTTAGGATTAACACTTAGATACACGACGGTCGTCTACCAGAACGGGTTTATGCTCAAAAGGCTATTTCTTACAAATATAAACATATCTGGTTTTTCAATACCTTTCAAGCATCCAAAAAAATTTACTTATCTAAATATTTTACAAAAGTATATGCTTTTAATTTTGAAATATAGATCACTTTGTCCTAACAGTCCGCCGTCGTGTGGCCATGTAACTTTTAAAATATGTACTTCCATATATCGGCTGTGGATTAAAGTCATTTAAAGTTTTATGCAGAATATAGCCAAAACAGAACGCTAATAAATTTGAGAATTGAGTTAATAAAAGAATAAATGGGATTTGTATCGATGTCAGGTTTATACTTATATATTCAGTCTGAAGTTGCCAAAAATATTGACGCCAACATTGGACCCAACACAGTTTTGTCGGTACACACATTGGACGAACGCTGTTGGGGCCAACGTTGGATCTCATATGTGGAGCCAACCTAAGGCGAAGTAGATGGTATTTAGGACCTCTAAATATATGTATGAAGTATTCTCTATTTCTCTTCCTTATAATGGTTGAAAAAAGACGTTTTGAATTTATCATTTTAAGAACATCTTCATTGGAAGTGAGGGAAACCCACTTTGTTTTATTTTCTTAAACACAGTTTATATTTTTGGAGAACACTTTTTTGGGAATAAGTTTATTTAAAATTAATTAATATTAAAAGTTCTTTATTTCAGTTGTTGTTTTGGCAGATGCTAGATGTCTATTTAAAAACAATATTTAAAATACATGGACGTATAAACATAGATGGACACAGCAATAAGATACCTTTAACAGACAATGTTTTGAAGCTTCGATAGAATGTGATGCTTCCGCAATGAGCATAAGCGTGCTTGAATGTTTACTCGCGGATAATTATTCAGATTTAAAAAAATGGAAGTAGTAATAATATATAAAAACACGTTCAAAGGATTTAAAAAAACGAGAGTTTAACTATTAACAAATCACGTCTTTATAGAAAAATTAAAATACAATTTTATTTGCTTTAAAATTTACAATTAAATATAGTTGAATTCAAGTTAATTTTTTATTAAAGGTATCAAAATAATGCTACAATAAAAAATCTTTATGTTTTCTCCTAAATTTGCAACCCAAATAGTTCGATCGTCATTCGATTGCACTAATTTATTTGTATCCATGAGAAATAATAAATTAAAAAGGTACTAAACAGATCTTTTTTAATCAGATGATGTCTACTTACAATTTAAAAATGTCTACTAATTTCATGAACTTATATCTTATTCAATACATTAATAAACATGAATAAACCCAATGGTACGCCTATTAAAATGTAAACAAACACGCTTCCTCATTTCCTCATCTTAAATAATGTAAATTGTATGTACTTACAAATGAAATGAGAGATCGGGATGTAAATATTTCGTTTATTTTATTTCACTTTTCACAAATATCACTCAAAATACAGCCAAAATATCGAAAAACAACTTTTACTAAAAAGTAAACAAACATGGAACAGCATTTGAAGTTTGACGTAGATCCATAAGACAGAGAAATGTAAACAACCGTTGCCATTTATAAATAGTTTTCAGTGCTTCTACATATAAAATAATTGATTGATATCTATTATACGCTATTATTAAATGATAATGCACACTATGTGCACACTTTATATTTTGATTACAATTAAATATATTAATCTAACCAATAAATTATTATTTTGGTTTGATAGCACCTGTAGAGTATAAAATACGGAGTAATATTTTCAGCGACTCGCGAATAAGAAATTTTAAAACAAAACGTGACAACAGTTGAAGGTGCTGAGAATGTGACCTATTCAAATAATTTTGACTTCACAATTTTATGTAAATAACTGAGTCCATCTGTGTTTATACGTCCATGTTAAAATACTTTAATTGATTTTGTCATACATGTATGTCATACATGTTTGTCATAGATGATTTTGTCATACATGTGTGTTGTACTCGATCGAATGTACCTTCGAATTTACCGTGTGTCGTTGTACCTTCTTGAAGTCGATGAAACAAACATAAACGTTCACACAGAAGGAATACTGGATTTTGTATAAGTCGTAAAAATATTCAAAAAGTCAAAGGTGTTTTTAATGCGTAAAATTATTGTCCGTAAAATACAGTTTCAATAAAATTCTTGGATTGCAACAAGCATATTTAAAGAATGGCTTATTGACTTCGACAAGAAAATAACAGAAAAAATAGAAACGTTCTATTATTTCTCGATAACTGCGCTGCCCATAAACCTGATGTAAAGTTAAATAATAACAGCAAGTTTCAATAATATGACAAGTTCGTTATCTAGTTCTAATAATAAATTTCAGTTGCAGAAAATTGCATAAAAAATTTTCTTATAAAGTTTTTTAATAGCAATTCCAATAAGCAGGTTCAACTGTAGCAGATGAGGTCTTATTGATAATTTGATCTGAAATTAATAATTCGTTTGCCTGAATATTCTTAAATGTTTAAGTTTACATAGTTTGATATAAAAGGAGCTACTTTTTTAGGGCTAACATAATTACGTTCTATAAACTGAATCCGTTTTAAACACAGTTTTCTATAAGATACCCTGCAAATCTGAATGAGTCTGATTAAAAATATTGAACACATTTTTCATAAATGTAAATTTTTTTGTTCATAAATATTTATAAAAATTATCTATTTCAGATCAAAATAAATGGTACAAATATTAAGGAGCTAAATTTAGACTGGCTTAAACAAAAGATTTCCGTTGTAAGTCAAGAGCCAGATTTATTTTCCACTACCATCGCCGAAAACATAAGATATGGAAAACTAAATGCTACTCAACAAGAAATAGAGAATGCAGCGAAAAAAGCTGATATCCACGCATTTATACAGACTTTACCGCGAGGTTACCAAACAGTTCTGGGAGAACGAGGAACTCAATTATCTGGTGGTCAGAAACAAAAGATAGCCATAGCTAGAGCTCTAGTACGAACTCCTGAGTTTTTACTTCTAGATGAAGCCACTTCAGCTTTAGATACGACAAGTGAAGCAGAAATACAGGAAGCTTTAGATTCGGTAAGTGTGTTTTCATATGACTTTCTTTTGATTTTATTAATTTGCTTAATTAAAAATATCGAATTAATTACTATTTAATTGGGAATAAACCACAATTAAAGATAAAAATACGTTTATTGACGTTTCAATTTCCACTTCGGAAATCGTTCTCAAAATACAAACAGTAAATTAAACAAATTTTGTTTTTTGTTACATAGTGAAAATTCTTCTAATAATTTATCATAGAAAAGAAAATTATCATAGAAAATTTTAGTCAGAAAAAACTCATAGCATGTAATTCGTCTTTAAAAAGACAAACACATAACATGATGACAGTAAAATTCTCCTGTTAGTGATCCCATAGTAAATTATGAGGGAAAAACCAGGAAAAAAACCTCATAATACTATCCCGACATGGTAAGTGTTTGTTCGTGCATTTAGTCTACCTTCAATAAACACCAAAATTCTGGTTTTATATGTTTCGTTATTTAAAAAAAAACATAAATGATATATCCTCTATATGTTACTGACTTACTAATACTGGTATTTTCTTATTAATAACTTCCTCTTTCAATATTGGTAACCAGATCCTACTACATTCTGCCGAGGAATTTGCGACACAATTGGCCTCATTTAGCATAATTAGAGCCGCTTCTTTGATTTTTCTTTTTTTACCATATTTTTCATTTTTATATTTTTTAGGTTTTTTTCCTGGTTTTTCCCTCATATTTACTATGGAATCACTAACCGGAGAATTTTACTGTCATCATGTCATGTGTTTGTCTTTTTAAAGACGAATTACATGCTATGATTTTTTTCTGACGGATATTCTCAAGGTAAAGTTGATTTCATGTAATCGAATGAACTATCTTATAAGTAAAGTCGTCCCAGGAGCGCAACTCAACAATATTGGCAATATCATTTTAAAGTCGTCTACTTTAAAATGCATAATGTATGTCTGAATTGTCAATATAAATGAGTCAGATAAAATTAAATTATTAGAAGAATTTTTCACTATGTAACAAAAAACAAAATTTGTTTAATTTACTGTTTGTATTTTGAGAACGATTTCCGAAGTGGAAATTGAAACGCAATAAACGTATTTTTATCTTTAATTGTGGCTTATTCCCAGTTAAATAGTAATTAATTTATTATTCCCAGTTAAATAGTAATTAATTTAAAATGCCACAAGAAAATAGCTCCAGAACAATATAAAAATATCGAGACAAGATCAGGAATATCGGCAGCTAATTTTAGAAAGCAAGGAAGAAGTTAAAAACCTAAAATTTACTAGAACGCTGTTCTATAAATTAGTAATTAAAATGAGCGTGTGTTTGTATCAAGAACTAGGATACTCATTCTATGTGGAATGAACTCTGTATGGAGTTATGTTTCTCATCGGACGAGTCCCCCAGGTGGTGGATAGGGGAATGCCCTAATCAGTTCTAGGACAGACGGGTAGGTGGGAAACAAAATACCACCCGCGAACCAAAACAGACCAAGTTGTGGGGGTTGTGGGTTGGGCGTAGGGTTAACGACCCTACCCTTGAAAAAAGAGCATTGTTACGAAAACTGAAAAAATACAAACCTGACGGACCTTACGTAGACGATCTGGCAAACAAAAAAAGAAAATTCGATTTGTATTATGGAATGTGAGAACATTGTACTCTACAGCAGCGATCGGATGCCTCTTAGATACTCTTAACAAATATATTATGGAGATAACAGATATACAGAAGGTACGATTTAAAAGGACCGGTACTATCCACAAGAATTTGAATACAATATCATATAGCTGCCATCAAAAGTAACATATCTTTGGTGTAGGCTTTGTGGTGGCAAAAAAAGTTAGTAATCTAATAAAAGGTTTTAACACTATATATCATAGAATATGTGTTCTAAGAATACGTGGAATATTCTTTAACGTGCTTCCACCGAGAATAAAGCAGGCACAGATATATAAAACAATTCTATAAGAGGTTTGAACAAACATATAGACAATGTCTTAATAACGACGTTAAGTTGATTATTGAGGACATGAACACTAAGGTAAAACAAGAGTACAGACTAACCATAGGACTTCAAAACATAAACGAAGAATGTATTGATAATGGGAGGAGACTTGTAAATTTCGCAGCATCCAACAGACCCAAAATCAATCAGCCACGTACTGATTGATTTAAGACATAAATTAAGTATCCTAGATTGCAGAAGTTATAGAGGTGCTAATATTAACTCCGACACTATTTTATAGCTGAAAGTCTCAGAACACGTATATCAAATGCCAGAAACGATAAGACTAAACCAAAAATATGTTGATAATTTAAATTGTACTGACGTCGTAAGAAATTTTCAAATATGATTAGATCGTAAACTATCAGATCATCCCAGAAGTGAAGCAGATCTCACTAAATTTAACACAAATTGGGAGATTATAAAAACCACGCAGCAAAAGATCGCAGATGAAGTGTTGGGTGAACTACTTTATAAAACAATAATACACCCAATGATCACTTACGGATGGGAAATATAGGCAATGACGACCCGAGATGAAAAATTACTACGAATCTTTGAGAGGAAAGTATTGAGGACCATATATGTCGGAGTTAACCATCAAAATAAACCGCCTAAGATGGGAGGTCCACGTTATGTGGATGGATGAAAGTGATCCTTCTAAAATAACCATGCTAAATAGGCCGGCCGAAAGACGATGAAGGGGACAAACCTAAACGATGTGCAGGAAGATTAAAGGGAAATTGGATTAAGTGGATGAAGAAGACAAACAGTCGGCAGGAAAGGATGGAAGAAGGTTTTGAGGCAAGCCAGGGCTTACGAAGGGTTGTAGCGCCAACTGATGATGGTAGGGATGTTCATCCAATCGCAAGAACAATATGATCAAAGATAAGGAAGGATTAAATATGAAAAAATAAAACTTATTCTCCAAATTATCGAAAACAGGACAAGCACAGAAGAAATAACAGAAAAATTAAATACGACAATATTATAATAATTTTTACACAAAAAATAATGGCTAGATTTTTTCTACTAAAGAGAGAAACTATATTGTTAGATTTTGGCTATCAAATTTTAGCCAAAGTACTAAGTGGGAGAATAAAAGACATTGTTGATACCTTATGAGAAAACGACCAATGTGGATTCAGATGTATTATATCCACTATTAATCAAATTGTTTCTCTGAGAAAACTTTTCTTGCTTTTATATAGACTTTGTATTTTAAAAAGGAATTCTACACAGGATTTTGGTTAATTTTTTTCTTTTCCCTGCAATGAACACATCGAGACTTTTTTTCACAACTTTTTGCTGCAACTTCACACAAGTAAGTGTTTTATCTAATTTTGTACATTATACAATTTCACGATTTTGTAACACTATTGTAGCTTTTATCTAAAGATGTTAACGATATCGTTGATAAGAGTACACTTTGGCTTTTAATATTCAGCTGCTAACCCAATAAACTACCTATTCGAATTTTTAAGAAATTTGTTGAAACTGTTTGAATAAGCAAGAAATATACCTCAAGTAAGTTAAGTTAAATAAAATAAGGTAATAATGAGTATTGAAGAGAGACGCAAACATGATAGCGAAGATCAAAGGAGTCAGGTGAGGTATCATGGAGTAAGACTAAATTCGTTTTTTTGTTGGATCGTAATGTACAAAAAGATGTGAGATTACTGGGAAAAGTATCTGATGATCGAAATATTTAAAAGTTTGTCCAGGTTGAGGTTCAAACCTAAAGAACAGACGAATTGGGTAAAAAAAATTAACCTAACGATGTATAAAAAACTGGTAAGAAGCATAAACTATTTATAAAACATCCAAATCATTCCTTCGAATAAGATAAATAAGATAAGCAAAAAGTGATATAAAGGGTGTTTTTTTAAAGGTATAAAATTTTAAAATGGAATAAAACAAAGAAAAAATTTTTTAGTTGACATGAAATTTACTTTACTCGGAAAATAATCTTTTGACACTATAATTTAAAAATGATTTCTGACATATGACTGTCATGGCTGGTTCTGACATAGTATAATCTAGAGGTCCAATTTTCGATCATCTTTTCCAACATTTGTGGCCATATAACGGCCATAACGTGACGCATATTATCCTCTAAGTAGTCAATCATTTCATGCTTATCGGCGTAGATTAGCGACTTCGCATATCCACACAGAAAACAATCTAGCAGTGTTAAATCGCACGATATTGGAGGCCAATTCACGGGTTGGAAACGTGAAACTATGTGTTTAACAAACAATTTCTTCAATAAATGTTGCACCATCTTGTTGAAATCGCAGCTCCTGCACATCATGCTTGTTCAATTGAGAAATGAAAAAGTTATTAATCATGACTCTATAGTGATCACCATTGATATTGACCGTAATATTCTGGCCAGCATCGTTTTTGAAGAAGTACGGCCCAATAATTCCACCAGATTATAAAGCACACTAAACAGTCAGTTTCTCTTTTCAATATATATTATACACTTGAGAATTAGCTTCACTCCAAATATAGCAGGTTTGTTTGTTGACTTAACCATTCAACCAAAAGTGAGCTTCATCGCTAAACAAAATTAGCTTATAAAAATCGGAATCAACGGCAATCTCGTTTTGGACCCATGCATCGAATCTACGAATCTACGCCTTGTTAGGTGATAGTGTAGCTTCAATTCTGGCATAAGTTGGATTTTATAAGCACGCAAAACAAGATCTCTCTGCAAAAACTTCCATAAAGTGGATCCAACTGGTGTGCACGATGGAGGATAGACTGATTTGGTTCGTCTATGCTACGTAAACGTGGTGTGAAAACGATTCATTCGTATTTCGAGTATAGAAGTACCATAGAGAAATATAATTTTCAAATTATGTTTGCACAATTTGAAGGTGTTGTTCAGGCTTTAAGTCTATGCATGCTGATATGCTAAACCAAACCTAATATAAATCACTTGGCAGCTGTCAAAATGGCCTACAGTTAAAAACGTGTTGCAAACTTATATTTCTATAGCTCTAAAAAAACACCCGTTATCTTTGATATCTATAAGAAATAAGTTCCCAGATGTGTCATCGCTACATGTTCAAAATAAGAGTAGGGAGAAGCGCATAGTTAGGTAAAAGCATAGTAAAATGGGAGAACGCCAGCAAAATTAGCACAGCAAATTGTCAAATATTAATAAAACAATTTAATAATTGATAAAACACCCTGGAGCTGTTCTATCATTGATGCTGATGATTATGGTTTTATGGTTTACAAAAGTGACGGAAACTAGTAACACATTATATGTATTACATTTAATATAATTGTACTTTTTTCATATGGTGTAAATATGTTAATTTATAAAAATACTTTTAAGATACGAGGGACCTGTACAATAATAATAGTTGCACATAGGCTATCAACTATACGACAAGCAAGTAAAATCGTGGTAATCAACGAAGGAAAGGTTTTAGAAATGGGCACGCATACTGAACTAATGGATATGAACGGAGCTTATCACAATTTAGTAATTTCCCAAGGACTAACTGAAACATTAGAAGAAAAAGGTAAAGTATTTTTTAAGTAAAGGTAACTATAAGAATAACATCACATTGTTCATTATCATCATTATTGTCGTTGCATTTATGTCTATACCTTCAGTCATATTATCAATATCAATTCTCTTTAGCAACTTGTCCTGCCTAAGCGTCTCCTCCAGGTCTTCTTTGGTTTTCCTCTGCTTTTCTTTGCAGGAACCCTCAGATCAGCAATTAAAGTCTTAAAGTCTTAAAGCAATATGCTCTCTTATTTTGGCAACTGGGCAACTACTACTTTTGACGCTGGAAGAACTACAAGAAGGCGTATTAGTCAACGGAATGCGTCTAAACAACATTAGATATGCCGACGACGCAGTAGTTTTTGCAGATAGTCTGGACGGTTTGCAAAGAAAACAAAGTACATGGTAGTCAGTAAGCGCGAAATATTAGATACACAGCTTTTGGTTAACCAACATCCAATTGACAGAGTGGACAGCTACACATACCTTGGTACCAACATTAACAGCCTATGGGATCACTCCAGTGAAATAAAACAACGCATAGGAAAAGCGAGATCAGCGTTCATAATGATAAAGTCTCTTTTCAGAAGTCATAATTTACCACTTGCTACCAAAATCTCTCTCATTAGATGCTATGTATTTTCTACCTTATTATACAGAGTAGAAGCCTGGACACTTATCGGAGCTTCCTTAAGAAAACTCGAGGCATTCGAGATGTAGTGTTACAGACGTATCTTAAGAATTTCATGAGTGGATCGTGTGACTAATGTTGAGGTCCTACGTAGAATAGGCAAGGAATGCGAGATTATTAACACCATCAAAGAGCGCAAACTAGAATATCTTGGCCATGTTATGAGGAATGAACAGAGATAAGGCTTGTTGCAACTCATTCTTTAGGGCAAGGTATTTGGAAAGAGAGGACCAGGGAGAAGAAGAATATCTTGGCTTCAAAACCTGAGAAAGTGGTTTAATACATCGACAACCGGACTATTAAGAATAGCAGCAAGCAAAGTTAGGATAGCCATGTTGATCGCCAACATCCGGAACGGATAGGCACCGTAAGAAGAAGAAGAATTTTGGCAACAATTGATGTCACCCAGAGACTACATCTAATATATTCATTCTTAATGTTATCCTTTTTTGTGACTCCACAAATGAATCATATTTATATTTAGGCACTATTCGGATATTTGTTAAACTACACCGAGAAAATTGCCATTTACACTAAGGTCAGGTAAGCTAAAATGTACAGCTTTAAAATATTTTGGCTACCATGTCCTCACGCAAGCCAGATAATATAGGTTCTCTATTGATTATGTACTTTAGAAAGAACCTACACCATTAAAGGGATTTAATTATTTCATATGATCAACGGACTTCTAAATATGAAAAAATTGCGGAGCGCTACCATTTAAAGAGGTGTGTTTTTGAGAAAGTTGTGAATTTGTCCCTATGCATTAGGATGCTTTTGGGTGAATTCTATGAAGTTTTTGTACATATACATCTAGAGAAAGTTGTTAAAAATTAAATTGTCTATCGAAATGTCACCTTTTAAAGTAAAAATATTTTTTTCCAAAACTATAGGCATTGCTTTACAGAAAAAAACTTTTATTCATCTTCTTCAAAACATTTAGTAAGAGTTTTTAGGATATACAATATCCGAGATACGGCTTTTCAAAGTTCGATACTCACACCACTTTTGGGCTATGTCTCCCATTTTTTGCAAAAATTATTGAATAACTCTTTTCTACGCAGTTTTGGTACGTCAAATAGAAAGAAAATATAATTACCTTTAAAATGGTCTACTGTAAAAGGCTCTAGGACTAATTTTAAACAAGATACGCTTCTTCAAAGTTTTCTATTTTTAAAGATTTTTTGCTATTTACAACAAAATTTAAAAATTGCGTACGCAAGTTGCACTGTTTATCTTTAAAACCCACTTTACTTTATATCGATAGGAGACTCCGATCAAAAACTATATACTTTTTATCGTCCAGTTAATGTAAATTTTATGTCAGAAATAAAATAACACGTAACACATTTAAAATCGATATAAGGTTGAATGCTCGAATAAATGAACTTTGAAAAATTAAATGCAGATATCGAGCACAATTTTATTAATCAAATCTTGCCCAAGTAGTTTCGCTTTCTACAGCATCATCAGGAGCATTTCGTCAAATTTGGGCTATCCAGCAAGCGCAGAATGTAATAAACATAAAATTAAACATAAATTGTACATAACACCACACTAAAACAAGGACAAACAATTTAAAATTATTTAAAAATTATTTTCTCTCCTGTTGCCGACAAGAATGTAGCGTAGAATAATGTTTAAATAATTTTAAATTGTTTTAAAAAAATTTAAATTATTTTGAGCAATTTTATGTCTAAAAGGTTCTTTGTTTTAGTCTGCGGCAATGGAACTTCATAAATAGTTAGATAAACACTTTCCGGAACTATTTTGCAACTAAATTAAATTACTCAACTAACTTTTTCGACCCAAACTTAAAAATATACGTACCAAAAAAAACTATAGTTAGAAGAGATTTTATTTAATAAATAAATCTTGCTGATTGGGTGATGGTCCAATTAATTTGCGCCAAACATTCCTTGTCCTTTTTATTTATTTTTTAATTATTGTAACTAATAAAAGTATTACATATTGTTGATTAATTGGCATGACCACATAGTATCAAATAAACTTAATCGTATCCGTTTAATTTATAATAGTTAATAGGTATAAAATCTAATTCAGAAAAATAAAACTGCGTTGCATACTATAATAGTTGTGATCATATTCATATATGGGCTCGTACATATTACATTTTTTATCAAAGTTTTTATAATGTTTCAGATAGCAGACGACGGAGCAGAAAATTTAGTGAGGCTAATAAGTCTGTAAATGAAAAAGAAGACGAAGAACTTGAAGAAACACAGGTAAAATACTTTAATTATCTATGATTTAACTAATAACGAAAAGGAAACATACAATAAACTACTTAGTTTCCATCAGCAGAGGACGTCAATTTAAAAAACTTTTTACTCACTTATATATATATATATATATATATATATATATATATATATATATATATATATAGTATATAAGAAATACTGGATATTAGTGACTGTCGATATAAACAAACAACAAAGTATATTAGGGCTGCAGTCAGAAGTTTGGCCGGGATGTTACAGAAACACTCTTTTGACTTTTGATCTAGCTTTCGGAATTGTTTTATTCCTTTTTCAAGACATTGTAATTAGAAGAATGTGTAAATATTTACAATATATCACAAAATGTCAGTGTAACTTACTAGTCGTTGAGATTATTTATATAAAGCTATGACACTCAACATTAATAACACCCATAAAATATAACATATAAAATAATAGACAACATACATTTTAAAATTAAGTTAAAGATAGTAAAATTTCGTTTGTGATATCTTTGTAACGGCTAGCTCATCCATTGATAGCAGAGAATTAGCGCATCTATACACAAATTCAAATTTTATTTTATTTATTTAGCGTATGGCTACATCACAGGTTCATATATATACATATAATATAAATTATATAAATTACAAACAACAGTAAATACAAAAATATTATTCTACAAACAAACATTTAGATTATAAATATATTTGATTGACTCTTTTGCAGCAGCCAGGGAATCTGAAGGGTTGCCGTTATAGGATCTAATCGGTCATTCCTCTATCATGTGTTTTACTGTTTGCCTTTCGGCGCCGCAGTCGCAATTTGGTGATTGTATTTTTCCCCATCTAAAAAGTGAGTCGGAACATCTGCCACAGTTCGTCCTTATTCTATTGAGTGTGGTCCAAATTTGTCTCGGTTGGTTGAAGCCCTCAGGTTTACTTGTAATACACGGCATGTTTCAGTTAGCTGGTGCAGCGTTATTCTCCCATTGTTCTCTCCACCGTTCAGTTACATTAAAGTTTTGATCTACTAGTCTTTTTGCTGTTTTTAGATGCGGATGTCTTGAGCGGAGCCTATTTATGTCTCTGGCGGAAGTTCCGACATAGGAGCGGAGCTCAGGATCAGTATTGATTTTTGTAAATTCTCTGAAAAGGGTATGTTCCCAGCGGATGGGTGGTGGAGCTATATGACTCAAAGCTGGTAACCAGTAAGTGGGCGTCGCCTTGATCCATACTGGTGCACAGTATTCCGCTACGGGGTATACCAGTCCTAATGCTGTCGATCTAAATGTGGGTGCTGAGGAGCGCCATGTAGTGCCGCAGAGCTTTTGCAGGATGTTGTTACGAGTTCGGAGTTTTGCAGCAGTCTAACTAAGATGCTCTTTAAAGTTCAGCGTTCTTTCAAGTGTAACACCTAAGTATTTTGGGTGTTTATTATATTTAAGGAGTCTATCCCCAAAATTGATTTGAGGTTGATAGTTGGCCATATTGTTGTACAAATGGAAGCAGGACACTTCGGTCTTAGTTGGATTGGGTTGCAATCTCCATTTGCGGAAATAATTCCCTAGGGCATTTAAATCGTTTGTTAGAATGCGTTCAGTGACCTCGAATTCTTTATGACTTGCGGCAAGCGTCCAGTCGTCTGCGTATCCAAACTTTTTTGATGTGGTTTCTAGCATGTCTGCTATGTAGAGGCTGAAAAGCATGGGAGCCAGCACGGATCCTTGTGGAAGTCCATTATTCAGTTTTCTTTGGGTACTAGTCTTGTCTCCCAATATAACTTTAAAGCATCTGTTGGATGGCATGGCGTTAATAACCTCAGTGGTCTTTTTGCATGGGATTATTCGCATTAATTTATATATTGCCCTTTGTCGCCACACAGTTTTCATTTCATTTAGGGCTTGCGATATTTCTTCATGCGTAAATGGGTTGGAATATTCTGTTGACTGTGCAAGACTAGATTTTATGGTTTTGAGGTCTTTTTAACTTTAATTGTATGTAAACGATTTTAAGGTGCCCTAGAGGTTGACACTATGTGCGTAGCTATTTTCTCTGGAGTTACTAGGTTGGTTTGGCGAACGGGTGGGTTGCTACTTCCGAGTTTCCGCAGTAGGGACCAAGCTTGTCGACTTGACTTCTGGAAGTCTAGGTTTTCTACTGTCTGTGTCCATTTTTCACGCCTGGCAGCATCAATGCTGTGGAGTAGTTTGTCTGCAATCTCCTGCTTTCCATCTTCGCAATATTCTTCATACAGTTTTTCGCTCTGTTCTGTCCAACCAGGGATATATTCTTTGCGGTATCCTCTAAGGATTGTCGCTTTTGCTGAGGTGATTATTGCTCCTGTTAGTCTCCCGTAGTTCTGGCTCTTTGGTGGAATCCATCCTAGGCATTTGTCAAGGTTACTGGTGAAAGCAGACCAGTTAGCTTTCGTGAAGTTTCATCTGGGGCGTGGGAACGATCTTATAATCGGAATGCTGATACCGATCTTGATTAGGACGGGGCGATGTTGACTATGTGGAAAGTCATGCATAACCCTTCGTGATGCTGTTAGCGGTTGGCCTTTGTTGTCAATGGTAACAAAACAGAGATCAGGGTTATATTCTCTCCTCCAGGCCGCAGATCTGAAAGTGCCTCTATCTTTGGCGTCGAATAGAAGGTGGGCACCATGTTCCTCTGCCCATTCCACAAGGGATGTGCCATTTCTGTCAGTGTCTGGGTATTTCCACATCTCATGGTGGCTGTTGAAATCCCCTACGTATATGGCTGGATGTTCATAGGAATTAAGAACTTGGACAGGCCAGGTAATAGCAGGAGGTTTGTATATGTTAGCTATTATGACATTGCCTATTTTCACAGTTACCTCGTGGATGTTGTTTTCGGTAGAAGTGGCGATTAATGCTGCATTTTCTATGTTTGAACGGACATATGTTGCCACTCCGTAAGCTCTATCGTAGGTAGCGCCCAAAAGATCATAGCCGGGGATTTTTCCTCTTGAGCTTAGTTGACCTTTGTTTTCTGTGTGCGTGTCCTGAAGTGCTACTAGGTCAACTTCGTTGTCTTTTAAAAGTCTGTGCAGGATTTGACATTTTGCCCTGCTTATGCCTTCTATGTTAAAATGGCAAACTCGTATGCTTGGTCCGAGTTTTTTGGTCAAATGGTCCTAATAAGGTCCGTTTACAAGTGTCATTTCTGGAAAGATTTTTTGTGATATTTGAATTGCCAGGAGATTCAAGATTGTCTGGCGCCTTTTGTGCTAGTTCATTTAGCGTTACCCAGGGTGCACGTGTAGTGTTCTACTACGGACGCAAACTAGCTTTACACCCCACAAATTCAAAGAAAGAAAAAAATTAGCTTAACTTTCATAAGAGATCCTGCTGTTGCTCTTTTCTCAACTCGATCCATAAATTATCTACATCAAAACCATGCATCTATTTTCTTAAACCAAAACCATGTGGATTTTCTTAAATCCAAACCAGGTGTATTTTCTCAAATCTAAACTAGGTGTATTTTCTCAAATCTAAACCAGGTGGCTGAAAAAACAACAGCTGATATAAAATTGATCATGACACGAGTTTTGTCCAACAACAGAAGAATTCTGGCAAGCGGAAAGTTCTTCTCTCTAAGATATGCATAGCGATTCAGAATTCTCTGATGTTGCCAAAACTCACAAATTAGCAATTGCAATTAATAGATTCATTAATTATTAAATGGAAAACGAAAAAGCAAAGTTGTACGATTCATGCTAGTGAGATTTATATTGAATTATTAATATTACAGGAAGTATAGTGAAAAGAAAATAATAATAAAAATTCTAAGAGGTTTTTAAGTACTAACGTACACAAAATTATAAGAAAAAACATGTTCATGTTCTTGATTAATGTATGAAAATATGTTGTCGTTGTAAAACGAACAAAGTATTAAACTTACCCAGACTGTTGGAAGTTTCTGACCACGAATATTTATTTTTATTGAGTACCTTGTTGGTTGCTGGTTCATTTTAAAAAAGAAGTAAATCGAATCGGATTCATACAAGTAAATTATTTAATAGTGTTATTTAGGGTTTCTGTTTCTTGTATGACAAAGTAAGCGCTGGTACACCTACGAGGAGACTTAAGAAATTAATCGGTGAATTTATTTGTAGTAGGAAAATATTGAAATGAAATATAGGAAACAAAGGAAAAAGCCATAATATAACTACTAACTGAGACTATTTTGCACAGACAACATTTATTTTCAACCACATAATGATTTTTACAAAAAAGATCTTGCATTAGCGATGGGCTTATTATTATCTGCATTATTAGCAGATTTTAAATACAGAAATTCGAACACATTGTGCATAAACAATATTCAAAACTCACAGTAGGGTGGAGATATGTAAACGGTGTTTTCTCCATTTTGTCTTACAGACCAGAAACATTAAATAAATTTCTAATGGATATCAACAGTACAAAAGAATCAATCAAAGTCACCATGTAAATAGAAAACAACAACTCACTGCCTTTTCTGGATATATTAGTCACAAAAGAGGATATAGTACCAAAGTTTGAGAAAAACCAACCCACACAAACAGATATTTAAATTACTACTCAAACCAAAACATAAATATTAAAAAGGAAATCATCAAATCATTATATATGATAGAGCCCAAATACCTGCTCTAACGAAAATGCATTTAAGGAAGAAAAAAATCTATTAACAAAGGTTTTAACAAAAAGTAATTACCCTTTGTTATTATAAACAAGGAACTATAGAAGAATATAAATATTACCATTAAAACTAAGATTACAAGTAATTGCCACACGATGAAAGTTATTGGCAAGCAAATTGTCAAATACCTCGAAAACTGACAGTTTCTGATCATCTTCAATGCTGTGGAAAATGAGATCTGAAAATACTTCACGTTGATTTGGTATAATATTTGATTGCCTTAGGTTTAGGTAAGACAAGCATGCGCGTAGTAGCTTTGCTGGATAGTTTTGTTGGCACTAAGCAAGCCCTCTTCATTTGAGTAAGCACAAGAGGCCGGTAGTAAATTATAGTCGCGAAATACAATACAAGTATATCTGGCCTATTATTTTTAATGGTTTCAATGTTGTTGAGTATTTTTGTGATTATTGGTTTTGATTTCTTGTCCATTACTTTGAATTTTGCTTTTATATATTGTCGGTGCCTGCTGGTTTAGCATTCTTAAACTGTATTATTGCAGCATGAACTGCCTGCTGCAATATTCTTGGCCTATCATTTACCTCCTTTTCTAGTATAAGGGTGTTATTTCTATGATCTTCAGTTTCTCTGTGTCTTCTTTCCAAGTCTTATTTTACGCTGTTTGTCCAAAATAATGTTTCCGACAGAATCAGTTAGATTTCCTTTCTATCTCCACCTTATTCCACCTGTGAGTTCTTTAACTATCTTCCTTACATTTTAACTATCGTGTTTTAACTGTAGTCGTCGAATCTATCCATTTCTTTTTTTTTTCTTTCTTTCGCTGCTTTTTTGGCTTTTCTTCTTCAGAGTCGCATCTACCATCCACGATTTTTCTTGATTATTTTTTTTTCCTTTACATTTTAAACTATTTCTGTAATATGTTTGTTCTTTTGTCCTTCGTTCATTTTATCCCTGATCGCAGTTAATTGCTCGTTTCACATGACTTGGATTTTTAATTTTGAAATTAAGGTATTTCAGCATACGTATATCGTTTGCTCGTGATTTTCTTTTTTGCACTCTTTTGAGTTTTGCTCGGAATATTCCCACCAGTGGAACGTGATCTGTTGCTACGTATGCTCCCGGATACGTTTTGACAGATGTGAACCTGTTATGGAATCTTCTATTTACCAAAATGTAATCTATTTGATTTTTAATGATTTTCCCAGATTTGTCGTGAAAGGATCTCCACGTGTACAACTTTCGAGAGAATAATTGGAAGAATGTTTTAGTGACTTTTTTGCAAGTCCATGTAGAATTAATTCTCGATAAAAATATTAAATTATGTTAAACTATGAGGCCTAGGATAAGACGCAGAATGAAAGATTCACTGACACTGTAGTTTAGTATGAAATTTGCCATAAAGACCACACTTATGAAGTCAGTTTTATGGTGAACACAGTCAAGACTTGAAAAGTTACAATGTGGAATTATGAAACTGGAACAGTTATTAAACTAACAAACAAAAACTATTCTTATGTTTAAAATTCTTATTTTAGGTTCAAAAACTAGTCTTGCATGTTTTGCTAAACTAATATAAATTTTATTTATCTTTTTTTAAGATTAATCAACCAGTTGCGAAGAACATTTTATTGAAGGTTTTAAAATTAAACGCTTCAGAATGGTTTTATATTCTTATTGGTTGTCTATCTTCACTGATAACGGGAGCTTCTTTGCCAATTTACGGATTAGTATTCGGAGGAATAATGGGAGTGAGTATAAAAACATAAAATAATAGGTACCTACGCAATTTTAATATATATTTTTTATTGGTATCCCATTTTGCTTATTTAAAGTAGGCCGTAGCGTGTTTAAATTCAACTTTCAAAAACGCGCGTGTTTTAAAGTTACCATGGCAACATCAAAGGTTTTAAATATTTATCTGAACTGGCAGGAGTACATAACTTGTAACGTCAAATAAATAAAATATGAATAAAATATTACTAACAAATATTTCAAAAGCTTTATTCAAATATTTGAATCTTAATCTTTTAAATGAATGTGAAAAGTACAGTTGGTATTGTTTGAAAGATTTATACTTCCGTTTTTTAAATCAGAGAAAATGCATTTCAAATTAATACTACCGGCATTCTCGGAAGCCAATGGGGTTGTACTTCCAATAATGACACTCCCAATAAGTATGAAACATTCTTCTCGTTCTTCTTTCAAGCAATATACAACCAGCAATAACAATTAATCTGATGTGACAGGTCGCAAATTAGTTTTTGTATTTCTCACTGCCATAATATCGGAAGGTATACTGATGTACATTACAAATTCAACCATTTTACATTATTAGCTCTTATTTTAATTTTTTGTAGTAATAATACATGACTTCAAAGTGTACCAATAAAAAAATAGCGTAAAGTAATCGTGGATAACTCATCTTTAAAATACTTGCTCTATTTTGAGCACACCGGCTGCGCCGTCGTGCTCGAAAAATCGCGCGTGTTTTAAAGGCCTAAATATCCACTTACTCTATACAGAGATAACTAGCTGTCTTATGTTAAGACAACATATATGTGTGTATAAGTCTGCATTTCTTTTTTTTTAGATTTTTGCAAATGATGATGATGGAGAAGTGCGGAGTGAGAGTAATATGTACTGTTTATATTTCCTAATACTAGGTGTATTCACAGGAATTGCAATGTTTTGGCAGGTAGCTACATTAAATTAAATATTTCTTAATATATTGATATTATAATTTGTTTGAGTCTGCTTAGTTTATCAAGAACAAGAAAAAACAAGAAAATTTTTAAACAGATGCTGATACTTATTTTGTTTCTCTTTACCGTCAAATATTCTACTAAAAAATTTTATACACACAGCTGAGGAGCTACACCAGATATAATGCATTACTTTTGGGAAGAAATATATATATATATATATATATATATATATATATATATATATATATATATATATATACATATAGATTTAACGAAATAAATTCGGAACATACGAAATATTATGTATTTCGGCTCAATTCTGCTGTAGGTGGTTGACCAACAAAAGGTTGTCAAATAATTATATTATAAAAATCCAATACTTCAGCGGGCTGCTGGATTCTGAAATCATAGTTATTCGCGATTGAAGTAATAACTTTTAGACGATTTTAATCGATTTTTCGCGAATAGCTCGAAAATGGTGCATTTTATCAAAAAAATTGTAGAGAACAAATTTGTAGCTTTTAAAAAGACAAATACAATTCATTTTTTAAAATGTACTGTTTTGTAGTCCACAAATTTTGGTTTCTGGAACTTTGAAACTGGCCAATTTTGACAGGTGGCCGTTAACACAGGTTTTACTCTAACATGGCTTATTAAAGATCCCTACCTGTGGTTGGAACACCAGCGTCATTCGTCAAAATTTTTCGCTTGGTGGAAGCGTGTTCTGGGCGTCGGTGATTAGTCTTAATCGCAGAAATACATCGACGCTGACGTTAAATAAAGGAATAAAAAAAGACTCAAACACACAAAAATTGTGTAGCAATAATTGTGTCGAAGAAACAGATAAAGCTGTAAAAAACGCCGTCCTATTCTCAGACAGGTTACTGATGATACAAATACAATTAACAACAATCAAACAAGTATATGCACCCACACCAGACTATGAAAAAGAAGAAATTGAAAAATTCTATCATGATTTAGAAAAAGTATTAGCACCTACAAAGAAACACGATCTCAATATTATCATGGGAGATTTTAATGCAAAGATTGGTGAAGGTGAACAGGAAGATATCATACGAAAATATGGTCTGGGAATACGAAATGAAAGAGGAGATATGTTGGCATCTTTTTGCGTAGAAAAGCAATTAGTAATAACAAACACAATTTTCAAACTTCCAAAACGTCGTCTGTACACCTGGAAATCACCAGCAGATGCACATGAACGAGTTTGTCATAACCAAATAGACTTCATATGTATAAATAAGAGATACAGAAATTCAGTATTAGCAGTAAAAACATATCCAGGCGCAGATGTATTAACAGAGATTAAAACTGAGATTAAAAAGAGTTGCAAAGACGAATAAGCAAACAGTTACTATTGATAAAGAAAAGATGTTAAATGATACTGTAAAACAAGAAATATAGTATATTAGAACAAAATGAAGTTAACATCAAGCAAAGAGGAAAGTACTGAGAAAATCTGGACGAGAATTAAAGACATCTTAAAGACTGTTTAAGAAACAGAATTGAGTACGCTAAAAGCAATAAAAAAACAAGGGTGGATGACAGAAGAAATACTGACACTTATGGATCAAAGAAGAGAAGTCAGAAATAAAGATAAAAACGAATACAAGAGGATCCACGCAATAATCAGGCAGAAGATAAGACACGCGAAATCACAATTTCATAGTAAAGAATGTAATGAAATTGAACAATATGAAAAGAAACACGATACATTTCATCTGCACAAGAAATTAAAAGAGGTCGCTGGAAACAAACGGAAACAAGTATCCCAAAGTTTAGAAGACAGAAACGGACACAGAATATTAGACATCAATGAACAGTTAAAAGAATGGAAAAACTACATTTCTGAATTATTTGAAGATGAGAGAGTAGAACACTATACACCGATTGCTATATCAGGTCCATCTATAACAGAAAGTGAGGTTACACGTTCAATACAAACGGCAAAAAATGGAAAAGCACTTGGCCCGATGAAGTAAGTGCTGAAATACTAAAGTTTTTGGGAGAAAATGGAATTAAAGCTCTGTGTAATCTCTTTAACAGAATTTATGACACTGGGATATTACCAACTGATTGGTTAAAGTCGACATTTGTCACAATACCTAAGAAACATCGTCCAAAGACATGCGGTGATTATCGGACAATAAGTCTGATGAGTCACGTTTTGAAGATCTTCCTGCGAGTAATACACAGCAGAATTTACACGCTGTTAGAGGACAGAATTAGCAATACTCAATTTGGGTTTAGGAGTGGCTTGGGTACAAGAGAAGCCTTGTTTAGTATACAGGTGCTAGTACAGAGATGCAGAGATATAAATCAAAATGTGTACATTTGTGCAATCGATTTTGAAAAGGCTTTTGACAAAGTCCGACATAACAAAATGCTAGAAATATTGGAAACAGCTGGATTGGACGATAAAGATCTACGAATAATTACAAATCTATACTGGCATCAAGTGGCAAGAATAAAGGTTGAACAAGAACTGTCGGATGAAATAAATATAAAAAGAGGAGTGAGACAAGGCTGTATATTGTCGCCTTTACTTTTTAACTTATATTCGGAGGAAATATTTAAGGAATCCTTAATGGAGACAACCGAAGGTATTATTGTGAATGGAGTAACCGTCAACAATATTAGATATGCCGACGATACCTTAGTGCTTGCTAATTGCGGAGAAGACCTTCAAAATCTAATGAACAAAATAAAACAGACTTGTGATCAGTATGGATTAAAACTCAACGTTAAGAAAACTAAATATATGATAGTTAGCAAACAAAATTATATACAGGATGACGGTATAAAAGTCGGAGATGCCACACTGGACAGAGTAGAGAAACTCGTGTATCTCGGCAGTAATATCAATGAGAGCTGGGATCCAACCGCAGAAATTAAAAGCCGAATAGAACAAGCCCGAGCTGCCTTTGTAAAAATGAGAAACGTACTTTGCAGTCACGATCTTAGCATTGACCTTAGAGTTCGAATGACATCTTGCTACATCTTTCCTGTCCTGCTGTATGGAGTGGAAGCGTGGACTCGAACTGAGGCTATCCTTAAACGCTTGACAGCCTTTGAGATGTGGGTAAACAGACGACTACTGAAAATAAGCTGGGTCGACAGAGTTAGAAATGAGGAGGTCCTTAGACGGCTGAACCAAATAACACAACTGTTCAATATAATAAAGAAACACAAGCTGGAATACTTAGGTCACATTATGAGACACCCTGAAAAATATGATTTTTTACATCTGATCATTCAGGGAAAGATCCAAAGTAATCGTAGTCCTGGCAGAAGAAGAACATCATAAGACAATGGTATGGAAAATCAACTACATCGTTATTTAAAGCTGCTGTCAATAAAGTCACGAGACGGCTTTACGCGGGCCGCCTTCATCATGTCTCTAAACTCTTTTGGTAATTTAAAAGGCGTTTTTAGATTCCACAGTCCAACATTCTTGTCACACTCTAAGTATGAATGTTCACAGATGGAATATGTAATTTGATTTCACGAAGCCTATGGATTTTGTTTTGTCCTCCAGCTGAGTCACAAAAAATTTTTAACTCCTCAAACTCATCATCCAAAAAGTTATTAATAAAATGTAATAAAAACGATGCCACCTCATTGAAACCTTTTTTGGCAATTCCTTCGTAGTAAGAGTAAAAAATTGATTGACTAGGCGACAAGACGTGAACATTAAAAGCGTACATTGATATTGATATTGGCGCTTATAGTACACGTCGTTTGTCGCAATATTTGGGATTGGTACATTCTTTGCAAAATCAATACAAATTGCTTCCATTTTTTTCGTTCCTCTGCTGGTTCTTCTTGCTTCTCTATTTCGTGAATAGAATGCCTCAGCCTTTTGTTTATGAAGTTCGTTCAATGTGGTTAACTGTTTTATTTTATACGCGTCCGTCACAGGCTGTAATACCTTTAGCTGTGCCTGGAATTCGTCGCATATTGCACAAGTATCGGTGCGCGTATACCCGAAAGATGTGTTAAACTCCTGTACAAAACTACACCTGTAGGTTTCGTACGATACGTGAGCATTTGGATTTTTTTCTTGAAATTGAGAATACATATTTTTACATTCAATTTTGCAGGCAATTAATTTTTTTCGGTTTTTTAATACTATAATGACCTTGTTGACCCTTGAAACTTCCGATGTGATCCCGTATCAATTGTTTTGTGGCATCTGGCAACTTCCTGTGTCCGGAACTATAGTTTCCTCTACCATCTATTGGGGCTTCTTTAGTTTCTGTAAGGGATTGTTTGATATACGTTAGTTTGTTTTTCGTTATTCCATGTAATGAACAAAATGCCTTCAAACAAACTGGGATGTCTTGTCCGTTAACAAAAATGCGATAAGCAAAACTAGCAGTATGAAAACGAGGAGTATTTTCATCTGTGCGGTCTCCTTTGCCTTACAGGAAGTACTGTGATCAATCCAGCAAGATACGAATTTTGTTCGTTGTGAGAAAGAAGTGCGTTGAATGACTGAAAGATTTTCTTTCTTTGGTCTTCACTTACCACATCGAAGTACTTATATCGTGAACAGTGACAAGATTCCCTAGTCTCATGAGTTGATTCTGGTGAACTCTTGACTCTCACAAACTTCAGTTTTTTACTCACTTCACTTATGCGCCTGGTTTTCTTATTTTTTTTGCAGCAGCGTTGCAACTTCTTCATTCTCTGAGTGAAAACTTGACATAGTTAGTTTTAATGTTAGTCACTAGAAACGGTCAAAAGCAGAAACACACGGTTCAAATGGTGTGGATAGCACGACTGGAGATAGTGATCTATATTTGTCAGCGATAGCCCACTACCGCTACTCTTCCTTTTCCCTTTTCAGATTCGATTCAGATTAGAACCGTTTAAAAAATGCGAACTTTTTCTACCTGCCTGTTTATATTTTTACAAGAAACAAAACGAGTATTTCTATTATGTTATGTTATATCAATGCATAAATGTCTTGTTGAACATTTGATCATTCAGAAAAATAATGATATTCGATATTCACAAATGTTTGTTCTTACAAAAAAACTTTCTATTATTGAAACACGCATTGTTTAATAATAATTTTTAAATTAATCCAACGCTATCTACCGTGAAACTTGTGACATATCTGGTTCTTTCACTGGACGCATGGACAAAGCTGGTTTTTTTCCGGTACCCCGAAACTTTAAAGTGTTATTACTCATGACAAGACTACTTTTTGCCCTGTACGATAGCTCTAAAATGTGCTTCTCCGCGTGTTCTATAACATAGAATAGAAATCTGAAATTTGAAAAAAAATGACATGTCTGGTTTTTTTCCTGTAGTCTTCATATATACAAACCAATTTACTTATAGAAAAAAATTTAGTGGTCGCAGTATTCAGGATAAACAATATAAACGAATTTTTTGCATAAATCAGCCAGTTGTTGCTGTAACTATGCATTTTAAAATCCCAATTTTTTCTTATTGCTAATAATATTGATTGAATTTAAACTAAAAACCTATAAAAACAAGCTGTATGTACGTACATGGCGGCTACTAGGAATGTGAATTAAGTATTACGTAAGACTTATGGAATATTTTCTATTTACAGGTAAAATTAAATGTAGTTGCCTAGGTGCTGAATTAAAAAAAAATTACGTCCGCGTAAATTTGTGAAATGAACTATACTAAATTTCAATAAGCGATGCAGGGGACGTTAACATTAGCACGTGGAGGCCTTTAACAGGAATCCATTTACGATTATCTTTTTGTTTGACCAGAAGTTTTGGGTCAAACAATTTTATATACAGGGTGTTTCCAAAAAATATTTCCAAAATGTTTCCAAAAAAGTTTTATTTATAATTTTTGTTATGGTTTGTACGATTCCAAAAAGTTTAAATATTTCAAAACGGTTAGTTTTTTAAATAGAAATATAAAGTGATTCATAATTCGTTTCGGTAAATATATGACAGAGATCGAGATCTCGGCTACTTTTAAACATCATTCTGATGAACTGGATAACATGTCACTATCATCAACGTTTATATAGCAGAAATGTGTTTCAATTGTATTTTCCAGCCACCACATTTACTTTTCTACTTTTTTTTTCTACATGTAAAATGCAGTTCTACCATATTTCTGGGATAATTGAGAAAATTGAATCATAAAATAGATTTATGGTATCTGGAGATTGGAAGGTGGTGTTTTTCCTGCACTATCATTTTTAATATTTACCTAGATGAGTTCTATGGGGTTTAACCCTCAGTGATACGGAGAAGAAATATGTAAAATGCAATGAATTACTGAGGGGAACGTCTCATACGCTTCTGTCAGGAACAAAAATTATTGATAACTAATACTTTTTTTAAACTGCCCCTCGCAGACTTTACACCTGGAAGTCGCCAGCAGACTCGAAAGAAACAAATGTAAGAAACCAGATCGACTTCATTGCCATACCAGAAAGATTCAGAAACTCAATCACATCAGTGAAAACCTATCCCGGGGCTGACGCTCAATCGGATCACAACCCAGTGGTGGGTAAACTGGGAATCAAACTAAAATGTATAGAAGGGAAGCCTAACAAAACCAAGATAAACATTAGGAAATTAAAGGATCCCAACATTAAACAACAAGTACAGGAGTCCTTAAGAAGAAACATTGGAAACTTCAGTGAACCCGCACAAGACGCAGTTGCTAGACTACACAAATGCAAACGAAGAAAGAAGACAACACAAATGCAAAAATCAAGTGAAGTATCAAGAAACAAGTCACAATATAAAAACAAAGATAAAGGAAGCGAAGGAACGCTGGCTGAAGGAGAAATGCGATGAAATCGAAGAGTGCGACAGAAGATATGACTACCACAACATGCACAAAAAGATCAAAGAATTCACAACTAAAAACAAAACCAATAATCCCCACCCGACACTAATAGACGCAGACGGTAACCTTATATCAGACGACTTGAAGCTCATTGACACATGGAAAGATTACGTAGAACGACTTTTTAACGATAAACGCAGAGCGACAGTGGACCAAGATGACGACATGACTGGACCCGAAATACTAAGGTCTGAAGTGGAAAAAGCCATTTCATCGCTAAAAAACGACGAAACACCAGGTCCCGACAACATACAGGGCGAGATCATAAAACTCCTATGCGAAACGGATGACCACTTCCTCGATTTTCTGACAGGCATTTTTAACACCTTTTACGACAAAGGGGAGATTCGAGAATGGCTTCGATCGACCTTCGTAGCCATACCTAAAACACCAAGTGCAAAACACTGTGATCAACACCGCTTAATAAGCTTGATAAATCACATTACCAAAGTTTTCACCAAAATCATACACAATAGAATATATAACAAATGCGAAGCAAATATATCGGAGTCACAGTTCGGATTCCGAAGCGCATTGGGCACAAGAGAGGCGATCTTCAGTCTGCAAGTTTTAATTCAAAGATGCAGAGACATGCACAAGGACGTCCACTTGTGCTTCATCGACTTCTCCAAGGCGTTCGACAAGGTCAAACATGATAAACTCATGGAAATGCTCAGGAAGATGCATATTGATGGCAAGGATCTGCGCATAATAACCAGTCTCTATTGGAACCAAAGTGCTGAGATAAAGATGGGCAACTTACACAGTGGGAAGATAGATATTAAAAAGGGTGTACGACAGGGATGCGTCCTCTCGCCGCTCCTGTTCAATATATACTCTGAACAAATCTTCAGAGAAGCACTGGGAGAAGTTTCGGAGGGTATCAAAGTAAACGGAGAGGTAATCAATAATATTAGATATGCTGACGACACAGTTATTATCGCAAATGACTGCAACGAGCTTCAAAGACTCATGCAAAGCATACACACAGCAAGTCAAGAATATGGTTTAGAACTCAATACAACCAAAACTAAATGCATGCTCATCAGCAGAACACAACAACCTCCGATGCAATTGACATTAAACAACCGAAAAATAGAACAAGTGGAGACATACACATACCTTGGAACCACAGTCAACACAAAATGGGACCAGTCAACAGAAATAAGATCACGAATTGAAAAAGCGCGAAACGCGTTCAACAATATGAAAAAGTGGTTCACAAGCAAAATCTCAATGGAACTAAAATTAAGACTGGTCAAGTGTTATGTCTTCCCGGTCTTGTTCTATGGAGCAGAGGCATGGACCACAACGGAAGCCACCCTGAAGAAACTAGAATCCTTTGAGCTGTGGATATATCGCCGTATTCTTCGGATATCCTGGACAGACCACATCACTAACGTGGAAGTAATGCAGAGAATAGGCAAAAGCAAAGAAATAATCTTCACCGTAAAGAAACGGAAGCTTGAGTACTTCGGACATGTCATGAGGCATACTAAGTACCGGCTGCTACAGTTAATAGTCCAAGGAAGAATCGACAGTAGGAGGGGACCGGGAAGAAGACGACACTCATGGATGCATAACCTGCGACAATGGTTCGGACTAACATCGACCGAACTGTTCAGAGGTGCCGTAAACAAAGTCAAAATAGCCTTGTTAATAGCCAACGTCCGAAACGGATAGGATAAGCATATTTTGTATGCCCAGCGTTCAACCATGTCTCATTCAGATAATTAATTTTGCACTTCTCTTCTCTATAATTCCTTATCTAGCGGATATATTCTAGTTTCCCCTCTGAAGAATAAAAGGGCATTTCTTCCCCTGCGTTGATATTGAAAATTATTTTTTTTTTAATATTTTATAAAATGTGGTTTTCGTCAAATTTGACAAATTAGGATCATCGTTCACCTCCTTTAAAACTACATCCACGGTGGGTATTTTATTTCTCATAAAAAAACTTCTTGTAGTTTCCAGCAAAATAGATATGGTATTTCATTTAGTTTTTGAATATTCTAGGACAATCGTTACTTACATAATCGTTTAAATTATTCATTAATTTAATTATTATGATTATTGTTTTATTAACTATGTATTCAGTGATTACAATAATTTATATACTATGCGTTAAAATAATGGAGAAAAAAAAAAATTAAGTGATCTTAATAAGATACTGTTACAATCGGAACGTGTAGATAATTTTTAAACATCTTTTACAATTAAAATACAATTTATATCGTTGTTTACACGCCCTGCATCGCTTATTAAAATTTAGTATAATATAATGATTTACTAGATAGGGCGAATGGGCATAATCTTTCTTTCTGAAGCGGCTATATTATGTAATTTAAAATTACTCAGGTCCTTTCAATTTGTCAGTATGTGTACAATGGCAATGATATAAATTTATATGTTCTAACCCATTTTGATTTACTTTTGATATTAATTTTTTACTAAAAATCTTTTAGACAACCAGTTTTTCTGTAGCTGGAGAACACTTAACTCTAAAAATTAGATCGAAAACATTTGAAGCAATGTTAAAACAGGAAATTGGCTGGTATGATCAAAAATGCAATGGAGTTGGGGCACTATGTGCACGTCTGGCTGGAGATGCTGTAGCTGTTCAAGGGGTAAGATATTGACTTAATATTTTTAAACTATTTTAAATTAACAGATGATTTCTCCACAGCCATGAAGTATCCATATGTCAACCTTGTATGACAAATTCGTAGCCTGCAAACGATTCATTTGTCTCTTCTACTTAAGTTAGGTAGCTGAAAGGTTTTGAATGTAGGTTGTGTTTTGTTTAGTTTCGAAGTTTTGATCGCTTCCATTGGTTTTGCCAGGACTTTTTGAATTGGGATCTGAAAGTAAGGGATGTTCTGAATATTCTGAAAGGATGTTCTGAATATATATTTTTCATCGAATCGGTCTAAGATATCGGATCTGTTCATATTTCAGTGTTCTTGGCTTTAGTTTCGTAAGATAAACATTTTAATGCTTGGAAGATGCCGTATAGCTCTTCTGTGTGGATTGATATGGATGGTAGAAGGCAGAATTTCTAAATAATACTATTTGCAGTTGTTACAGAATAATTAACTCCTGCTCGGTTTAGATGCATATGTAGGAATCTCAACATATGAGTTTGTGTTGACCAGCTCTAGGAAAGATTGTCTTAAAATTTGGCTGTTGGCTTCATTTTTGTGATAATTATTAATCAAAAGGTTAATTTTTGGAATGTTTGAATCCAAGGAGAGCTTGATGACGGTATATGAGTATCTGTTACTTAAAAATCAACAGGTCCATCATCCAGTCGAGAGCGAATGAGAGGTCTGTATACCTTAATTAGGATGTCTTCATCAGTTTTCCAATGATACCCAATGGTTTGCTAGAGATTTTAGTAGATTTATTCTAGTTAAGAGATTAGCTCTGACATTTTGTAATTGTGGTTTCTATGTTAGTCGGCTACCAAAAATTAAACCTAGTATATCGTGTTCATTAGCTAGTGTAAGCGGAGTATCTTTTAATGTAATTTGAGGTAATAGAATGCCACGTGTTCTTCGACTAAATTTAAGTACTTTTGATTTTCAGCACAGAAATTAATATTACAACCTATAGACCAAGAATTTAGTTCATTTACTGCTTTGTGGATTAAATTTCTAGGTGTGAACGTATCTTTCTGCTCCAATATAAAATCAGGTCGTCTGCATATAAATTGAACTTCACTGTGTTATGACTATTCTTGCAAATATCATTGATAGTTATTATAAATAAAGTGAAAGGAACTTAGAACTGATCCTCGGGATACTCCGTTTTCCTGGACGTAGATTGAGGAAGCTTTTTCATCAACTAATACTTTGAAGCTGCGACCAGAGAGAAACTGCCCAATAAAGGATAATGTATTTTCTGTAATATTGTATTCTTTTAATTTGCTCAATACAGTAGAACGTAGTAGAGTGTTAAAGGCGCTCTCAAAATCTTGTTTATTTTGAAAAGAAGTTGTGATCTTCGTTTGTGACATTACTATTGTAAGCCGTGCTTCGGGATGAATAGAGTGCGAATTGAGCTGAATCTAAAATATTGCGTTTTTCTAGATAGCACATTAGTCTTTTACTAGTTTTTTCATTACTTTTAGCAGCTTACACGAAGTGCATGTTACTAAAATCTTCTTCTTCTTCAGGTGCCATCTCCGCTACGGAGGTTGGCAATCATCATAGCTATCTTAATTTTTGAGGCAGTAGCTCTAAATAGTTGTTTTGAGCTGCATCCAAACCATTCTCTCAGGTTCTTCAGCCATGAAATTCGTCTTCTTCCGATGCTTCTTCTGCCATCTATTTTTCCTTGCATTATGAGTCGCAGGATGCCATACTTATCGCCCCGCATCACATGTCCGAGATACTGTAGCTTTCTTTCTTTAATTGTAAGTTCAATTTCCTTCTCTTTGCCTATTCTTCTCAGTATTTCATTGTTTGTAACTCTATCTACCCAGGAAACCCTCATAATTCTTCTATAGGTCCACATTTCAAAGGCGTTAAGTCGTCTCATGGTATCTAGATTTAACGTCCATGATTCCACTCCATAATATAGTACACTGTATACGTAACATTTTGTTAGGCGTACTTTAAGAGCTAATGTTAGATCTTTGCCACATAGGACCTTTTTCATTTTTATAAAATTAGAACGTGCTTTTTCGATTCTGACTTTGATTTCTGCCGTGTAGTCATTATTTTCTGTTATAAGTGTTCCTAGGTAAGTGTACTTTTTTACTCTTTCGATCTGCTGGCCCTCTACTATCAAGATTTCGTTAGTATTATAGTTGTTTTTACAAATTTTCATAAACTTCGTCTTTTTGACATTAAGAGAGAGTCCGTACTCCCTACTACACATGACTATTTTGCTCATGAGTCTTTCCAGGTCTTGTAAACTATCGGCTATTATTACTGTATCATCTGCATATCTGATGTTGTTAATTAAGACTCCATTTACTCTTATGCCGACTGTTTCATCTTCCAGAGTTTCTCGAATTACCTCTTCAGAATAGGCGTTAAATAATAGAGGTGATAGAATGCAGCCTTGCCTGACTCCTCTCTTTATTTCCATTTCTTCAGATGTTTCTTTTTCGATTCTTACTATTGCTCGCTGATTGTAATAGAGGTGTGTTATTAGCCTTAAATCTCTTTCATCTAGGTTTTTATTTTTTAGAATTTCCAGGAGTCGATCATGTTTTACTTTATCAAACGCTTTATTGTAGTCTATAAAACAGACGTAAAGAGGACGGTTAACATCCAAACATCTCTGTGTCAGCACATTGAAGGAGAATAATGCCTCTCTGGTACCCATACCATTGCGGAACCCATATTGAGTGTCACTAATATCCAGCTCCAGTTTAGAGTGTATTCTGGCGTGGATAATTTTCAAGAGAATTTTCAAGGTATGTGACATTAAGCTTATGGTTCGATAGTCACTACACTCTTTGGCATTCACTTTCTTTGGCAAACACACAAATGCTGATGTCAACATTTCTCTAGGAATGATTCCCGTAGTATAGATAGCGTTGAACAGTTCTACTATTATGTCCAGGTTTTTCTCGTTGACCAACTTTAGTAGCTCGCTTGGTAATTCATCTGGACCAGCAGATTTATTGGTTTTCATTGAGTTGAGTTTAATGCCTGACTAACCTCTGATTTGGTTATCTCTGGACCTACATCTCCCGTTTGGCTATCTACAGATGTACTAGCTTCTCTCTGGTCATGAAATAATTCTTCGATGTACTCTTTCCATCGTCGTAGTTTTTGTTCTGTTTCCAATATAATATTTCCATTTTTGTCGAGCAATATATTTGAGGTTCTTCTATTTCCTACTCCGGCTAGTTCTTTGACTTTTTTATGTAGGTTGAAGTTGTCATATCTGTTTTGAAGTTCTTCTATTTCTTTACATTTTTCAGAGAAGTAGGTCTCTTTAGCCTCCCTAATTTTTCTTCTTATTTGGTTTTGAAGCTGTTTATAGCGCGTCTTATTGATGGTTTTGTTTTTTCTCCTTTCATTCATCAACTCTAGAATTTCCTCTGTCATCCATTCTTCTTTCTTATATGTAGTTGTTGTAAGTAGTTTCTTACTTGGCTCCAATATAGAGGTTTTGAAGAATTGCCACTGCTGCTCTACGTTGCAGTTATTTCCTGGGTTTCTGTCTAGATTTGTGTTGATTTCGTGTTTCAGATTTTCTTTTGTTTCTTCTGACTTTAGTTTCTGTATGTTAAGTTTATTGTTATTGCGGCTTTTTTGTGTCTTTTTTAGTTGAAGTTGAAATCTAGCAATAAGAAGACTATGATCAGAAGATACGTCCGCTCCTGGATATGCCTTTACTGCCTGAATTGAGTTTCGATATCTGTGTTTTATTAGGAAGTAATCAATTTGATTTCTGACGATTTTGTTGTCTTTGTCAGCTGGCGATTTCCATGTATAAAGGCGTCGCTTAGGTAATTTAAAGAATGTATTTGCGGCTATAACATTGTGCTCCTGGCAAAATTCTATTAGGCGATCCCCTCTGTCGTTTCGTTCACCAAGCCCATATGGTCCTACATTAGGGTAGCATTTTCCCTCGCCAATTTTTGCGTTGAAATCACCCATGATCACTGTTACGTCTCTAGATGCTGTGAGATGTAATGTTTTTTGAAGTTCGCTATAAAAGTTTTCTATTTCTTCTTCATTTTTGTCAGCAGTTGGTGCATAAATCTGAATTAAATTCATTTTTCCATGGGTTGTCAATAATTGCACCATTATAATTCTTTCAGATATCGGAACGAAGCCTGTTACTGATCTCGTTAGTTTTTCAGTGAGGATCATAGCAACTCCATATCTGTGTTGGGTGTCGCTGCTTCCAGAGTAATAAATTCGTCCATTGTCTGTATTGATTTCGCCAGAGCCGACCCATCTTGTATCGCTTATTCCTAATATATCGATCTCTAGTCGCATCATCTCTTGCTGTATATTTCTTAGTTTCCCAGGTTCATACATACTTCTTACATTCCATGTAGCTATTTTGTAAGTGGATTTGTATATATTTAGTGAACAGGGATTTCGCTGACTAACGGCCTGGGAAGCCCTGTCGTTACTGCTGTTTCTTCCCCTGCCGAATCTTGGCATCCGAGAACCATGATTAGTAGGTTGTTGATTGTCATTTTTATTAGCCATGACGATTTCTAGGGATACTCCAAGAGTCTTTAATGCAGTGGTTTCCCGTTGCCTTCTGCATTCTTACGCCGTTGGCCGTTTTCTCGGCTCGTCCGCCTTCAAGATCGATTTCTCAGTCTCAGGGCAAAAGAGTGCCCTTGTCTCTTACTAGCTCGTCCGCCCGCAACCGTTGGCCAATAAAAGGAGTTCTATATCAACCCTAAAATCGAGGGTTGCCACTTCCGCCATCCACACCGTACCGAAGCTCCGCTTCTCCGCCGTGTTTGCCGTTGTGGTTACTAAAATAGGACGATAATAATTTGGATTAGTCGATGACTTGTTCTGTTTCTTGATTGGTATAACAATAGATTCCCTCCATCATATTTGAAATTTCTGATTTTATTTCTTTTTTTTTTATTCGAAATTTGGTTCATATTATTGTACAATATAAAAGGTTTTTAACGGCAAATATGAGAAGATTTTTGAGGAATATGAAAAAATGTTATCCGGACCTGCAGCTGAATTTTTGCAAGTGTGAAGAACATTTAAGAGTTCCTGAAGTATAAAAGGTGTATTTAAGATCCTAGATTCAAATTTGATAGATTGGGAAGGATATTGTAGGTACTGAGTACATTCTTGTTTGTGAACCGCTGATAGATATGTTCAGCAATTACATTAATGATCATCAGTTACTAAACTACTGTTATGTAAAATGGCTGGAATTATTATGTGAGTACTTTTCCCTGCATTTGATTAATATTCTTCCAGGCATGAAAACGTGGAGTATTATGAGTTATAGTCGAAATGTACTTAGTTCTTGCATGAGTATTTCTTGCTTTGTTTTAAGATATACCTCGCCTTGGCTCTAAGTGTTTTAAAACTAATAAGGTTTGCTTCACTTGTGTTTTGACGGGACTTATGAAGAGCAGTTTTGTATTATTTTACAGCAGTTGTACAACGTTCAATCCACCAAGGATTTAATTTCATTTTAGAACTTGTTAAACTCTTAACATATTACCAATAATCCCTCATTGTTTTTGTTATAATTATTAATAAAACATGAAAATATATTCCATTTATTTTCAATATATCTAGTCACGTTAAAACTATTTTGCTCGTCATTTCGTTGAAACTCGAAGGTTGTTTCTTTCAGTATCTAAACACGCTTCGATATTATGTTACCGCCAATTCTCCTCTTCTCAATATAGAAGTTGTTATTTTTACGACCACACTGCACAACTGGTTATAAATGTTTTTACCAACCGGTTCGCTAATTCAATACAAAAAACAAGTGTCTTCCTAGAATTGAGTCAGTGTTTGTTTTTCGGAACTCTTAAAAGGGCAATATATCTTCAGCTTTATTATTTTATTATTATTATGCAATTTCTTCGTAAATGTATAGAAAAATTGGCTTCTTAAAACTCACCGTTGGAACGTTTAAAATTCGTTAAAATCAATTGTAAATTGGCGAGTCACTCTTTCCTATAAAATGTTGGATTGGAGCAGCATTCAACAGACTCCTCTCTCGGTTCTCACGCGGGAGAGTCATCTCAGTGGCACCAGACTAATATTTCGGATCCCGCACCGAACAGTAAAATTTCAATTCACTTTGCGATACACGCGCTCTACGTAAATTTTCGTTGACACATAGCAAAAAAATAAGAAGTTTTCGTTAAGTGTATTTGTAATAAATATCTTTTGTAACGGTGCAACGTAAAATAAAGTGCGTTTAAATTGATCAAGGATTATTATTACCACTTCGACTTAAAAAATTGTTTCGACGAAGGATTATTTAATCCAGTTCCAACATCTGGCTGGATGTTTGTGTTCTGAAAAGGAAACAAATCACAACAGAAGTCATTATACTTTTTCCTACACTTATATCAGTAGACGAGATACTATATTTTTTAAAATAATCTACTTCATTATCTATATTTCCAGAGAAGAAAATTTTTTTTCATTATTTGTAATGAGGATGGGAAAATGTTTACTATCATATCGATCATCTACAATATTCCATGTTAGAGAAGGACATATTTTGGAACCGCATAGGCTTAGGGCAATCGCTGAAAAACTTCCTGTTGAAATACTGAATGAGTGTTGGAGCCACTGTTTAGAAAACAAATGTCGGTAATGTTTAGTACGTTCTCTATAACTTTTCCTCTTCGGTATGTGGTTTGATATCCCCATGCAATATTGTGAGCATTAAAGTCTCCGAGGATTAAAAATAGTGCTGGAAGTTAAAAAAATTAAGTCTGCTAAATGTGTTAAAGGTATGTCTTTTTAGGCAAAAATAGTGGTTTCTACACCTATATAAGTTGTTAGATATTTTCTAAGCTGTAAAAGAATTCAACAGAGGAAGGTTCAAAATCAGGGTTTCGAAGATATTCCAGAAATCTCCTTGAACGAAATTTACAAGGCCCTAAAAAAGATGAAGAATAACAAAGCTCCGGGGAAGGACGGTGTCGTCACGGAAGCGATAAAGATAGGAGGCTCAGTACTGATAGCCAAAATTCAAAAGCTCTTTAATCTATGCCTATAGAATCAAAATATCCCAACAAAGTGGAATAATTCAATAACTGTACTCTTACACAAGAAGGGAGATATAGCAGACCTGGAAAGATACAGACCAATCAGTCTCCTTAACCATCTTTATAAATTATACACCCGAATAATAACGAATAGATTAGAGACAAAGCTGGATTTTTACCAACCTCGGGAACAAGCTGGTTTCCGCCCTAATTACGGCACAAACGATCACCTGCAGTGCCTAAAAACCCTAATAGAAAAAACTAACGAATATAACCGTCCCTTGGCATTGATATTTGTAGACTTTAAAAAGGCGTTTGATACAGTGGAACTACCGTCCATCTTAAGAGCACTACAAGATTGCAGGATCGACCACAGATATTGTAATATAATTAAAAATATATATGAAAATGCCACAACAACCATAAGTCTATATTCTGCAACTAATAAAATAAAGATAAAAAGGGGAGTCAGGCAAGGTGATACCATGTCACCAAAGCTGTTCATTACCGTTCTTGAGTATGCATTTAAAAAACTAACATGGCAACAGAAAGGAATATCCATCGATGGAGAAAGATTAAACCATCTACGTTTTGCGGACGATATCGTGCTTCTGTCAGATAATCTGGGAGAGATCAAAGACATGCTCCAAGAACTGAATGACATACTACAAGAAACTGGGCTGGAGATAAATTTCGAGAAAACCAAAATGATGACCAATATGGTTCCCAGCGAAGAGATACAGATCAATAACAACAAGGTAGAATTAATCGATAAATACACATACTTGGGTCATGAAATTAGAATAACCAGAGACAACCAAACCTGCGAGCTAAATAGACGAATCATGTTGGGATGGGCGGCATATGGACGGATGAGAGACATTTTTAAAACAAATATCCCAATTCACCTGAAAAGGAAGGCATTTAACCAATGCATCTTACCAGTCTTGACCTACGGAGCAGAGACCTTAACTTTAACGAAAGCTACTGCCGAAAAACTGAGGGTAACACAAAGGCGAATGGAGAGATCAATGCTGGGCCTGACCTTGAAAGATCGCGTAAGAAATGAGGAGATACGCCGACGAACTGGCGTAGACGATATTATACTGCGAATCAATAAACAAAAGTGGAGGTGGGCTGGACATGTTGCTAGAATGGAAGACGGAAGATGGACGAAGAGATTATTGGAGTGGAGACCAAGAGCCGACAAGCGAAGTCGAGGCAGACCACCCACCCGATGGACCGACGACCTAAGGAGAATAGAAACAAACTGGATTGCAGCAGCTAGAGATAGAGAGAACTGGAGACGTTTGGAGGAGGCCTATATCCAACAATGGATGTGAAAAATTCGGCTGGATGATGAAAAGAATTCGTCACAATTCCACTGAATAAGTGTGAAAGTTATCAATGTTTGGATTTTTCAGAATGTGGTGAATGATCGGTTTTGTCAACATCGTCGAAAGTATATCTATCTGTATCGTCTAGTTCTGAAGGTAGTTCCAGTTTTAGCTTTGATATTCTTGTGAACTAATTTTTTAATGATCTGGTGGTTATGTGTGGTTAAATTATCAGCTACATATCAGATATAATTGAATTGATGTCACAAATAATTTGCTGGACTTCTATTGTGAGGTTGTTAGCACTATCAAGAAAGGCTATGAGATTATCTTTGAAAGAACAGAAGCTTTGTACGTTGTTGGTGTAAAGATCCCTCATTATTTGCTCTGATTTATTTGACATTCTGGATTTATCTGTGGGATCGATTTTTGACTCATTCGCGTGTTTTGTGCTTTTTTTTTCATAGAATCATTAGCAGAAGACATCAATGGCGAGTTTTCAATTTGAGAATTAAATATAAGATGGTCAAGAGGATCGGAGTGCGGTGTATGAAAGAGATGAAAGAAGCGAGTTTTAAACTAAGCTTACTCTACGATGTGGTGTGGAATTGGGGGACAGATATTCGAAATTATGATACGTTTTGTTGGAGTAACTAATCTCCTAATAGACAATATCACCGGTGGATTTTACAAAGTCGAATGATTTTAAGTTTTCTTCTGAGTAATAAATAAATGCTTGCTCCTGTGTAGGGAAGGAAGACTTGGATCTAGATTTCATGGCAGCAACGAAAGGTGCTGGTGTAGAAGACGCAGTGTTACTGGATGTAGGCATTGCTGTTATTGACTGTAGATTTATTATTCATAATTTTATTGCTTTTATCGTGATCAACTATACGGATGATCAAGATTAATGTAGTATCACTCATCGGTAGATTGATAACAAAAAGCTAGATTTTGTCTATAAATATTGCAATACTTGCTTGTTGCCTGGAACACGTTGCAAACAGCAATGAAGAAGATATCATCAATCTGTACCCAATTGTTTATTCTCTCGCTCTACCAAATTAGATTAATTAATATTTTAGTTTAATCACAAATCTTACTAAAAGGTCGGCACAAAACTTTTATTAAACTTACTCATTCAATCCTAGTAGGTCACTTTCTTTATAAGTGTTTAATTATGTTTTGATATACAAAACTAGGTATTAATTTTGATTAAAGATAAATTGTTTTTAACAGAACATTGCTTTTGTATTCAATTACTTTAATATTTTAGGCAGCTGGTCCACAGATAGGAACAACAATAAATTTTATTTCAACATTCATACTTACGTGCACGTTTTCTTTTTATTTTGAGTGGAGGACAAGCTTTGTGCTTTTTTCTTTGTGTCCCGTAATATTCTTTTCTGTATATTATGAGCAGAAGGTATTACAAGAGGATGCAACGAAAAACCAAAAAATGTTAGAAGCGTCAGCAAAGGTAAGTTAAGTATGTTTAATTCAAATAGTAATAACCAGACTTAATCTAATATGCATATTCAAACATAAGTAATATGCTCATATATAAGCACGATTTTTATCACTAATTTGCAAAAAAAAATTATTTCTGCCAATAATATGCAGAAAAAATTCTGCATAATATTTAACAAAACAGACTTATTAAATAGGTAAAACCAAAACGTACAATAATAATTGTAGTTTTTATACTTCAGATTTCTCATTAAAACAGTAGACAATTAAATGTTTCTCTAAAGCGACGCACTCCCAGTGATCTTTTAACAAGATTTCTACTTGTTGTAAACCACTTTTACATAAGAAAAGTGCCGGGATCCTCTGTAAAGGCCTATTCTCACTATAGTTAGGGTGACCATATGTACTTTTTTTAGTAGGACAGTACTTTCTTTTCAAACGCTGTCCTATTGTACTTTAAAATTTATGAAGTACACCTAAATGTACTCTTTTTCTTAATTACACAAAATTAAGTCCTACTTTTTGTCCAAACAAAATATAATTATGGTTCGAATTGATTCAAGAATCGATCTTTTGCGGAAGAATCAGAATCTCCTATCTTTAGCAGCAATCGATCGGCGCAGGAGTCACTTGTGACTCTCGTCGCTGCGTCATCGTCTAGTTTAGTTTATTACCGATACGCCCATCTCCCTCCCATCACTGTCGATTTCATTTCGCAGCAAGATCTTATTATCTTATTTATTTAGTAAAAATATATATCTCGTCGTATGTTTATGTTTATTTGTTACTTGTGCGCTCACTGTTGATTAGTCTATTAACCTTTTGTCTTAAATTTCGGCAGTTTTTCTCGTTTTTTATATTATTTTGTGCTGTGTGGAAAATAAAAATTTCATCATGTCATCAGAGTATCCTTTTATGAAACAAAAATTAAATGTTTCACCGCATATTGTGATTTGCCAAATTTGTAAAAGTGATGTTGATATTTCTAACAGTGGTCGCAGTAATATCAAACAACATTTGTAAAAGAAAAAACACATGTTGGCTGGTAATGCGAACTCGAAGAGCAGCAAATTGGAAGCCTTTGTTAAAAAAAGATCTGAAAATATGTTGATTGCTGCCAAGAAAGGTACTTTTGCTTACCATACAATTAAGCATTTGCAAAGTTTCAGATCCTCAGACTGCACGTCAAAACTAATTGTAAGCATGTTTGAACCTAAATTTGCGGCAGTTCGAACCAAGACTGAGGCGATTGTAAAAAATGTTTTAGCTCAAGAGGCTCAATCCCAATTAGAAATTGACCTTCGAAAAGCAAATTTCGTCAGCATCACAATCGATTCGTCGAATCATAGAGAAATTAAAGTTGTGCCCTTAATGGTAAGATATTTTGATGGAGAAAATGGTGTCCAAGTAAAATTACTTCAGCTACGTGACTTACCTGGTGAAACATCAGAGCAGTTAAAAGATTACGTGGTCAATGTTTTGAATTACCATAATCTACTACAAAAATGCATCGGAATGTCTGCTGATAATACAAATACAAATTTTGGTGGAATGAGAAGAAAAGGAGTGAACAATCTATCCAGCAAATTAAATGCTTCTCGTGGTAAACCCGTGATTGGAATTGGTTGTGTGGCACACATTTTTAATACCTGTTTACAAAATGCAACGGACGTCTTACCCATAGACATCGAGGTTATTGCGGTCAAGATTTTTAAGTATTTCTATATTTTTACAGTCAGAGTGGAGAAACTAAAGCAGTTTTGCGATTTTGTTGATATCGAGTACAAAAAAATGTTGTCGTTTTCAAAAACAAGATTTTTGAGCCTAAGGCCAGCCATTGAACGAATTATACAAATGTTCGAACCCTTGAAAGCATATTTTTTATTGATTGATAATTGTCCAACAGTTATAAAACAGTTTTTTCAAAACCCAATCAGTGAAGCATAGATGTGGTTTGTGCATAACATTGCGTCTCTTTTCCACAAAGTGATTTTAGATGTAGAAGGTGACAAAATATGCGCAACGGAAGCCACTTTGAAGTATTTCGAACTCATAAATAAGCTTCAAAATCGCTTAAATGAGTTATTTTTAACGCTTAAAGTAAGAGAGTCACTTTCAAAACTTGAAAATATGGAAGACCTTGACCTTAGTGTAAACTATCGGGATATCTTTATCACGTATGCCAAGCAGTTCTATTCAAATTGTGTAACATATTTGAAAAACTGGAGTGAAAATTTAAGTGAACTAAAGCTATTCGGATGGGTTAACTTGAAAAAACAAGTTTCTTGGGATGAAATTTTATCGTCATGTAAGGCTTTTAAAGACTACATAGGTCCGATATTGAATCAGGACGAACTGTTTGATGAAGTTAGTCTAATACGAACCTACGTTACAGAAGATAAAATCGCAGACTGGAATTCGAAAAATATTTCTACCGAAGATCGATGGCTCGAAATCTTCCAAAACGAAAGTGCTTTGAAAAATCTCAAAATTCTATGTGAGTTTGTTTTTTGTCTGCCTGGGACCAGTGCGTCGATTTAGCGGTTGTTCTCAAATATCAATAACTATTGGAGTCCCAACAAATCGCAGTTGAAAATATCTACTCTGGAAACCATCATGCAAGTCTACACAAACTTCAAAGTTTCGTGCAATGAAATGTTTCAGTTCTTAAAGAGTAAACCACAACTTCTGAAGGAAATTCATAGTTCCAAAAAGAACAACTGGTACCAAAAAGATGATCAAGATGTTCAGGAAGAAACGTCGAAAGAAAATTAACTATTAAAATTTATCATACATTTTTTATGTACGTATATTTGATTAAAAAAAATCGTTCTTATCATTGTTTCATTAAATATTCGTAAAATTTTGACCAGAAAAATTTCCTAGGGCACTAGCAGTGTACATATTTTCTTAAAAATTATAAATGTACTTTTTTTTTGTTGAAAAATTATGGTCACCCTAACTATAGTGCCTGACATGTGCTCGGCTTGTGCCCTGCTCGAGACCTGCAAAATTACTTATTTAAATTACGTTATTTAAATTGGTGCCAAATGAGATGGGAGATTTCGAGAGGGGGATGGGTTTCGGGCTGGATGAAAGAAATATTGTAAACTTAATGTTGAGAGGAGAGAAAGAATGGAGAATAGTACACCTTCTGATTTCTGGAGTGATGAAGAAAAAGGAACAGGAGGACAGAGGAGGAAATTAACGGTGGTTAAGGTTTTAGCCGGAACACGGTTAATCCAGCACTACCCTGGGGTCTTCTGGCTTAGTATCCCACTCGGCCGAAAGATACCAGGGTGTCTTGTTCCGTCCTACCGTTGCCTGTCAGAATCCAATGGATACCTTCTTAGGCTCTTACTGGAATCTGGCAATACGTCAATTAAAAAAAAATTAAAAAAAAATAAAAAAAAATAAAAAAAAAAACGTTTGTATTACTCTACATAAGTAGTTATTAGCTATTGAATAATTGACGGCAAAGGAGATCCGTAGAGAAGATTAATCTCCTGGCTAGCTTACTTCCGCAAGGAATTTGTAACAACGTCAAACGAACTATTTCGCAGTGCAACGATGCTATGGTATTAGAAATGACAAAGAAATGAGTACTTAGAGTATTGGGGAGTATTATCTATCAAAGTTACATTTATCTATAAATTCTAAAACATAAATAATTACAAAGTTAAGCAATTGCTTGGCAAATACATAATTTATCGAATATTATGTTTAATTTATATTAAAATGTTCTTTTTCTTTGTAGTTGGCTGTAGAAGCAATCGGTAACATAAGAACAGTGGTTTCTCTGGGTTGCGAAAAAGTATTTATGGAACAGTATATCAAAGAGTTATTACCGTACCAGAAAATGGCAACGAAAAAGTCACATATTCGTGGCATTATAGTAGGTTTAGCTAGAAGTTTGATGATGTTTGCTTACGTAGCGGGAATAAGATATGGTATTAACTTAATCATTTCCGGTGATTGCCCCTATGGAACAATTTTTATGTAAGTAAATACTGTAATGTATATGTAAATAAATTGTCAAAAAATGTATTAATACATTCGGTTTATGAGATTTTGCTGCACCGAGAGACTTTGTGTAAAGATTTTGATTATCTTAAATATGTCATTAATGTTTTTTTTTTCAAAAATTCAAAATATGTGTGGAGTACGTCTGTTTGTTTTGGAGTAATCTCTTTAATGGGTCTTTTTCAAAATAAATGAATGTTCCGTTTTTTGTAACTTTAGAGAATAAATGAAGCAAGACGTGATTTAACTAAGTAAACTTTTTAAATTCAAGTCAGTCAATTATTAATATCACAATTACTAATTACATTAATTATCCCTTAGAAAAAATTCGCGCTGAATCGCCATTACTAATTTCAAAATCCGACGCTACTGACTTATAAAATGAAAATGAAATGTCTGGAATACAGCTTACTGTGTGACGAGAACTTATCGATGATGATCTCTGCTTCGATAGAATCAGTACGCGGAATATATCGGCGGTGAAGAGAGACTTACAGTCTTCTCTAACGCACAGAGCTGCAATCAGGCCTATGTAAGTCACCACATCGCCTCCTTTTTTCAAGCTATTTGTACCAAACAATAGCTAAATGAACCAGATCTTTGGATTCCGCCCTTTATAAGGACACAGTCATTAATCTTCTTAGTGGCCAGGTACTGTCCTTCTCAGCGCTGTAACTTGGGACTCAGACCTTTCCTTCCCGTTAGTTGGTAGAGTAAGACTTCATCACCTTCCTAAAAGCTAACGGTAGTGGATTTCTGATCAAATTTGTCATCAGCTCACTAGTAAGTTGCAGCTTATTCCTGGCGAAATCGTGAACCTTAACTAGGATGCTTTAGGCCGCTGACATAATCGGGGGTGTCTCTTAGTTCGCCTCTCTGTCTAGTAGGTTACCATGTAGGAGGTCAACAGCATTGCTGAAGTGTAACTAGATTATTCATTCGATTAACTAATTAGCTTAGGTAGGCTAACAGAAACAGAGGCACCAGTTTGTCCCAGTCTCTCCATTTTCATCTTAAAACATTAGGCTCAGAAGCGCCTATTGTTGAGTTTACAAGCACGTCAACCATGTTTCTTACACTCTTTGGAAGAACAACTTGAGACATTGTTTTTTTAATCTAGACTCTTCTATTTACGAGTAATGAAGTTATTTAAAGGACAGAAGAGTTCCACTGAAGCACTTCACTGCTTGCCCATATTTGACAAGTTTCTTCGTCGCTTCCGTCCTCTAGGGTTTTAAACTATAAAATCAGACCCTTTCGTTCTTCTTGATGCTCGCAGAATCGGCACTTGCTCTTTGTGTATGTTCTTCTAGAGAGACCCTCGGCATTCCCATAACTTCTTCCCACTCGCTGGCGAATGTCCTTATCATAGGTCTGTAGTTTCTTTAGCCATCGTCTTTTCTGGCCTTCAGATGTCTTGAAATTAAGGAGCCATTGCAAGACATAATGGCAGGCTTTTATCAAAAACATTCGTCTATAGAGCAACGAATGGTAGTGTTTTAATGCTTTAGCGACCACCAATAATTCTCTCCTCGTAACACAGTAGTTTTTTTTGCTTTTCCTAGAGTTTTCTAAAGTATTCAAAGACATGGTACTCACACTCATGTGCTTGGTAAAGCACCAACCTGATGTCATTTTGAGAAGCATCCGTATCTAGCACGAAAATACCCTGTTCTTTAGGATATGTCAAGGTTGGAGCCATTGTCAATTTATGCTTGACTGTGGTAAATGCAAACTAGCAGTCTAATGTACAGTCAAGTGATAACTACTTTCAGTCAGGTTATGGAAAGGTTGACCAATCTTTACAAAATCTTTCACGAAGCGACGGTTGTAACTGCAAAGGCCAAGAAAACTTCAGATATCGTTTTTGTTTCATGTTATGGTCCATTCTCGTACTGCTTTTATTTTTTCCGTTGCAAAACCTGAGGATGAAATTACATGTCCAAGGAAATTAACTTATTCTTGCAAGAGCTCGCACTTTTTAGCATTTACTTGTTGGTGAGCGTCCCTAAGTCTGATGAAAACTTATTTGAAATCGGTTCAAGGTGTTCGTCAAAATCCCTTCCGATGACTATGATGTCGTCGAGATATACCAGAAAGGTTTTTAGTTAGCTTTATTAATCGTTTAAACGTGGCAGTTGCATTACACAATCCAAATGGTATCACTTTGAAATGGTAGAACCTATTTCTAGCAGAACATTCTTTCCTTCTGTGCTCAGGGTGGACTGCAACTTGCCTATACCCAATTTTGAGATCCACTGAGAAAAAACCATTTAGATCCAGCCAATACGCTAAGGGTATCGTCAATTATAGGCACTGGCAGCTGTCTTTCTTGGTGACGCTTTTTAATCTTCTATATTATGTAGTCGATACCGAACCATGTCTAGCCTAAAAAAAATTAAGTGCCAAGTGGCTTCTTAATAAACGTAAATGATCTAATCCAAGACTTGGGAATTAAGATATTATTAAATCATAAGGTCTTAGAAATGTCCCATTGAGTTGTTCCTTAAAACTAATTTTAAAATCGCACCTTGCATATAGGTTTGTAATGCCCTAATTAAAATGTAACTAAGTTAATATACTTCTTCTCCGCCACTTACTTCTGCTCATCGTGTCTTCTTTATTTAAACCTTTCTCACTCAAGTCCTCTGCCACACAGTCCTTCTATCTTTTTCTTTACTTCTCTTTCCCTCAACTTTTAACAGCTCTATCCTTTGTCCCACAAAGTATTAACTAATTTCTAGGTCTGACCTTACCAAATAAATGCAGTCTTTATTCTGAAAAATTTTTTAGGATTGTAGTCACCCCGACTTTTATCCAATCACGTCATTCCTTATCTTGACCCTTCTAGTCTTACACAACATTTACCGTAACATTTTCATTTCAGCACTTCCATCTTCATTTCCTTTACCAGTTTTACAGACCACATTATACCACCGTATACCAAAGCAGGCCTCAACACACTCTTGTATAGGCTTCCTTTCAGCTCTTTCTCGATTTTTCGATCACAGAATACCCTGATCATTCGTTTCCAGTTAAACCAACCACCCTAGATCACTTAATCTAGAATCCAATGTTCTGCTATTTAAGATCCAGGGTGTTTAAATTCTTCTACTGGTCCTTGTTTTTGCCCTGGCAATTCTATGTTCCTGACTATTCGTATTCCTCCCAATCACACTCCCTTTTTTATAGCCCTTCTCCAACCCTCCAACGTTTATTTGCTCTCCTCCACTATCACGATATCATCCGCAAAGAGCGTTGACCAAACAGCCCCTCTCTTACCTTCTCTGTCAGTACATCCATAATAATATTAAACAGGTAAGAACTCAGTGAAGAACCTTAACGCACACCAACCGTCACTTAAAAACTTTCATATAATTAAACAAATAATATTTCCTTCTTTTTTTTCTTCCTCTTTATAAGCAATCCTGCTTTTTCATTGACGGATTAATACCTCTATGGAAGGTTATCACACGACAAGGGTTTTCTTCATTCTGCTTATGTGGTTATTCCATTCTTTTTTTCTATTTTGTGTCCATTCATTTATACACTGTACGTTACATTTTCTTCTAATTATTTACTTCTCTTTCGATCTCTCAGCGTATTTCCTGTAATTCTTCTCAGTACTCTCATCTCTGCAGTTTCCATTCGCCTTTGCGTTGTGGCTGTGTTGGGTCTTGTTTCTGAGGCATATTTCGTTATATAGTGTTATTACGGCATCCTGCTAGTCTATTTTCTTCTTGTACTTAATCTCTCACTTCTTTGTCCAGGTCTCCATAGCTAGACAGTGTATTAATTACTATTTAAGTGGGAATAAGCCACAGTTAAAGATAAAAATACGTTTATTGACGTTTCAATTTCCACTTCGGAAATCGTTCTCAAAATACAAACAGTAAATTAAACAAATGTTGTTTTTTGTTACATAGTGAAAAATTCTTCTAATAATTTAATTTTATCTGACTCATTTATATTGACAATTCAGACATACATTATGCATTTTAAAGTAGACGACTTTAAAATGATATTGCCAATATTGTTGAGTTGCGCTCCTGGGACGACTTTACTTATAAGATAGTTCATTCGATTACATGAAATCAACTTTAACTTGAGAATATCCGTCAGAAAAAAATCATAGCATGTAATTCGTCTTTAAAAAGACAAACACATGACATGATGACAGTAAAATTCTCCTGTTAGTGATTCCATAGTAAATTATGAGGGAAAAACCAGGAAAAAAACCTCATAATACTATCCCGACATTGTAAGTATTTGTTCGTGAATTTAGTTTACCTTCAACAAACATCAAAATTCTGATTTTATATGTTACGTTATTTAAAAAACATAAATGATGTATCCTCTATATGTTACTGACTTACTAATACTGGTATTTTCTTATTAATAACTTCCTCTTTCAATATTGGTAACCAGATCCTATACATTCTGCCGAGGAATTTGCGACACAATTGGCCTCATTTAGCATAATTAGAGCCGCTTCTTTGATTTTTCTTTTTTTACCATCCGTTTCTTTTAGGACTACATTTGAATTATTCCATTGAACCCTATGTTCATTATCCTATGCGTGTTTACATATTTGAGATCTATCAAATTCTCTATTTTTAATATAAGATTGATGTTCACTTATTCTAACATTTAATGGCCTTGATGATTCACCTAAATAAAACTGATCGCATTCACAAGGTATTTTATAAATGCAATTCTTTGTCCTTTCTTGTTCATTGTTAGGTTTGGTTTTGGACAAAATAGATCTCAACGTGTTTGTTGTTTTGAATGTTGTTGAAATGTTGAATTTATTTCCTATCCTTTCAAGTTTTTCTGACAATCCTTTTTAATAGTAAGTCAGTAGCATATAGAGGATACATCATTTATGTTTTTTAAATAACGTAACATAAGATCAGAATTTTGATGTTTGTTGAAGGTAAACTAAATTCACGAACAAATACTTACAATGTCGGGATAGTATTATGAGGTTTTTTTTCCTGGTTTTTCCCTCATAATTTACTATGGAATCACTAACAGGAGAATTTTACTGTCATCATGTCATGTGTTTGTCTTTTTAAAGACGAATTACATCCTATGATTTTTTTTTTTTGACGGATATTCTCAAGTTAAAGTTGATTTCATGTAATCGAATGAACTATCTTATAAGTAAAGTCGTCCCAGGAGCGCAACTCAACAATATTGTCAATATCATTTTAAAGTCGTCTACTTTAAAATGCATAATGTATGTCTGAATTGTCAATATAAATGAGTCAGATAAAATTAAATTATTAGAAGAATTTTTCACTATGTAACAAAAAACAAAATTTGTTTAATTTACTGTTTGTATTTTGAGAACGATTTCCGAAGTGGAAATTGAAACGTCAATAAACGTATTTTTATCTTTAATTGTGGCTTATTCCCAGTTAAATAGTAATTAATTTACAATGCCACAAGAAAATAGCTTTAGAACAATACTAGACAGTGTACTTTAGTTCCATTACTTGTTCAATACTGATGCCATCAGTTTTTATTTTACATTTGGTTGGTACTTTGCTGACTACTATTGTTTTAGTTTTCTAAGATGAGATTGTCATTATTTTGCTCTTGTGTTATATCTGTGGACCAGTCTTTGCAGACTGCTAAGTTTATCCTCTGACTTATTGGTACTTGTAAAATTTTAGTTGTAAGTTTTAGCGTAGTATTTAATAATAATAATATTTCCTATTTCAAAAAATTGACGATTGGAAACTCATATGGCAATATTCGAGAACATATTTATTTTTACATAATATCACATTCCCATATGTTCTCAAATCAAACTTTGTATTTTTTTAATAAAAATTATCTTTTTATAAAAAGAATTAAACAAAACAAATTAATATGGCAATAATACCGAATAAATATATTCGTTTTCTATGTTATAATGATCCGGTCATTTAGTAAGATACTCCAGTAATATATTTTAAAACAATCTATTTTCGACTTAAATTTCATAGGGAATAACCCTTACCAATTAAACAAAACTTTGTAAATTGAAAATCGATGTTATCTTCTTTCATATTTTTCAAAATATTTCAGAGTTTGTGAAGTAATGATAGTCGGTACGTGGTCGGTTGGAAATGCACTGTCTCTTTCTCCAAATTTCCAAAAAGGTCTTGTTGCGGCATCCAGAATAATAACGCTTTTAGAGAGGCAACCAGTTGTACAAAACATGCCAAACGCCTTAAACTTTTTATGGGTAAGTAATACTTATTTAGTATTAGTGATAGCTCTCTAAGTAACTGAATAATTACGTCTCCTTAAATTTTCAAAAATAAGTCAAACAGAGAATGGATGTTTAAAATGGTCTTAGATTTTTAGGTAGACACACATAAAAAAGATTTCGTATTGGTCTATCCAGACATCTTAATGTCATATCTTTCCCGCTAATCTGAACTATATATTATGATGTACCTACACAAAGATCAACATCTTAAAATGTAAAGGAGGTAATCACTTAAAGTGGTATATATAATGTACCACTTATATATAATTATATTGAAGACTTATCAATGTTTACATTATAATTTCTTTCTATTACCCAAAGGTCGACATACATGCTTTTACAAATAATGGTTGTATCCCACATGACTGACACACACATATAAATCAAGTCTGTTATAAATTATCGCTTAATTTACCTATTTTATTTTATTTATATTTATTTACCTATAATACTTACTCATTTACCTATAACATTAACAAAACTGATACCTTTTTATCCTCTCCCACATAGTTTGTACAAAAATACTGCTCTAGACGCTCTTCGCTCGATGTTAGCCATTTTGTTGGCGGCTGTGTTCATGTATATTTGTAGATGTCTTTATAAGCCTAAAATCCATTTGTCGCACCGTTTTCATAATAAGTAGCTTCTCCACACTTTCCAATAATTTGACTGTTCTTATCGCAGTATCGTCGTTGGGAGCATAAACCCCTATGATAACTATATTATGGCCATTTTTCGTCGGGTATACCATAATATGCTCGTTAACTTCTTGCGAACTTTTTACGTATTTAAGTAATTTATTGTGAATGAGTACAACTGCACTTTTTTTTCGACTGTTTCGTTACTTTTACCTTTTTTCTTCGTTTTCATCAGTGCATCATCGATTTCAATTTTTTCAAGCTCTGACAACACTTCCTTTTGTTTATTTCTGATACCTAAGCCAAAGTTCATATTAATCATATAGAAAAGGTACAAAAAAGATTTCTAAGGTAATTATACCTTAAGAAATACAATGTGTATACTTACCTTGCGCAATCAAAAGAGTTGCTTCAAATATTTGGCTTGCAGTCATTAGAGCAAAGAAAAAAACATGCATTGTGTTGTTTTTATTCATAATATTAGTAACAAAACATTGTTTAATGTTTAATGTTGTATGTAAATTAGTAACAAAACATTTGGTTTAATCAACTTTATTAGGTTTCATGTGCCAAAGGTCAACCTAAGGGTAAACAGTAATAACCTATTTTCTTGTAGTCCAAATAATAATGCGTGCAATAATAAACAGCAATATCAGTGTAATGCGTTAATAAAGATCTGTGATATAGACCTCTTTAACTGTAGTGTAAGGGACATTAAAAAATGTTATGAGTAGATAAGTAATGGACTCAATTTTAAAATTTTATCAACTTGTGTCTTTTTAAATGGGTGGAATGCATAAAACGTAGTAAATGCTATTGCTTCAGCAAATAGTATCTAGTTTGTAGCATTTTCTTTTACATAAAAGGAGGTGCTTTGTTGAAAAGACCGTACTACACAACCGAAGTACTTGCTACTGACCTGACGGATCTGCTACAAAACGTAGCGCCAGCCGTAGTGCCCTTGTGCGCATAACACCAATCGTATTAGAACTAGTTTTTCATGTGGTTTTTCATATGCTTGTATTTTGTGAATAATTATTATTAGAATAAGGGAGTAGTGAGTAAAAATGAGTGGTTCAGATTCCGAAGCGACAAAAGAGTTAGGCGAGGACAAAAATGAACAAGTATTGTTTGTTAATCTTCTTGAAAATTATCAAATTTTATTTGATAAAAGAATGATCCCAAAAATTAAACATGAAAAGGAAGCTGCATTCAATAAATTAACTGCTGCCTTTAATGAAATTTTGGAAAAAAACCTGGATTCAAAACAAATTATGAAGAAATTCAACAACATGAAAACAAAGGTTAAAAAAATTGTTGACGTAAAAAAAACTGGAAACAAAAGAATCGTACTAACTGACTGGCAAAAAAAATTCTATGAGTTATGGAACATTGGAGAAAATCCAGTCTTACACAGGGTACCAGGTGCTTGTAAGGCCGGTGTAACAGAGGAGATTGGGGTTTCATCAAAAAAAAAAAAATGATGAAAACGTTATTTTTAGCTCCAATTCTGTCGTGTACGGAGCCTGGCCAACTCGCATCGACACTGGTAACCATTTCTTGGGCGTTACACGTAGCTTGTACATTAATGGAATATACTCCTTTTCTATTCACGTATTCTTCACCATGGATACGAGGCTTTGTTATTTTAACGTGGGTACAATCAATAGCACCTATAACATTGGGCATTGCTTATTGGTATTTGCCCACTGATTAATAGCAAGTTGAAATAACTCGTTAGTATTAGGAAATGTTATCCAGTTATTTCTCTTTCAGTAAATTGCTTCTGAAACACTGATTAAGGTTCTGGATACAGTACTCTGGTTAACATTTAAATCAACAGCAACTCTCTGCTGATATCCAGGATCTCCTGAAAAAGTAATATTTATATTTTTCAAAGTTTACAACTTATTTCCAAAACTAACCTAAACTTCTCAAAAATATCTCCATTTTCCGAGTGGGTGACAAGGCTCCATCTCTTGTTTCTACGGAATCGTCATCGTCAAGAAAATGACTAGCAAGCCACTCTACATTTTCTCTGTTGAATCTAAAACAAAAAATATGAATGTACCTTTTTATAAAGATTTTATATTAATACCTAAATAGATATACCTACATATGCAGTACGCGGAAATAAGGCTTACCCCACCCCCTACTTTCCTACTTTCCCATTTAAAAAATCAGAGTTATGACTGTCACCTGAAGAAGGATTGCTTAAAGTTCGAAACACCTTGATTCTATAATATACTATGATTATTTTAAAAATCGACCTCTCCGAGCGTTTTGCTAACTAAAAATATACTAAAAATAAATGAGTTAATATGGGGGGTAACACTTATTCCAGCGCTCTGTATGAATAAAACTGCACGATTCATGATAATTACCTGAATATTTTACGATAAATATCGTCATTGTATATTCTTCCGGGTTTGTAGATTTTTCTACGACGAACATTCATAAATGCTGCCATTTTTTAACAAAAAACACCTACGCCGAAGTCGTTCATCTACCAACTTCACCTAAACTGAAGCAAATTCTACTAAACTAGTAAATACTTCGAAAGCGTAGTACATCCTTCTATATATCTGGTAAATAGTAGCAAATACTACGGAGGAAAGCAAAATGCTTTGTAAGTGTAGCAAGTACTACAAAAATGTAGAATTACTTGAAGCATTAGCAGATACTACGTTTTATGCATTCCACCCAGTGTGTTTACTTTCTGTGTTTTTATTTTGTACTTGTATGTATATTGTATTTTTTTGTATTTTTTATGTGTATATTGTTATAACCAGTAATGAGCACTCTATGTAATTACTACCTTGGTGGTGTTTGTAAGTTTTAATAAAATAAATAAAATAAATACCTTATAAATTCCATATAGCTATTTTCAATGTGCGTTTCCGTTGAAATTTTCGTCGTGGTTTTAATCCATCCGTATTCCGAGGCAAATTATAGAAATTGTTGACATATTTAAAGCATTTTCCGAATGACGAGTTGCTAGCACGTCGATCCAATACTCATATTTGAAGGATCAGAATTTTTGTTCGGGGTTTTTTCCCGTAGCCGACCTTTGTTGCATAACGCACATCCACTGTACGCCATACACTCAGTGATTACGCGATATATGTCTTCGAGGACAATGTAGTAGGACGCTTGTCCCTCACGCTGTCTCTGAAGTCCATTAAGGCTGTTTTATCGGTGCACCAAAACCTAGGAACTGTTATTTACCGACAAAATGTCTCGAAATTTGGACACAATATTCGAAACTATGTTGCTTTTAAAATGATGGTTTTACTTTTTTTATTTTTTTGTTACTTCTGTTGAAAAATTGGATTATACTGTTTAACGTTCTATTATAACCAAACTTTTTACGCCCATCGCTTGAAAGAGTTTTTTTTTCTGTAATCGTTGATTTTTTTTCACCTTTCTGTGTCCAGTAATAATCGAGAAAAGCGTGTTCAAACTTTGAAGAAAATTGCTAAAAAATACTAAAATCTAATAGTGAAACGTGTTACTCATCATTGTCGCTTAGGTTCATCGTTATCGCCTTCGTGACTTCAAATCTCATGAGCGTACGGTCAGTTAGTTCGTGTTAAAACTAATTTGAATGGAGAGTAATGCATTTGTTGCCCGTTGGCCGACGCCACTGAGTAAAGATAGTCTCGCGTAAGCAGTGTAGAAATGTAAGTGATACGCCCATTTCAAATCGCAGTGTGCTTCAACCGCTAAAACAGCCTTAACAGCCTTAAACCACCGCTAAGTTGGTCACGTGATTATTACTACCTTCATCTTAAAACGTCTTAGCAGCAGCTGTTTTATAATACATCTAACTTCAATTTAATTATTTTTCTAACTTCAATTATTAAGTAATGACATATTGCTCATTTGTATATTTATATTCATTTTATTTATTTTAATAATGCTTACTTTCTATTTTTGTAGGAAGATGAAAATGTAGAATATTCTGAAGTTTACTTTTCGTACCCTACGAGACCTTCAATACCAATTCTAAAAGCACTAAACCTTTTAATCCCAAAAGGAAAAACAGTTGCGTTAGTAGGATCAAGTGGCTGTGGAAAATCAACTATTATTCAACTATTGGAAAGATTCTACGATCCTAGTTATGGAAAGGTAGAAATTAGTGATAAAAATATTCGGTATATAGATTTAAAGTCGTTAAGATGTCAATTGGGAATAGTCTCGCAAGAGCCAAATCTATTCGATAAAACTATAGCTGAGAATATAGCATATGGTGCAAATTACAAACAAGTGGAAATGGATGCTATTATTGATGCTGCTAAATCTGCAAATATTCATGAATTTATTTTAAATCTTCCAAAGGTAAGATGTTTTAATGTTTTATTTTTAATTTACTTATTAAAACTACTAATTAACTTACTAGCTACTTAAGCAGTGTATTGGCCATATAATCATCCATTTTTTTGCTGTTGATATCCAGTGCATGATGTTTCCACTATCAGATCTCGATTTTATTTTATAATCAATTACAGTAAATTTTTGTGACAATTTTTATTGTAAATTTGAGAACGATTTCCGAAGTGGAAATTGAAACGTCAATAAACGTATTTTTATCTTTAATTGTGGTTTATTCCCAGTTAAATAGTAATTAATTTAAAATGTCACAAGAAAATAACTTCAGAACAATATTAGTTTTTATTGTATTGATAGAAAGACTTTATAATAAAAAATGAAACTAATTTTGTTCAAATTGTACTGTTTAATAGTATCTAAATCATACTACTTTTTTTAAACTTCTATATAATATCGTATGTACGCCATTAGGCCCATAAACTAGCTGCATGTGAAAAATTAACAAAATAATGCTTTAAAAAACGTCTTACTGCGAAAATCAGTACCAATAAATATTACAGCGAATCCAAAGAACTAATGAAAACATATAAAACCCTCTATGCTGCTGACCCTTTTATCCAACAAACGGTTGACTGCGGAGCAGTCGACTCGAACAGCTTAGTCAAGCTAGAAAGGAAAATCGAAACACTGGAAAAAATGGACATGACACATAGTAGTAAAATAGCATAGAGCCTTGTTAAAAATCTTGGGGAAAAGCGGTGATTCTAAGGAACGTAAACCACATTGTAATTTTACAGCAAACCAAGCCGCAACTCAACTCCTTGAGAATGGAAGAACTAAAAACCGATATAAATAAATCATAAGAGAAATACCACCAAGGAACTCCATTTACACTAAAAAAACTACACAATGGTATGAAAGGGCTAAAAAATGAGAAATTTCCAGGTGTGCGTGACATATTCAGTGAACAAATAAAGCACTGAGGCCAAGGAGCAAAAAATGGAAATGGAGCAACTCGATAACATGTGCTGTAAAGCCTGCCCAGTTGACCGAAATAAAGCCAGAATAAAGAGCATAAGGATAAACAATATATTGTTGTTTGTCTGAGTTTATATGAGTGCAGACACTGAATCCATTCGCCAATAAACAATAAAAAAAGTAAATTACAATATGCTGAAAAAAAATTATGCTTGAAGTATAAATTGAGCTGCATTGGAAGAGATTTTAAAAATAAACAAATCTGGTACTTCTACCAAGAAATAAAATGGGAAGCAACCCAACACAATGCCTCACAAAGATATTATAAAGATGAAGAAAAAAATATATATGGTGAAATTGAAGAAAAGTTTGAAAGATTGATTTCCATCATTTATTATATGTAGAGGATTAAAATCATAGTCAATAAATGCAACTACTAGTTGAAGTAACAGTAGCTTAAAAAGATAATGAAGAAGCACCATTCAAAGAAAAAATTGTAACTATAATAAAACAACAAAGCCCTGATAAAAACGGTATAACTGTTGAATTTCTAAAAGAAGAGGGTAAAAGACAACAAGAAGAAATCACTGAGATAATAATACATAAAGTGTTAATCAAAGAACAAACACACGAGCAGTCGAAAGAAGCATTACAATATATAATATATAGATTTTTGGCCACGTCGATGAAAAAACAAAATTGAAACCGAAGTTGAAAATAATTTAGGCGAATATTAAGCAGGAGCAAATCAGGAAACGACCAAATTTTTACAATGAAACAAATAGTATCTATAAACCTAAACTTCAAATAAAAAGAATTGAAACGACAACCAAAAATTAATGTAAGAATGCTAAAAAACGAAGAAAAAAAAAAACGAATTAAAAAATAATGTGAATGTTAATATGCAAAAAACACTAACTGACAACAAACAAATTATGGATGTAAATAAATAGTTGTATAATATAAAAAACACATTACTGAAACCAGCTCAAGAAAGTTTGATACAACATAGGTCAAAGGCTAAAAAACAGTGGATGACAGAAGAAACGAATACAACGAATAATTAAGGAAAAAATCAAAACAACTAAGGAAATCTATTTGATGAAACAATGTAAAGAGATAGAAGAACTAGAAACAAAATATGATATAAGAAATATGCACAAAAAAATAAGAAAAGTGACTGAAATGGGTCGAAATAGACAGCAAGGACACATAAAAGACAAAAAAGGAGTACTACACATATATTTACCAAAGAAATTAAGACGATGGAAGGAGTACGTTAAAGAACTGTTCCAAGATGAAAGAGGTGAAATGCAGAAAATACCAGAATTAAATCCTTTAGAGAGACAAAAGATCACGATAGATGAAATCAAATATGTTATCAAAAACTCTAAAGACAATAAGGCAGCTGGATTAGATGAAATACCAGTAGAACTGTTAAAACTAGTGGAACAGGATAACTTGGAAGTATTGGCAGATTTATTCAACACGGCGTACGATACGGGAATAATACACAAGAGTGGCTGAAGTCAGCATTTATAACCATCCCTAAAAAACAAGCAGCAAAAGAGTGCTCTGATTATCGAACACTGAGTAATACTTTAAAAGTACTGCTGAAAGTAATACATAAGAGAATATACGAAAGGCTAGAGGAGGATATTAGCGAGACGCAGTTCGGGTTCCGAAATGGAATGGGTACTCGAGAAGGACTATTTGCATCAACATATTGATTCAGCGATGTCGGGATGTAAACGTTGATCTACACTTGTGCTTTGTTGACTACGAAAAAGTTTTCGATAAAGTAAGATATGAAAAACTAATATCAATACTTATGAACAAGCGCATTGACAGTAAAATCATAAATGTAGTGCAAACATTATATTAGAACCAAAGTGCCATAGGTTAAATTGATGGGCAACACTCAGAAGAAATGAAGATCTGTAGAGGAGAAAAACAGAGATGTGTTTTATCGGCACTTTTGTGTCACTAATATTAATACTTATGAACAAGCGCATTGACAGTAAAATCATAAATGTAGTGCAAACATTATATTAGAACCAAAGTGCCATAGGTTAAATTGATGGGCAACACTCAGAAGAAATGAAGATTTGTAGAGGAGTAAAACAGAAATGTGTTTGATCGTCACTTTTGTTTATTCTGAAGAAATTTTCCAAAACACGCTTAATAGTATCAAAGCCGGAGTTACCGTTAACGGAAAATTAATTAATAACTTACAATATGCAGACGACGCTATGATTATAGCAACGAGTATAGCAGATCTACATCTTATCGAAAGCTTGAATAGTGCTGAGATGGGAATTACTATAAACGCTAAAAAAACGAAGTACATGTTAATTACAAAAAGACCACAAAATATACATCACCTATTGACAAGCAATGGTAACGTGATAGAACAAGTAGAAAAATATCAGTACTTGGGAACTTTGATCGATGAAACCAATGATCATACTGCAGAAATAAACAGGCGAATAGAGATTGCCAGATCAGCATTAATACGAATGAAGCCACTCCTAACGTGCAAAAATCTAAATTTGGAGATCAGACTACGTATTATTCGCTATTATATATTTTCAATATTATTATATGGAGCTGAGACTTGGACATCATAGACTGATAGAATTCCAAATCAAAAAGTACTGGAGAGGGTTGCTAAAGAAACAGAACTAGTCACCACTATACAAACCAGAATACTGGAAAACTGGAATACCTAGGTCACGTGATAAGGGGACCAAAATATGAAATTTTGAGATTCATAATACAGAGAAAGATGCAAGGAAGAAGATCTGTTGGCCGAAGGCAGAACTCATGGTTGAAGAATCTACGTGATTGGTATCAATGCAGATCGATTGATTTATTTAGAGTAGCAAGTTCAAAAATAAAAACAGCCATTATGATTGCCAACCTCCATAGGGAGATGGCATTCTAATAAAAGAAAAGAATAAACTTAAAATGGGGTAATTCCCGGAAGATGGCTATTAAAAAACTTAAACATCGAAGAAAAAACTTCTGTTGTAAGAGGTATAATATTTAATGAAGAAATTTAGTAAAAAAACTCAAATGGATTATAATAAAGTTTAGACCGTTTTCGGCCTTATCAGTCCATCTTTAGTGAACTTTTGAGTACTTGTGCTACTAAATGCAAAACCAAACAGTGGTTGGGTTTAAATTGTAGATATCATACTTAAAATATTAAATTAAATGCCATAACGCCGATGAAAATGAATATAACTATCTGGGAACAGTATGTTCCTACTCGAAATAAAATTTCATATCCGAACGGGTATGCGAGAGTTTGCCAACTGTTTCAATATTTAATTTAATAATTTTAAGTATGATATCTACAATGTAAACCCAACTACTGTTTGGTTTTGCGGTTGGTAGCGCAAGTACTCCAAAGTTTACTGAAGATGTACTGCTAAGTCCGAGAACGTTCTGAACTTTATTATAATCCATTTGTATTTTTAATTTAATTTTAAATTAAGTATCATACCTCGTAGAACAGAATTTTTTACTTCGATGCTTGAGTTTTTTAAATATTATCTAGTTTATACGAATTCAATTAAGCATTAAACATGTTACAATAAACATAAATGCCCTTTTTGAAGCAATAGAATAGTTTGAATGTCCAAAAAGAATTAACTAAATAGATACTCAGTGACACTACAGATAAAGTTATAATAGGACAGTTTTAACATCAACAAAGGCCTACGACAACTTGACCCTTTATCAACTGTATTTTTTTTTTAATAAAATAGACAGTTAAGGTTTGTTTCGTTACAGCGTACCATCATTCGCTGATATACATATTCTGCCTCTTGGCTTCCACAGAGCGAACTTATGGTAAGCTCTAACGAAATTAAACCTTTTCCGACTATAAAAGTAAATATTTGAAAATATTAACGAACAGACGCTACCAGCGACATCTACTAATGAGAATATAAATTGGAAATCGAATTTAGGTTCGGCTAAAATCTGTATTTTCTAAACGTTGCAGAACAAGCATGAACAAACATGAGGATTTATAATTGTATCCACGAAGGTGAATACACTCAGAATGGTGAAGAGACTCTGAAAGAACTTTTTAGGGTGCACTTTCCTAAGTCTGAAATAAAATTCATACCACTAGACACATAGCAGGCTAGACTGGATACTGTGACTTAAGGTTCTAGGTAAATCTGGCGTGTGGTAAACGAGAACAAAATCAAATTGGCGATAATCTCATATGAGCCATATAAATCACCAGGTTGGGATGGAATTTATCCAATGTACCCTTCTGTAGAAGTATTCGATAAATACCTTCTATATTGCGGAAAAGACAGTTAAGTTCTATATTATTTTCTGTACATAAATTATGTGTGATACTGCAGGCTAGTGTAGGACTGGGGTACATACCAAAAGCATTAAGGCTAATTAGGGTGGCTTTATAATTTAATACCCAAACCTGGCAAAATCGGACAGGAAAGGCTAAGAAAGTGCAATACATCAGGGACAGTATGCGTACCGAGCAGGAGTCTCCACAGAAACGGCACTGCACTATCTCGTACAGAGCGAAAACGAAGTTTTCCGTCTCTGGAAAACCAGAAGGTGATGTTGGGTGCACTTCTAGATATTGAAGAAGCCTTGGAAAAAAACTCCTACGAAGCAATCACAAGGGCGATTCGTTTAAAAGGAATAGGTGAAACAAGCTGCAGATGGATAGGCTGCATTCTGAAGACCGTTTAATATGTGCAACTTTGCTGGCGGACACAGTGTCAGTTTTATGTCCTTTCTTGTAGAATCTGGTCATGGATGGGCTGATAGCTACTCAGCAACGATAGGTATCATGTCCTGGGCTATGTGGATGACCTAGTTATTTTAGCCCACGGCAAGTTTAATGGGACAGTCAGAGACATAATGCAACAGGCTCTGACAGTAGTTACAGAATCTACTTCAAGTGTAAGACAACATCAGTCCTCCGAAGTCCAAAATACTGAAATTAGAGGGTTTCAGTCCTCTAGGGCTAAATGGTACACGTTTAAATCTGGTGAGTGAAGTAGAGTATCTTAAGGTAATATTAGACTCAAGGCTTACTTAAAATCAGCAGATAGAACAAATAACCAAGAGAGCGGTAAATACGTTAATGGTAGCTAGAAGTAGAATGGTGGTAAAATTACATATGCATTAGTGTTAAAGTGGCCAAAGGTGCAGCAAAAAAGTGCCATCCTCATATTAAGTAAGGTGCAGACTTGCTTGCCTCGGAATCACAGGAGCTGTGAGGGGCACACTAACGTCAGCTACAGAGGCCCCTACTGGATATCCCTCTACATGTAACTATAGGAGGGGAGGCGAGGATGGGATATTATAGATTGTGAGAAAACCCGAGCAAGGTACCGGTTAGATCAAGACATTGCAACATAATAAATGAAACTAGGGATGCCGAATGGATGATGATTTCTGACCATATGACACCCAGATACTAGCCTAAAGTACCTTTTCACGTGGACATTTACCCACGAGAGGAATGGCACAGGGGCAACTCTCGACCCAGACTTGCGGGGTTATCCTAGTATACGGACGAGTCTAAAACTCCAGAAGGGTCGGATGCAGAATATTCAGTAGTGGTGGAAATTTCAACATTCCTATTCCACTAGGACTAGAAGAATATGCCTCTGTATTTAAGGCAGAGATTTTTGCAGTAGTTTGCAAGTAAGATTAACTTAAAGGCTCAAACACATGGCAAGATGTATATTGGACGGACATTTGCCAACAGGCTGAAGTACTGCGGAAAACAAGCAGGAATCAGCTTAGAGTCAAAACAGGCTTCCTTACTGTACATGTACCAGCCAAGGGGCACCTGTTTCATGGAGACTTGAACTGCATACTATGTAGCAAATAACCTGAAAGAGTCGACGATATCTTGCATCACTGCGAGGCATTGGATCGCAGGTGGCAAACACTTTTTGGAGACAACGAAATGATTTCAAATATATATGGTACTCATCCACTAGACCTGTATAAGCTAGTAAAGGGTTCCAGAATTCTAGAATGGGTACCATAAAGGAATGGAAGATATACAATAAGCCAATCAGCTGCAGTACGACCGGTTCATAACAGACAGCTTCCAGAAAAAAAAATCTTCTGGAATTTTAACAAATAAAGCTACACTTGAAATGTTATCATTTAGCCCTATCCTTATGAAGGCATATATCAAAATATACTGGGAATCTATCAAATCATTAGTGTATTTGTCATTTCCTATTGCACAGATTTAGCTTCAAGTACTTTTATTTAGATCTGTCTCTCGTAGGCATTAATATCATCTTTAATTATCGGCATTCGCTTCTACTATTTCGACAATAACGATATTATGTTTATATCTACTAGCATTACTAGCAATCATATTATTAACAATTTTTTAGGGTTACGAAACAAAAGTAGGCAGTAAAGGAACTCAGCTCTCTGGAGGACAAAAACAACGTATTGCCATAGCACGAGCTCTGCTACGAAATCCAAAAATACTTTTATTGGATGAGGCAACATCAGCATTAGATAATGAAAGTGAAAAGGTATGGACGTTTATTATTATTATAATATTTCTCTTTATCATTCTTTCGTATGACTATATAGTTCTATAACTATACAAAGAGAATATATCTGTAGGTCTTATTTTAGAGAATCCATAGCTATTTTTTAAATGAGGTAAATTTGTATAAGGTGATAGAATGATGATAAAAACTAGTAGGCGGGTGGCTTTTGTCGAAAAAGTTCGCTTTCATACCCTCAAGCTAAATCCTGTTTTAATTGATAGATTATACCGATAGTGCCAATTTGATATGTTTAAAAGTTTACCAAAAATTTTCCATTGCAATCTATTTATTTGTAACAATTATAAATCTTACAATTAGATATGTTAACTTAGAATCCTTTTCAAAGAGCATCATATAAAAATTCTACTTTTTACACACGTCCTGTAAGAATCGTCTGGGAAGCTCTCAAAATGTTGCAAGGGAACTTGGTCCATAATAAACGATCTTCGAAATAAAACTAACATAGCTCAAACATTTTTCTTCCAAACCCTGAAAATCTAAATGAACAATGTGAGTAAAAATATAACATCAACTATTTTGCCACAACAAGATCCTATTTCATATCTCCCCAATTCAAAAAAGGTCTCAAATTCATCCTTTATAAGAACAGTTGATAAATCTGAACTGATTCAAACAATCAGTAGTATTGTAACGAATATATTTTGCCTACCACATGGGGTATTAATACAAGGAGTAGAAAATTGGGGACTGAAACTAAGGGGGTGGAGATCAGGCAAGCAAAATAATCGCTACTTGTGCGAACGGCACTCAGGATTTGTTAGGAGAGCTGGGGTCGTGGATAAGTAAATGGCAAAGGGGTTTGGAATGGGGCAACTACAAAAATATGAAACAAAAGGTCATGAATCTCTTGGGATAAACAAAGTAAAAAAAACAGGAAACACCTCTAGTAATTTAATATAGGGCGCCACTTTGAGGTGCCTAATTATACCTACTACAACCACTAGTTGTAACTAGGGAAATAATTATTAAACATAAAAAACATATCTTTTTCAAATAAAACTCAAAAAAAGGTTAGTTCAAAAAAATAAACAAAATGTTAAGAAAACAAAATTTAACATTTATTGTGTCTTGCCACAAACAGTTACAAAACATAGAGAATACAATAATACTCAAAAAAGACAATACCAAAATATTACCTCAATAGTCGCAAAATACAAAAATACAAAAAAACTTACATGTCATCCATTTACAAACTCTAGGAGTTGGAGATATTACAAAAAACTTACAAATGTTACACAGAGGTTAACCCCTTTTTTTAAACAAACAAAACAAATAAATATAGAAAATTATAAAGTTAGCTGTCATAAGTTAACAATAAATAAAAAAAAACTAAACACACAAATTGACAGCTAAAGTCAAAATCTTAAATTTACAATATTGAATATTACTATTTTTAAATTTTAACGAAAGCAATTATTTATTTAAAAAAATTGTCTGTCTTTACTTTAAAATTTGATCAAAAAGTTACCTGGATTTTTCACTAACAAACTGCACTAAAATTTGTGGATCCAGACGCCACTGGAACCTCCGAAACCATAACTGGAACTGGGGGCTTCACTCTCTCTGCGTAACGAACAACTCCATCTCCAAACTGCCAAAAAGCCTTGGATGACAAACAGGGAGAAACAAAACGAGGATGGAAACGACGATTCTTCCAATCCTCACTCAAAACATTAATTGAAGCATTACTTGCCACAAAACTACTTTTCACTGCTACTTATTTCAAAAACAGAAAACTACAAATTCGACGGAAAAATTTGGATCCATAATTGAGCTTACAACGACCCAAGTAAGAATCTATTTGGATCCATACCTGAGACTACCGGCGACCCACGTAAGAATTTGGATCCATACCTGAGCCCACACCGACCCAAGTAAGAATTTGGATCCATATCTGAGCCCACACCGACCCAAGTAAAAATGACGAAATTGTCTTAAGAATTCGTTCACCTAACTTGAAAATAAAACTCCGCCTGTGGTGACTAATGGGTGGATTGAATAGCTCAGGAGTCACCATTGCCGGTCCTAAGCCCGAGTAAAGGAGGAAGGTTGGGCAGTGGGCTAACAACCCACTCCCGGAAAAACACACTGTTATGAAACCTAAACATTTGCCTCGGAACAAGGGGAACTTTCGGAAACGACTAAAGCTACGAAACATGGACTATGCATTTGGAAGTTGGAATGTGAGGACGCTAAATAGACCAGGAGCTCAAACTGCACTTCTACAAGAACTAAAAAGATATAATCTTATGATCACTGCTCTTCAGGAGACAAGATGGCTGGGGAAAGGTGTCAGGGACACCAAAACGCACACAATTCTATATAGTGGCAAAGAACAAGGAATCAAAGAATGTGGAGTTGCATTTGTGGTAGATAATGATTTTAAGTCAAAAATCATAGACTTCCAGGCAGTGAATGAAAGGATATGCAAACTAAGAATTCGCACCCACTTCTTCAACCTTACTATGATAAACATCTACTGCCCAACAGATGAACAAGAGCAACATACAAAGGAAAGCTTCTACCAACAGCTGGAGATAGTATATGACAACGCGCCAAAAAATGACATTAAGGTTATAATGGGTGATATGAATGCCAAAATAGGCAAGGAACCGCAGTTCTATGGCACAACAGGAAAACACTCACTGCACAATGAAACAAGCGAGAATGGGGAGTTTTTGATAAATTTTGCCACCAGTAAAAACATGGTTATAAGCTCCACATGCTTCCCACATAAAGACATACACAAAATGACGTGGATCTCACCAGATGGAACCACAACCAATCAAATTGACCATGTGATGATAGACAAAAGGGCAGCCAGTAGTATCTCTGATGTGAGAACACGACGAGGAGCATGCTGTGGATCAGACCATCTTTTACTGCAAACCAAATTTAGGTGCAGAGTTAACAGAGAAAGAAACGAAAGACAACAAAGAACAAACAAACTAGACCTGGAAAAACTGAAGACTCAGGAATGTAGAGAGAAGTTCGAGCAAGAAGTCACAAATGAGCTAAGGACACAAGAACTGCACTCCATAGAGAGCAAATGGAATAATATCAAAACAGCAGTGCTGACAGCAGCAGCGTCCACCGTGGGAAACAAGAAAAAGAAGAGAAGAGGAACATGGTTTGATGACGAGTGCAGGCAAGCGATAGAAGAAAGAAACGAAGCGCACAAAATGTACATAACAAGAAGAACACGGGAAAGACGAACATCATTTGAAGTCGCAAGACGGAAAGCAGACAAGATATGCAGAAACAAAAAGAGAGCTTATGAAAATGGACAAATAGAAGAAATGGAACAAAATTTCAAAAAAAAACGAAATTAGAGGAGCTTACGAATACCTAAAAAAGATAAAAAGTGGATATAAACCTCAAACAAGCCTATGCAAAGATGAAAGTGGGCAAATAATCAGTGACCAACAGAAAGTCACAGAAACCTGGAAGCATTATTTTCAGACCCTACTTGGAACACAAGTAGATATGGAAGATGAAATGGGTACGAACCATGTAGAAGAGAACGAAGTTGAAGTAGAAGCTCCAACCATAGAGGAAGTTCTCGAAGCTATTAAGGCCCAGAAAAACAATAAAGCCCCGGGAGTTGACGAGATTCCAGCAGAACTGTATAAGGTAGGTGGCAACCACCTATCAAGTCATATCCACGCGCTTATCAAAGAAATATGGCAAGAAGAGAAAATACCCGACGAATGGAAGAAAAGTATAGTATGCCCAATCTATAAAAAAGGAGACAAACTCCAATGCAAAAACTACCGTGGAATTTCTCTACTATGTACAGCGTATAAAGTCCTCACGTATATTATAAACCAGCGACTCCAACCACTAGCAGAAAATATTATTGGAGAATATCAGACGGGCTTCAGACGGGGAAGATCGACAATGGATCAAATATTTACAGTCAAGCAGGTCTTGAGCAAATCGTGGGAACACGACATTGATGTTCACAACGTGTTTGTAGACTTCAAACAGGCATACGATTCAGTCAAAAGGGACAGACTATACTATATATTGGCAGAATTAGCAATACCACATAAGCTAATTAGACTCATTAAAGCCACAATGGATGAAACTCAGGCATGTGTACGAATACAAAACAACCGGACAGACTTTTTCAAAATCTCGCAGGGACTAAAGCAGGGAGATGGGCTGGCACCAACATTGTTTAACCTGGCACTGGAGTATGCGGTCAGGCAAATGCAAACTGGACGAGAAAACCTACTGACCAATAAAACGGTTCAACTGGCTGCCTACGCCGATGATATTAATATTATGAGTAGAACATCAACAGGAGCACAGGAAGCATACGCAGAGTTAAAAACACAAACGAAAAGGCTAGGTCTGGAAATTAACACAGAAAAAACAAAAATAATGGTACAGACGAGAAGAAATATAATCCCACAAAACATTATACATGAAGATGACATTGAAACGGTTGGAAAGTTTACATACCTGGGAGTAGAAATATATGCCGATGGAGCAGAGGATGGAGAAATACGAAAAAGGATAACGCAGGCAAACAAAGCTTATTTTGCCCTCTCCCATATATTTCGGTCTAAAAGTGTCCACCGAAATACAAAGATGAGAATATATAAAACTTTAATTCGGCCAATAGCATGTTATGGCAGCGAAGCATGGGTCCTGAAAGAAACATCCAAAAACAAACTCGACACATTCGAAAGAAAAGTACTGAGGAGAATACTAGGACCTGTGAGGGAAAACGGAATCTTCAGAATTCGATATAACAACGAGCTCTATCAACTGTATAAGGAAACACCCCTGTCAAACTTCATTAGAATACAAAGATTGCAATGGGCCGGACATGTGATACAAATGGGAGAGGATAGGCTACCAAAACGAGCACTGAACGCCAGAATGCAGGAAAAGAGACCAGTTGGAAAGCCAAGAAAGCGCTGGGAAGACACAGTAAGCAGCGACGCACAAGCACTTTTAGGAGTCCGTGTATGGAGAAGAGCAGCCACAGACAGACAAGGGTGGAGGCAAAAAATAAAGGAGGCCAAGGCTCATTTTGGGCTGTAGTGCCGTAGAAGAAGAAGAACTTGAAAATAAACAAAGGCTAAAATAACAAAACACCACGAAAATCAAAACGTAAAAGATTCCATTTCTACGACGTACAAAATTATAAGACGACTTCGAATAAAACATTAAAAGAAAATGCCAAGAAAGTACACATCTTTAAAATAATAAACAACTCTAAAATGGTTTATATTAACATCCAGCAATGCAAATAAAATTATTGAAAACACTTTTGGGTATTTTAACTTGAAAGATACGAACTAACAAACATGGAAAAAATTCTTCGTTTTTTTTAAATATATATGAGGGGATTTCAATATATTACATATACGAGGGGATTTCAAAATACACCAAAAAAATCAATGAATCGCAAATGCTACAGTATCAAAAGCAAATCTTCCTATAGTACTGATGGACTATCCATAAAAATTTTCTTAAATCTCCCAAATATTGTGTTGGAAGTCCTGGTCTCGCTAATTAACGATTTCTTTAAGAAAGGTATATTTCCAGAGTGCCTAAAGATAGCCATTATTATTCCTCTTCGTAAGGGTAGTGATAAATCTAATTTCTGCAACTATAAACCTATTGCCTTACTAACGGTCCTATCCAAAATTATTGAGAGATTATAAAAGCCCGACTTATGTCTTTTCTCGTTGAAAACAACATTTTATCACAGTCAGTTCGGCTTTTTGTCTAATAAATGTACCAGCGATTCTATGTTTTCTGTACTACATGAGGTCTATCAAGCACTAAACAATAATCTGTATACTGCCACTGTTTTTTGTGCCTATGCCAAAGCTTTTGATTGTGTAAATCACGACATTTTGATAAAAAAACTAAATTTCTACGATCTAGGTATCTATCGATCTATTAAATTCTAGGTATTGGTTGCAATCTTACTTAGGAATAGGAAACAACTAGTTAGAGCAAATAATACTGACTTTAATCACAAAAGTATGGTATGTGGAGTACCACAAGGTTCAGTACTGGGTCCTCTACTTTCCTTATATTTATAAATGACATCACTAATTTAAAAATCAATGAAAATTTTTTTCTTTTTGCTGATGATACCAGTATTACCTGTAAGCTTAGTCTATAAAATTGTAGAATTTTCAGTGAAAATATAGCATATTTCTATTCTTTATTCTATTCTATATTTTATTTCATATACCAATTACTTATAACATATTACATATTACTTATTACATATTACGTATATACCAATTACTTATAGTTCCATTTATTTAATATGACCATTCATGTTTTAGATAGTACAAGAAGCTTTAGATAATGCTCGAAAAAGTCGAACGTGTATAACCATAGCTCATCGCTTGACGACAATCCAAGACGCTGATGTTATTTGTGTACTAAAAGAAGGAAATGTAGTAGAAATGGGAAAACATAAAGAGCTTCTAGAAAAACAGGGATTATATTACAAATTTTATAAATTACAATCAGTGGAGAGTATTTCTTAAAAGGAATCACTTTTATTTGTATAATACTGTAAAAAAATTAGAATTTAATTTAGTTAAACTAATATTAAAAACATATTATTTTGTTATTGTTATATTTCTACTGATTGTCTGAAACACGTTTGCTATCAGAAATAAAAATCTAAAACCAGTGCTTTCAAAGGTTAATAAAACTGCCCTTTATTAATTATGAACACGTTATCAGGCAACCATATTTTTGATATCAGTGTCTCTATGAATCAACCGCCATTAACTCCTGTGGACCACTCTATAACAAATGTGTGGATTCTTATCGAACCAACGCTGTCCACAGTGGGACGAATTGCTGAAAACGTAGCCAAAAGTCTAAGTGTATATCAATTTAGATATGAACGTGTACTATAAGGTTTTCAACTTTGCTGACAACTGGAAAGTTTTCGACCTCACTGAATATGAATTATTATATCAAAATTTAAATATTCTAAACGCCAGATCGTAAATGGAGTCCAAAATTTATAAAAATTTAGACTAATTAGACATAACACTAGAGCAAAAGATCCCTAGGCATACGATGAAAATGAAGAATCCATATAAAGTGGCTACATGGAATGTTACAACTGGATGAGCGTGTGTGAAGTATTTTGAGAATTTCACGTATAATTTTATTAAATAAACACTATAAACAACAAACTAACTGTACAAGAATTAAATGTATAATTTAAAAATGTCTTCATCCACAAGCGGGGTTGGCGTCGATCTCTCCTTGGCTTGTCTCCCTCCCGGCGTAAACCGCCCTCTCTCGCGTTCGGTTGCTCGTCTGTGCTCGTGGTAGATCGTAACGCAGGCGCACAATTTGTAGGTTTTAAACTATAATGTGCGCGAGCAGGTCCGTACTTAACATATACTCCCCCACCTTGAAACCCCAAAGACCGGGTTTCAATATTAAATAAAAAAGTGTTTTTTAAATAAAGTTTCAAAGATCATATTACTTATAGCTATAAAGAATTTATTGATCTTGGTTTGGTAGAACACAAATTTTCACAACCGGTCGTTTAATGTCACCAGTGTTTGTCTTTATCATAACCGACCGCACAATATTGTCACTTCCGGTATAAGTTTTTAAAATTCTACCTAACTGCCACTTTAAGGGAGGAAGTCCATCATCCTTAACCAGTACCATTCGTCCAGGCTTGATCAGCTGTTGGCAATTCTCCTTCCACTTGAACCGCTGCTGAAGATGGGATATGTATTCTTTGGACCATCGTGTCCAAAAGTGCTGTAATAACTGTTGCACCCTTTGAAATCTTGAAAGACGATTTTCATTCATGTCGATTAAGTTCTGTTGTGGTATAGTCGTCAATGAAGACCCGATTAACAAGTGTGCAGGAGTAAGGGGATTAGGGTCATTTGGGTCATTAGAAAGAGGATAAAGTGGTCTGGAGTTGAGGCAAGCCTCTATTTGATATACAACCGTAGAAAATTCTTCATATGTTAAGATTGCTTTACCTACTACACGTTTCATGTGGTGCTTAACTGATTTAATATTTGACTCCCATAACCCTCCAAAGTGGGGAGCGCGTGGAGTAATGAAGTGCCATTGAATACCGTCGCTTGACAAATCTGTCGTAATGGCATGAGAGTTTTTGTCAAAAAATTGTTTAAGTTCGTTATTTGCTCCCACGAAAGTGCTGCCGTTATCTGAAACGATTTCGGAGCATTTACCGCGTCTGGCAGTGAATCGGCGTAGTGCCGCCAAGAAGCACTCTGTCGTGAGGTCACTGACAACTTCTAAATGTACAGCCTTGCTGGCGAAGCAGATAAAAAGAGCAATATAAGCCTTAGAAGTTTTGTAATTACGACCCTTTCTATCTCGTAAAAGAACGGGACCAGCATAATCGACTCCAGAAACCGTAAAAGGCCGTGAGGGTGTGATTCTCGACTCTGGAAGATTGCCCATAAGATACTGTTCGGGATTATTGTTGAATCTAAAACATCGGACACAATCACGAACAATTTTTCGAACCAAGTTGCGCCCTGAGATTGGCCAGTAATTCTCTCGTAAGGAAGCAAGAAGTGCTTGAGGACCAATATGTAAAAGCTTCAAGTGCTCGTGGCGAGCAATGAGAATCGTGATATGATGTTTTGAAGGTAGCACTATGGGGTGTTTTTTGTTAAAATCAAAAAATGATGAATTGTGTAAACGACCCCCAACACGTATTAGTTTTGTTGTAGTATCAAAGAATGGGTTAAGGCCAAGAAGTTTACTTCTTCTGTTAATTTGATTGAAATTAGAAAGTGCATCATAATCATATGGAAATGATTGACGTTGTACAAACCTAATTAACGTTAAAAGAGAAGTACTAAGTTCGAGTGTGGACAGAGGACCTGTAGTTCGTAGATGTCTAGGATTCGACAAATTGTCTTTAAATCTCAATACATAAGCAAAAACGCGTGTTAGCTTATTTAGAGAAGAATATTTGTTATAAAAGGTAAATTCATTGTCGATGTGATGAAACACAACAGTTTTATTACGTAGTTCAGGTAGTTCAGAAGTTATACAAACTTCTTCATGTTTTGTATATTGAGGCCATTCTTCTTGGGGTAAAGTGAGCCAAGAGGGTCCATGAAACCATAAGTTCGAATTAATAAGTAATGAAGGATTTATACCTCGTGATAAGAGATCCGCTGGATTGTCATAAGTTTTAACATACTTCCAATGTTCGAGATTAGTCAGCTTCTGTATTTGTGCTACTCGATTCGCAATGAAAGTTTTAAGTAAATGGGGAGAGGTGTTTATCCATGAAATTACAATTGTAGAATCAGTCCAGTACGTGATATTTTTAAAGCAAACGCGTGAAGATGAAGTGACTTTTTCAACAAGTTCAGAAAGTAGTGATGCCCCACAGAGTTCGAGTCTTGGAATAGTTAATAGTTTCATAGGAGACACTCGAGTTTTGGCACAATAAAGATTTGAAGTGTAATTTCCAAATGTATCCGTGCAGCATATGTAAATGCATGCACCGTAAGCTGCTCTGAAGCATCTGAAAACCCATGAAGTTGAACAGAGATTGGGTTAGACGAAAGTACATGTCTAGGTATTTTTAAAGTATTTAATTTTGTGAGCTCGAAGTAGTATTTCGTCCAAAGTGTGTAAATACTTTCAGGAACAGATTCATCCCAACTTATTTTGAGCTTCCAGAGCTCTTTAAGAATAATTTTGGATGTAACTATTACGGGTGAAAGTAACCCTAAAGGATCAAATATTTGTGCTGTACAAGACAAAATTTGTCTTTTGCTAACCTTAGAGTTTGTTGTGGAGATATTTATAGAATATTGTAGGGAATCAGAAGACGGATTCCAGAGTAATCCTAGTGTTTTATTGTGTTCGTCAGAACCAATAGATAGGAATTCAGGATCAGAATGAATTTGTAAAGACGAATCATTAGTAGTCCATTTTCTTAGGGGAAAACCGTAAGAAGACAATAAGTTTGACATGGTTTCCTTGATTTCTCTGAGTTCTTCAGATGTGTCGCAGCCAGTTAGTAAGTCATCTACATAAAAGTCATGTAAAATGATGGAAGAAACCTTTGGGTGTTCGGAAATATGTCGGTAGGCAATTTCATGAAGAGACCTAATGGCAAGAAATGCTGCTGACGCTGTGCCATATGTAACAGTGTTTAATGTGTAGACAGAAATCTCATCATTTGTATTAAATCTCCAAAGGATCTTTTGAAGGTAACGTTGTTCTGGCGTTATGAAAACTTGACGATACATTTTAGTGATATCTGCCCCTAGTACAAATTTATGTTGCCGAAATCTAAGTAAAATGTAGAATAAGTTATCTTGTAAGTGAGGGCCGACATACATTATGTCATTTAATGAGTAGCCTGTGGTAGTTTTTGCACTACCGTCAAATACAACTCTTAATTTTGTGCTGGTTGATGATTCCTTGAAAACACAATGATGAGGTAAAAAGAATCCAGAATTATCGTCAGTGTCCCGTGTTAGGGACATGTGGCCAAGTTTAATGTACTCAAGTATGAAGTTATGATATTCTGATTTTAATTGAATATTGTTTTCAAGTTTTCTCTCTAAGTTCAGAAAACGTGTTTTAGCAGAAGTTTTAGAATCCCCTAAGATTGATGGAGATTCCTTTAGAGGAAGAGTAGTGATAAAACGACCATCACAATGGCGAGAAATGTGTTGCTTAAAGTGATTTTCACAATAGTTGTCTTCTTCGGAAACAAACTTGGTTTTAGGACATTCCTCTAGTTCCCAAAACTTTGTGAGCTGTACATCTAATTGACTTGTGGAAGAAAAGTAACAATTTTGTTGGGAGTGATGTTGAATCTTTGTTGGAATGGGGCCAGAGATTATCCAACCAAGAGTGGTTTTTTGAATGATAGGTAAACCAGGACCAAGTTTAATTTGTCCTACGCTTAAAATATCCCAGAATGTATCAGCACCAATAAGAAGATCTACTGGACCAGGTTTTTCAAAATTCTGGTCAGCTAGAAGTAAATTTGTTGGAATATTGAGCTGAGAACGATTGACGTGTGTATAGGGCAAATTCCCTGTAATTTTGGGCAAAACTAGACAGGATATCTTTCTAGAAAAATTGTTGATATGTGATTTAAATGTTAGTGTACTCCGGAAGTTAATACTGTGAGTTAATTGATTAACTCCCGAGATCGAAGTGTTAATTTTTTCCTTTGAAAGTTGTAAAATATTACAAAGTTTCTCAGTTACAAAATTGGATTGACTTCCATTGTCCAATAGTACTCTACATTTATGTAAGTTGCCGAACTTATCAAATACGTTGACAACAGCAGTTGAAAGTAAAATATATGGTTTAACAGGAGTGTGGATAGTTGAACTGATATGATGAGTTGAAGAAAAGGTCGAGGTAGAAGAAGATTCATTAGACTGTAGACTAGTGTTTGGATTATTAGAAGATAATGAAGTTTGAGGCGAAGAGTTGTTTTCCGTGATAAGAGAATTTGAAGATTGTGAGTTTTCAAAGTGTAACATGGTGTGGTGTATCTTTCCAC